TCCTTGCAGGTGTAACACAGGTTGTGTTTCCTCCACAGGAGCAGTGATGGGGTCCTGACTTTCCTCGGGCAGAGCAGCGGAGACACCTCGGCCTCTTCTCCGTGGGGAGGTGGGCACCCCGGAGACCCTAAGGACTTGCCGGCTGCCCCTCTTGGGGGGGGGGGTAGCCGCCCACCACCAGGCCTCCAAGCGAATCTGATTTTTGTACTTTCTTTGGGGAACAGCAGGGAAAGGTGCCCTTCTGGGAAAGGCAATAAAACTGTAAAAGTGGTGATGATCATCGGTGTATGTGTGTGTGTGTGTGTGTGTGTGTGTGTGTGAGTGCGCACACGCGGGAGCTCCTCCGCCCACTCTCTGTTGCCTTTCTGTGTCAAACAAACAACGTGTGTGGGAAGGCATTCCTGTCTGAGCTCCCAGCTGCAACCACCTGCCTGCCTCCTCCTTGGAAAGCCTCAGCCAGGCAGGACAGCAGTCCACAGTTCCTCTTGTAGAGTTTGTGTTTCTCTTGGAGAAGCATTCCTGGCCCGGAGACCTCAGCCCCTTCTTCTTCTTCATCTCTCCTCTCTCTTCCTCTCTCTTCCCAGGCTGAGAAACGGCCTCCCTTTCACTCCGTCTGGCCCTTGAACCCTCTCGCCAGGAGCCCGTGAGAGCCGTGCCAGGCTGGTCTTGGGGTGCAAGAGCGAGCCGGGACGGTTTGTCCTCAAGATCTGGGAAAAGATGGGAAAAGAATTGAGTAGATCCAGGTTGAAATCTGCCTTTGCTCAGAGTTAAAGAGAGAATGAAACACCGGCAAATCGTAATCCGAAGTCTTCTCTAGCCGAGCATCCCCCACTTCACGGTGGCCACGTAGCTGCCTCTGGGAAGGTCACGACCAGGTCCCCGCTTTTAAGGTAGACTGCTCCTGTAGAGGATGTTCTGCAGATAAATCGATTTCTGAGCTCTGGCTGCTGTGAGCAGTTTTTATTCTGGTTTTATAACGCCCGTTAGCAGGCGTCGGCAAAGGGATGGGTTCCGTTCCTCAGCACTGGGTCTCATCCAATCGATCAATCAGAATAGAACTGGAAGGGACCTTGGATGTCATCTAGTCCAACCCCCTGCTCAAGCAGGAGAGCCTAGCCCATTTCAGACAAGTGGCTGTCCAGTCCCTTCTTAAAAGCCTCCAGTGACAGAGCACTCACAGCGTCTGGTGGCAGGCCGTTCCGCAGGTGAATTGTCCTCACCGTCAGGATGTTCCTCCTTCACCTCTTCGGAACTTTGCCAACTTGGCTTTCCATGAAAGAGCAGAACGTTAATTCTTTGTTTTGTCGGTTTCGCCAGCTGGGAACTGCATTCCTTAACGGGGGTCCTCAACGACCAGCAACCGAGCCCAGAATCTCTTGATGCTAAGCGAGACATTTGTTAATGCAGACGGCTTTGGAGGGCTCGCTCGGCCGCCCAAGGGCATCAGGGCTGTCAACACTGGGATCTTAGATGGCATGTCTGAAGCGTCCTTTGTTTACAGCAGGGGTCCTCGATCTTGGCCACTTTAAGACTTGTGGACTTCAACTCCCAGAATTCCTCAGCCAGCAAAGCTGGCTGAGGAATTCTGGGAGTTGAAGTCCACAAGTCTTAAAGTGGCCGAGGACCCCTGGTTTACAGGGTGACCCTGCCAGAAAGACAGGCCGAGGGCAGGGATGGGTCACTCCTGGTGGAGACACGACCCAAGGGGTCCTTTGTCTCCCTCTCGGGCGGGCAGGCCCAGTTGGACATCAGAAACAGCCCCTTCTCTGCACGGAAGAGAAAGGCGGTCGGTGGAAAACATTCCCTTTTCTCTCCCGTTTAAGTCCCCGAAGGAAGGAATGTGCGGCTCATCTGGAAACGATCACATTTCCCCTCTCCCTTCTTCCTTTAATCTCTCCTTCCCCGTGGAGATCTGAAGCCCCCAACGGGGTGCTGGATGCCCAGAGGGAAAGCAAAGCTTGTGCATGTATGTGTGTGTGTGTTTTGCTTATGGTAAGAGTGATCCATCAGCCAGCCCCCCCAGGCTCACTCGTGTGTTTGCACACTCAGCCAAACCTCTGGTTTCTGCCTTCTTCGGTACCGCGGGGACTCCGATTAGCTCCAGAGCGCTGCGAGATGGCTGGCTTGCAGGTGGCATGGGTGAACTCACCCCCCCACCCCCTCTCCATCTGCCTGGTGCACGATCCCAGAACGCTCCCTGTAGAGACTAGCTCTGATGATGTTCCCTAGTTGGGTCATGAAACGTCTGCAAGAAAACCACTAAGCTCAGAGAGCACCAAGGACCCCCACAGTCCTCCTCTCCGCAAACCCCCCTCCTAACATAAATGATGTTACCTAGTTAGGTCATGAAATGTCTGCAAGAAAGCCACCAAGCTCAGAGAGCACCCCCACAGTCCTCCTCTCCACAAATCTCAATTCTGTTCTAGCACTGATGATCTTACCTAGCTGGGTCATGAAACGTCTGCAGAAAAACCACCAAGCTCAGAGAGAACCAAGGACCCCACAATCCCCCTCCTCCTCCGCCTCCTCCCTTCCAGTACTGATAATGTTACCTAGTTGGGTCATGAAACGTCTGCAAGAAAGCAACCAAGAGCCCACAATCCCCCTTCTCCTCCTCCTCCGCCTCCTCCTCCCTTCTAGCACTGATGATGTTACCTACTTGGGTCATGAAACGTCTGCAGGAAAACCACCAAGCTTAGAGAGAACCAAGGACCCCATAATCCTCTTCCTCCTCTCCACAAACCCCAATTCTCTTCTAGCACTGATGATGTTACCTAGTTGGGTCGTGAAATGTCTGCAAGAAAGCAACCAAGCCCAGAGAGCACCAAGGACCCCACAATCCCCCCCTCCTCCTCCTCCCTTCTAGCACTGATGATGTTCCCTAGCTGGGTCTTGAAACGTCTGCAGGAAAACCACCAAGCTCAGAGAACACCAGGAACCCCCCAGTTCAGCCCTGAGCTGCAAATATTCCCCTTTAATTAGCTCCCTGCAGGCCGCAATGGAGGGTCCATAAAAGCAGCCGTTCCTCCCGGCTGTTTCCCAGCCTCTAAAGCTGGCCCAGTACAGGTTGTCCTCGGCTTAACACCAGCTCATTTACTGACCGAAGTGAGAAGGCACTGGAAAAAAAGTGACGGATGACCGTTGAGTGGCCATTGCAGCACACACACCCCGTCCCACGATCGAAATCCAGACGCTTGGCAGCTGACTTTATGATGTCCCCAGGGTCGCGTGATCCCCTTTTGCCCACTTCCTGGCAAGCCAAATCAGAGGGGAAATCCTTTTTGCTGAACAACAAAATTAACTGCAGGGATTCACTGAGCAGCCGTGGTTGTAAAACAGGGCAAAATCCGCTTAACCATTCTCTCGCTTAGCAACCAACATTTTGGGCTCCGTTGGAGTTGTAAGCCGAGGTGCTGCAGTTGGCAACCCAGGGAGGGAGGCTGTCTCCAGAGAGGTTCCAATTGGACCAGTTATGGTTTCTGGCCCTTCTCTGCACAATCCCATCTCTTTTTTTTTTTAAACCTTGTGGCAGTGAGTCTCCCTGGAGAAATAACAAAAGAAATAACAGTCAGGGCAATTAACCAGTGGAACCGCTTGCCTCCAGAAATCGTGGCTGCTCCATCACTGGAGGATTTTAAGAAGAGACTGGACAGTCACTTGTCTGAGATGGTATAGGGTCTCCTGCTTGAGCAGGGGGCTGGACTAGAAGACCTCCAAGGTCCCTTCCAGCTCTATTCTCTTCTAAACAGGTGGTCAGAGGCTGTGGTTTACTCCACACACGGAGGAAAGCCACACAGCTCCGTGGAAACAAGGATCTGCAGGCAAAACTGCAAAATCTTTGCAAAAATCCAAGACTGCAGAGCGGAATCCCAGCAGCCAGAAACAGCGATGGAGGCCGTCTCCCAAGATGGGGAGGGAGTCGGGCCGTAAAGCAAAAGAGGCCTCGAACAGGGACTCCGACAGAGACACTCCAGAAGTAGCTGCCTGGGAAAAGGAGAGGATGCTCCTGTTAAGGATTTCATTGTTCTATCTGTAGCTCTCTTAATATTCCTATTCTATTCTATTCTGCATTCTATTCTATTCCATTCTATTCTATTCTATTCTCTATTCTATTCTATTCCATTCCATCTCTCTCTCTATTCTATTCTATTCTATTCTATTCTATTCTATTCTATTCTATTCTATTCTGCATTCTATTCTGTTCTGTTCTGGCTGAGAAATTCTGGGAACTGAAGTCCACAATTCCCTGCTATAAGGTCTCCTGCTTGAGCAAGGGGGCTGGACTAGATAATCTCCAAGTTCTCTTCAAGCTCTGTGATTCTGTTATCTGGGCTCCTTCTGTGCCAGTTTGAGAAAAGAAAAGAACTCCACAAATGACCCTTTTTCTTTTTTTAACCTTCTTTCTTTAAAATTAAAAATAATCATCAGAGCCCCCAAAAGGGGGGGAGAAAGCTGATATCCCAAGAAAGGAAGCAGCTGAGCTTTGCATTCGGGGCCTCAGGAAGCCAGACCTGCCCCCTGCCGCCCAGCTGCATTCCAAAGAACCAGCCCAGATGTTCTCCACAGCCCTTGCCAGAGTTCACACATGCCAGCCAGGCCCTTTGGGCAATCCGGGGCTGCCTAACTTCCCCGCCAAGGGCGCAGGGAGGAGGATGCAATCCGGGTGGCAGGAGGAGGGGGGGGTATCTAGCTGGGGGAGGGGGCTGCCCACCCCTCTCCCGAGCATCCAGGTGTGGGTTCGAAGCGCGGAGGGATGCTCTCCTTTCTGCCTCTCGCACCCACGCAGGTGCCTTGTCCTGTCTTGACATGTTCCCGCTCTGGCACTCAACCACGTTCCAGGAGCTGAGAAGCGAAGCTGCCAAGCCTGTGGCATCCGCCAACTCTGAGCTAGAACAGGCTTTCCCGCCTCCACGGCGCTCACCCCAACGCCCAAGTTGCCCTGCCCTCAGTTGACTCCCCCCTGGCACCGCTGGGTGCCCCCAAGAGCCAGGCACGAGGCAGGAAGCGAGCCGCCCCTTTCCATGGGTGCAGGTCTGATCAACTGCTGCCCTGTTGGGAGGTTCTGCTTAAGGGTCAAGGATGAAACTTTAGCGGCTTTCCTAGAAGGGCCAAGCACAGCCACCCATCCCCGAGACGAGATCCAACAGATCCAGTTTAGATCTCTAGGGCTGTGGGCACCGCCAGTCTCTCCCATCTTTCAGGCCTGAATCTTTGATTCCGAGTGGAAGCACCAAGGCGGACAGCCCAGCTGAGCCTGGGTGCAACACCCACAAATCAGGACACCAAGGCAATAAAGGTCGGCTGCCTCTAAATCTGGGGGTCTCAATAAGGCTGACACCCCCATCCCTCTCCAGCCTGTAGGAGAGTGCAGAATCCAGCAACTTTTAATTATTTTCCATTCTCTCTTCTCCCAAACTCGCACATCCTTGCCTCTCGGAATACAACCATTTCTACGCAAGTTGCTTTAAAAAGTCTCTCTTTTTTTTTCTCTCCTCCTCCTTCTTCTCCTGACCTGACAGGAGCCAGAGAAGCTGAAAGGAAGAGATGGAGGAGGCGGTGGTGGAGGAGGAGGAGGAGGAGGCTGACTTATAAGCAAGCGTCCTCCACTTGAGGGACGGACTAGCAGATTTAAACTCTGCCACAAGATGCTGCGGAAACTTTGGGGAAGCAGCAAATTCTGAACAGCTTCTCCCCTGGCCAGGAGCAATGCCTCTGTTTTGCTTTAAAAAACCAACTTTTTCCCTTCTGCCTCCACTGCTCCAGCCTGCAGGAGCTTTGTGATTTTTTTTTTTTTGTGTCCGTTTCTGGATCTTTTTGGACAATTTCAATGTTTGTTTGTTTTTTTCTCCTGCTGCTGGGTTTATGCTGACAAGGTTGTTCCTGGAGAGATAAAACTTACTCGGAATTGACTGAAAGTTTGGATCTCTCTGCAAATTAACACGGAAAGTAAGTTGGTTTTTGTTTTTGTTTTTGGGGGTGTTTCAGCTGCTAATTGTCTCCCCTCTTCCTCCCCACCCTTTTTGGTTTTGTCTTATAATCCTGGGATGCTTTAGCAAACGTAACTTTTCAGAGATTTTATTAGACACGGACTTACGCCTGGATTTTGAGCTGTGCTCCGGCGGACCTGATTGGATAAATCTGTTTTAATCTTAGGCTGCTGCAAGATCCTTTTGTTTGTTTGTTTGTTTTTTAAGGGATTCAAACTCCTGTTCCAAAGGGTGAGTCGATTTTTCAAATCCTTTTCAAAATAACCCATCCACCTTCAGGTTTACAAACCGCTCTGCAGGATTTCATCGCCTGAAATCTAAGCTAGGACCAGCTCCGTGCCAGAATCGATTTATAAAAGGGTCCTCTGGGAAAAAGATCTGGGTTTGTTCCCCCCCCCCCATAATCTGAAAAGGTGTTCCTTTAAAAAAAAAGAAAAAATCCTTAAGTAGAAGATGTAATTGATCTGACCACAGGCTGTCTTCATTTTTGGGTGTGTGGTAAACGCTTCAACCTGTTTGTGAATTCAGCCTCCTGTTTCCTATCGTGACTTACAGATCCATGAACACAGCTCAAGTCACACATGAGCGTTTAGCGGTTTTTACACTCCTTTACGAGCTTCCAAACTTTAAAAGGAAACAAATGTGAAATTCCACATTGTGTGCCCAAAGGGAGATGCGGCCAGGCCCCTCTTGCTTTTCAAAAATTCATCACTTACAATTTAGGTTTCTGCACAACTGCGGCCACGATACTTTCCATTTCTGTTTTGTCTCTGAAAAAAACGGTTCGGAAGGAACCAGGAAGTTTTAGTCTGTCGTCTTTGCTGTAAACATTCACACACCTTGTTTTCTCCTGGATGGTGGGTGTGTTTATTTGGGGTGTCAATCACAAACAAAGCTATCTTCAGGGATTCACCTAGAAAGGCAGGTAAAGAACAGTGACAGATGGACACACCTGGGTGGACCAGGGAACCAGGCCCCATTTATTCCAAAGGAAAAAACACGCTTCCCCCCCCCTTTCAGCTATAAATGTACTAGCAATTCCAAAAGATTGTGCTGGATGGCGGGAGGGGGGCACTAGTAATTTGCGAATTATTTCCCCCTGTGCCAGGCAGCAAAGCTCAAAGGTGCTAGTCCACAAGATAATAATAATTATTCAAGCCCCTGCCCTTTGCAAGGGGTTGTGTGAAAGGGGGGCAAACTTGTGTCTCTTTGCCACTTATCAAGACCAGATATTTTTAAAATGCTCCCTCCCACACATTTCTTTCCTCTTATCCTCCACAGCCATGGATGGTTTGAGAAATCTTAGCAAATAAATCAGTTACAGATGAGAAACAAACGTGCTGGAGGGAACCAGTCTTTGCAGCCATTAAAATATTTCCATCTGTCTTTCCTCGATCCTCTCTCTGTTTAGAACAAAAAGGAAAGAATCCATGAAAAATCCCAGTCTGGAAATGATTTTAGAAAGATCTTCTAATCTTTTCTCTTCTCTCTCTCTCTCTCTCTCTCTCTCTCTCTCTCTCCCTTATTGCTGATTAAGAATGAAAAAAAAAGGGATCTGAAATGTATTAATTTGGGCCTGGCTTTGAATGCCTAAAGGAAAAAAAATACATCTTTGAAAACAAGCAGAAGACAAACTTGTCTTCTTACTGTTAAAAAAATGAAGTTAAAACATTGCGTGCGTTAAAAAAAAAAACAATTCTGCACTCACCCAAAGGGACTTTTTAAAAGCCCTATTATTACTTCTGTTGAAAATGAACGTTTGTTTGGGCTAGAGGTTAAAAACTCCGTATTGTTCTACGGGCAATTCCAAATAATTTGTTCACCCAATTTGCTTTATTAGAGATTTACACCATTAAGACAACATCTCCCTGGAAATTCTAGGCAGCGGCTGTTATTATCCACTTAAAGAGAACCAGATCAAGTAATGCTCAGCCAGGGAACAACTTCAACGAGTTTTTTTTCCCCCCTTAAATCTGAGAAAAACACAAGTTGGACCAACCAAGCAAATGAAGCTACCAGTGAAGTCTCTTTCTTTAAAATACAGGACGGGAACCCCATTTAAAATCATCCCGTGGTTTGAAACCAATCCATAACACCTATCCCCTTTTACTTTGCTCTCCCGGCATTGGGGTGGTGACTTATTTATGGGAGGTAGACTACCCCTACATAGGAAGGTTCTACTTTTTTTGTCCTGCTTCTGTATCTGGGCTCTTAAAGGGGCAACAAAACCCAAACAAGACAGTGCTTGGTTGAAATGGGAAAGCCACAATGCTTTAAAGGGACGACAGAAGCTTTTGAGCAGATTCTTAATACTTTGAGGGAGGGGAGGGGGGGCTTCTAAAAAGTCTCCCCACCATCTCAGTTGCAAGAAGCTCTTTCTCCTCCCCTCTGATTTCTCCAACCCCCCCTTTTTTTCTGGATGAAAAAAGGCTCCAACGTCTTTTGCTTTTCCATTGAAGAAGTTTCGCTCTTTTATGATTTGGGTTTTCCAATCCGAAAACGTGTCCCATCTTGCTTCCCTCGAGAAGCCAAACCGGATCAGGCCAAGTTAGGACTTGGAGAGACAGCTGGTGGGACTATCCGATGTTCCCTGCTCCACTCCCAGGATCTGGGATAGGAAAATGGGAGGCTAAACGTGGTTTAGCTCGGTTCCTTCATCCGTTGGTCTCCCCAAAGGAAGACTTATGGGATCCTTATCAGCTCCTCTTTCTCTTCTGAAGCTAACCTTGATTGCTACTCCCCTGTGATCCTGGTTTGAGAGGAAAGAGGGCACTTTCTCCAAAGTAGCCATGATTGCCATGGAGGGTCTTAAGGACACAACGTGCAAACCAAGTTAGAAGCAAGCGCACTCTTTTCTATAAGTTTTCCTCCAAAGCTCTCAGCCTCTTTGGTGGGTTCTAGCAAACTATATTTGATCTTAGCCAAAAGACCGAGAAGCGATGAGTTCTAGCAAACAGATCTAACATCTGATGCCCCAGCGTGTCAGCAGCTTAAATCTTTTCAAGCATGCTCTTGCAGTAAAAATCCTGCAGTTCCGCGAACAGGTTAAAACTGTTTTATTCCCATGTGTTTTTGGACCCACTTAGCTAATAGTGGCTGCCCCTTTTAGTGTGGAAGAAGGGTTGTCTTTGATTTTGGTTGGCTTTTTAAAATACAGTTAAATGTAATTATGATTTTTTTTTGTTTTGTCTTGCATGATGAGATGTTGTGTGCCACACAGAGCCCTGTAAGACAGATCATACATACTAGAAATGAATACTCAAAATACATAAATTCCCTCTCCTCATTACCTATAACCGAAGGAGTGAATATCTGCTCTGTGCTTGCTGTCTTTTTACCTGCATCCTGTTTTTTGGCTTGTAATAAGACAGCTGCCAAATTGGACCCTGCATTGTCTCTATTACTGTGGGGAAAAAATCATTAATTTGGGGTAAACAGAACTTCTGTTTTCAAAGTTTATTTGTTGCCAAGACAGAGGATTTGTGTGCAGTCTTATTTGTAGGCAAAGGAGAGGTGACTTTGCTTTTAAATTTACAACTGTTCCCAATTCCTCTTTGAGTGACTCTTTCTCTTGGTTTTCTTGAAATAAAGGCTGCACCGTTCCTTTTTCAGCAGTTTAGCAGGATCCCACTTGCTATCTTTTATCTCCTTTTTCTAATAATAGAGAAAAAAAAATCATCCTGTTTGGAAACTAGAATTTTAGCACTTTTTTTTTCTCAGCTGGGCTATTCATCGAAATGTTTTCTTTTTTTTTTTTTTCCCTGAAAAAGCCAGGGATTGGGGAAGGGCAAACTATGTAGGTCAATTTTAAGAAAAGGGGGAAAAAAAGTCCTCTTTTTTTCTGCTGGCATCCGAGGCCATCATGCTCAGCCCGCTGCCCAAATGAGATAATTGCAGCTTTAAATCGCCAAGACGGAAAACAATTTGAACTCTTGATGCCAACAGCATCTCGGCAAAGATGCAGGTATTCCTGCCTGAGCAGGGGGCTGGACTAGAAGACCTCCAAGGTCCCTTCCAACTCTATTCTATTCTATTCTATTCTATTCTATTCTATTCTATTCTATTCTATTCTATTCTATTCTATGTTACTCTCTATTCTATTCTGTTCTAGTCTAGTCTAGTCTAGTCTGTTCTGTTCTATTCTATTCTATTCTATAATTCTATTCTATTCTATTCTATTCTATTCTATTCTAGTCTAGTCTAGTCTAGTCTAGTCTAGTCTAGTCTAGTCTAGTCTAGTCTAGTCTAGTCTAGTCTAGTCTAGTCTAGTCCAGTCCAGTCTAGTCTATATTCTCTTATATTCCATTCCATTCCATTCCATTCCATTCCATATTCTATTCTACTCTACTCTACTCTACTCTACTCTACTCTACTCTACTCTACTCTACTCTACTCTACTCTATACTCTACTCTACTCTCCAGCCTTACCTAGAGAAAAGCTTGGCTCTTCTCTAGCTTTGTACACTTCAGAAGATTTGTGCAAAGTCGCCAACAAATGTTGTGCCGTGGAGTGATTCATTCTTATTTCCCACCGAGCAAAAAAAAAATCAGTGCGGGTTCTGCCCAAAAGCGAAGCAAACGCTTCTATCAAAGTATTCCACTCACTCCTGGATCCCGTCTACGCTACGAAATGTTCTGTGCTGCTTTTGATTCCCTGTTGGCATCTTTAATCTTTGCCCTAATTTCGTTTTGCTTGGCAGGCCGCCCTCGCCCCCCCCACCCCCAGGAGGAGCGACCTTGCTCAGCTCCCCCGAAAGAAGGATTACGTCGTCTTCCAAAGGCAGGGAAGAGGCTAGGGAGGCCAGAGCAATAAATTAAAAAGATGTAAATGGGCTGAATGGGTTCCCCACAGGGGACTCCAGGCCGATGTATTTATTACAGCATGCATACCTTAACTAATGCATTATATGCGAGTTATTGTATAAAGGAAGACTTTGACACATGCACGCATCTGTCTGTCTACCTGTTTACCATCTTCTGTTAATGCAACTTGTTTGGCTTCCTAAAAGCAGACCGATACTGGGCGGGTGGCTGCCAGCCAATGGGATCTGCTGAGACTTCCTTAGTTTTCCTAGGATTTTTGATAGCAAGGGAATTTTCTTTCTCTTTATGTAAATTAAAATTAAAGTCTGCCTTGAGATAAGCTCAGTTCTCTGGTGAATTCACAGAGACATCCCCGTGTTTTTCTTAAAAGCATTTATCCAAGTCGTCCTGCTGGGATACTTTCTGCCAATCCTTGTTCTGCCTCAAATCCTTGCCAATTTCTTTGGGATCCACCATTCAAACCAGATTTTTTTTGTTATTATTATTATTATTATTGTTGGGATCAGTCCAATAAGGATCAGCTGAGTTTTAGGGCTTCACCATTACTCTACAAGGAGTTTGCTAGCACCTTTTCCTGGCTGAGAAAAGTTTATTAAAATACGTCTTCTTTCACAAGCCGCGTTATAAATTGCCAACTCACCTAGGCTGTCTGAAATAATTCTCAGGCCCTTCTCTGGATAAACGTAAATTGCTGGCTCTGGTTCTGGGCACTTCTCAAGCTGTTTGGCTCTGTATCCACGACTCACAGCCTTGTATAGAAGAGAGAAAACAGGGAACCATTTACAAGTGGTCCTTGACTTACAACAGTAAGTCACTCAGTGACGGTTAAAGTTGTAAAATCACTGAAAAAAGTGACTTTATATCTGTTTTTCACGCTTATGACCATTGCAATGTCCCTGCAGTCATGTGATTTACATCCAGATGCTTGGGAACTGATTCATATTTATGACCGTTGATGTGTCCCAAGGTCATGGGATCCCCTTTTGTCAAAAAAAGTCAATGGGGAAACCAGATTTGCTTAACAAACGTCTTACTAACTCATCAACTACAGTGATTCACTTAAACCGTGACGAGAAAGGTCGTAAAACGGAGCACGACGCAACTCACTTAACAAATTTCTCATTTAACAAAATATAAATTTTGGGCTCCATTGTGGTCGTAAGTTGAGGACTACGATGGCACTTAAATCAGCACCACCATTTTGTGGGTGATCTTCCCAAATAAATAACGAAACTTAAGAAATCTTGCTTAAGGCTTTTTTCCCAAACCTTTTGAAGTATTGTATTTTTGTGTACTGTCATAAAAAGAGCATTAATCATTATGGAAATAATAGCAAATAATAGCAGAGGAAGGTGGAAATATTTTACTCCACCTAAGGATAAAATGCAGATAATATCCTTGGCCAAGAAAGGTAATTTCTCTGTAATCATTAGGCAGCTTTGCATCACTTATCAACTTCCCAGAAGGAAGACTTGTTTTTGAGATGAAAAATTTAGGTCACAGTGGGAAAATGTTCACAGATCCATATTAGGTTGCTAAACAAAGGGCACGGCTGATTTTTTCCTTGGATGAGTCACCACCAAGAAATCTCAACATTATAGTTTGGGAAGTCAAACTACACAGAATAACCTAACCCTAACCTATATTTTTGCCGAGAAGATAGCATGGATATTTCCAGGAAGACAACACAAAATTTGTATTTTTCACTTTTGATTTCTTCATCTTTACTTTTTTAAAACCAAACTTTGCAAAAATCCATAAAACTGGATTATCAACTTGCCTTTCCTTACAGTGACCCCTGCTGGCCGTATTCTAAATTGCAGACCCCCGTATAAGAATTTGAATTATAGTGGATTTGACTCTGCTCTTCTAAACCCTTTCTTGGAATGATTTGTTGTGATTTCCTTATAAAATTCTTCAAGAAAAGCTACATAATACCCTTCTATTTTTTTTAAGAAAAAACCCAAAATTAATTAATTAGGGGATTGGAGGCTAAGGCATATAAGGAACGGCTGCTGGAATTGAGTCTGTCCAGTTTAATGAAGAGAAGGACGAGGGGGGACAGGATAGCAGTCTCCCAGTATCTCAGGGGCTGCCCCAAAGAAGAGGGAGTCAAGCTGTTCTCCAAAGTGCCTGAAGGCAGGACAAGAAGCAATGGGTGGAAACTCATCAAGGAGAGAAGCAACCCGGAATTAAGGAGAAATTTCCTGACAGTTAGAACAATTAATCAGTGGAACAACCTGCCTCCAGAAGCGGTGAATGCTCCCACACTGGAAGTTTTTAAGAAGAGACTGGACAGCCCTTTGTCCGAAATGGTATAGGGTTTCCTGCCTGAGCAGGGGGTTGGACTAGATGACCTCTAAGGTCCCTTCCAACTTTTTATTATTTATTTAAAAATGCAATTTTCTTTGGATTGCACCTATTTTATTCATACCGCTTTGGGAGGTGCATTTTTATCTCTAGCTAAGCTGCCTCATAGAGTGTTTGAATGATGCAGAATGTCTTCCGATGCAGAAATACAACAAGCCCATTATGGACCGCATTCTTTTTTTCTTTTTCTTTTTAACCATTCCAGTTCTCAATGAGAGGCTGAACACCCTCTCTTTAGAAATGTGGAAGGCATTTTTTAAAAAATAGAATAGTCTTGAGGTTTGGTGGATTTTTTTAAAAAAAAACACAAGTAGTTTTCAACTTACAAGTTCATTTAGTGACAAATTCAAAGTTACAACGGCACCGGAAAAAATGACTTATGACCATTTTTCACACTTACGACCGTTGCAGCATCCCCATGGGTCACATGATCAAAATTCGGACGCTGGGCAACTGACTCATATCTATGACGGTAGCAGCATCCGGGGGGGGCACGTGATCCCCTTTTGCAAACTTCTGACAAGCAAAGTCAGTGAGGAAGCCAGGTTACTAACTTAAACCGGGTTACTAACTTAACAAACTGCAGTGATTCACTTAACAACTGTGGCAAGAAAGGTCTTAAAATGGGCCTTAATAAATTTCTCACTTGGCCGCATAAATTCTGGGCTCAGCTGTGGTCGTAAGTCAAGGACTTTTTGAAACAGGCAACTGGCAGAGCACGAGATGGGGGGGGGGAGAAACCTTCTTTTTCCACCATTTCAAAAACTTCATTTCCACCCACTTCTAGGTTCCCGCTGGTGCCAGCCACGATGCTGAGGCTTCTGCTGAGCGCGTTCTTCCCCTGCCTGAGCTTAGCTGCCCCGTCTCATATTAACAAGCTCGCCCTCTTTCCGGATAAGAACGCCTGGTGCGAGGCCAAGAACATCACCCAGATTATCGGCCACGAAGGGTGCAATTCTAAATCCATCCAAAACAGGTACGGGTGTGGCTCGGCCTCGTAATCCCAGCTTTCCTTTTAGCCTGATGGCACGAAGATGCTCTCTTGGCACCGCAAAGGGACTCGGAATTGTGGGGGCTGCAACACTGGAGGCTTTTAAGAAGAGAACTGGGCTCTCATCCATCTGGAGTGGGATAGAACAGTGGTGGCGAACCTATGGCACGCGTGCCAGAGGCGGCACTCGGAGCCCTCTCTGCTGGCACGCGTGCCACTGCCGCCAGCAGCAGGTCCATCAGGTCGCCACTGCCACCCGGAGCAGGAGCCCCGCCCAGCACAAAGGAGGTGAAGCGGCCGACTAGCAAGCTGGAGTAGAGGTGGTAGAGCAGAGGTCACCAACCATTGATTGGTGGACTGGAAGAAAAAGGAGGGGGAAGCATTTTACATGCATGCATGCGCACCCGGGGCCACAAGCACGCATGCACGCACTGCAGATGGGGTGGGGCTAGTGCCTGCGTGATACTCACTAGCCCTGCCCTGTTCTTGCGTGGTGCAGCACCTTGTATCTGTACCCCGTGGCGTGGCAGCAGCTGTTTTTGCACCTTGCAGCACGGTGGTCGGCTTTTGCGCCCCGGGTTTTTGCGTGCCAGAGGCATCACTCAGAGGCGCCTCCCTGCCCCCCCCCTGAGGGCACCACAATGCTGATGCGGCCCTGGCACTTTGCAATAAATAAGTGGGTTTTGGGTTGTGGTTTGGGCACTCGGTCTCTAAAAGGTTCGCCATCACTGGTATAGAGTGTCCCAAAGATGCTTTGTTTTCCAGGAGGTGACTGGACTCCGTTGTTTTTCTTTGAAGACGTTTCGCTTTTCATCCAAGAAGCTTCCTCAGCTTTGACTGGATGGTCCTTCCATTCCCCACCCTCCAGTCAGAGCTGAGGAAGCTTCTTGGGTGAGAAGCGAAACGTCTTCAAAGAAAAACAAGAAAGTCCAGTTGCCTCCTGGAAAAGCATCTTTGGGGACAACTATGTACTGGACGACTGAGAATCTCCATACACAGTTATAGACTAGAAGACCTCTGAGGTCCCTTCCAACTTGGTTATTCTGTTCAAATTTGGACAGCGATGCCTGTTTCTGTTGGCCTTCCTTGAGAAGGATGCCCACGTTAGCCCATTGGTGCTGGTAGTTTGGTGATACCTGGAATCTTTTAAAAATCTCCCCCTCCAAAGACCCGGAGCACTTCGTTCTGTGCCGTGCCAATGCAAACTGCCTCCAAGCTGCCCGCCTGTGTGCGTCAGGCAGACCCAGGACCCCGGGTTCCAGCACAATATATTCCTAACTCCTTCTTCCTCCTCTTCCCCCAGGGCCTGCATGGGGCAGTGCTTCAGCTACAGTGTCCCCAACACGCTGCCGCAGTCCACGGAGTCCCTGGTGCATTGTGATTCCTGCATGCCCTCTGACATCCAGTGGGACATTGTGAGTCTCTGCCTTTTGTCCTGGGATAAGGGTGCAGATTGCACAAAGGGTGCCCGTTTGCAGTACACCCTTTATGGATACGCGGAGGGAGGGTGGCCAGGTATGCTAAGAAGGGTGGGAAAATCCAGCTTGGGCAGATTAAGGAGAAGGAAAAAAATCACCCCAAGTTTGCAGAGGAGAATCCGGTGCTTTTAAAGCCAGTTAGGGGCATCTAGTCTTAGGAAAGGCAGGGAACACCTTCCGAGCGCATTCCCAAGGACGGGGCTCCTTCAGACGGCTGCACAGCTCCTGATTCTGCCTCCCCTCTCCTCCTCTGTTCCCCAGGTTTCGCTGGACTGTCCCCACAATCCCATTCCTCGGGTGAAGAAGCTGGTGGAAAAAATCTTGCACTGCAACTGCCAGGCGTGTGGGGACCAGACCCCCTACCTGAAGGGCGAAGTCAGCAACCATCCCGACAACTTTCCCTCCCTCCCCCGCTTCCCTGAGGGCCAGGCTCCCGAGCCCCATCCCCACCCTCATGAGGCAGCTCAGGACTGAACTTCCACCCGAAGCCCCCACCTCCTCTATTTCTCTCCCTGCCCCCCTTCTCTCTCCTTCTCTCTCCAGCCTCCATCCTGCTCTGACGTGCAAAAGGGAAAGCAAGGCACAGAATCCAAGGAGCCCTTTTGACACCCAGGAGAGGACAGGAAGCAGGGCTTGGAAGGGGGGGGGAACGTCTGGATTTGGGGTGTGACACCATGTTGGAAGGATGAAGAAGAAAAAAGACTCACTGGAGCTGAAAGCCCCTTTCCTGCCAAGATGGAGTCACCGTCGCCAGCTTGCAGAGGGGCCCACTTCGATTCACCGGTGGAGGGTCTGCACTTCCAGATTTGGGGATGCTAAACTAGGAGGTTGCTGACAAAGAGGCTGTCTTTTTTTCCCTTTGTTCTGAGATCTTTGCCCACAAGCAGGCGGAAGAAACGTGGATTTTCTCGCCAGGTCCCATGGGAACACGGGACTTCCCCCTATACGTAAATATATATATATATATCTATACACCAGACTGAGAAGAAAACCAGTTCGGCAGTATTATGAACTTTTATCAGACTGGTGGGCTCCCTTGTTTCAACTTTCTTCCCCGTGAACACAACGAAAAGGGACCGAGAAGAAGCAGCCGCTATAACCCCAATTTAAATCCTGGGACAATCTCGCCTCTGAAGCTTCCTTCGTGGGTGGAACATCTAGAAGGCAACATTCAAGTCAGATTTGGGGTTCTTGGGGGGGTCTTGCGCCTCAGTTTCCTTCACACCAGCCAGGCAGACTGTTGGCCAAGTTGGGATAGGAGTTGTTAGCTCAGAACTTCTGGAGGACACTTGTCCAGGTCATCTACCCGTGCTTTTGGCCTTGAGCTCGTGGTGCCCAGATCATTTGCCTCCCTTTTTCTCAATCAAGATGAGGTCGAGTTGCAGCTCCCAGTACTGGTGAGCAGGACACGGTCCATACAGTGCATACGCAATCTCTTGAAAACAGCCATCTCTGCCGTGAATCTACTCGCATGTGTTGGAAAGGGGGGGGGAGGCTCTTCTGCAGCCTTTCATCCTGCTTGATCTGATACCGAAGCTGACACCGTTTGGGGACACAAGTCTATCTTTTCACACAATATCACAAGCCTTGGGGGGACAGGGCCGTGGGGTAAGGGCAGTGGTGGGATTCAAATAGGTGAACAACCAGTTCTCTGCGTGGATGCCGCTTCCGGGAGTCTGTTCCGGGCCCGGGCAACAAAAAATTAGCTACCGGTTCTGCCGAAGTGGTGCGAACCGGCTGAATCCCACCATTGGGTAAAGGCTACCGAAGCTCTTTCTCTTTGAAGGAACTGCTGGGGATGATGGTTGCTTGGATCCACGAAAGGCCAAACACGTTTTAGAAGCCGACAGTCCCCACTTACAGCAGGTTTAATTCCTGCCGTGGGTCCCCTGTGTTTGCCCTCTATTTCTCGTCTTCCAGATCAGACTTTTTCCAAGTAGCACTTGAACAAGCCAACAAGGGTGTGGAGAACATCTGGGTTTTTTGGGAAATAAGGAGGAAGAAAGGGGAATTTTCAATTATTGCTTTGGCCATTTTGAACCAAAGGAGCCAACCCCAAATAAGAATTAAATCCTTTTGCTGCTGCTGCAGGTGTCGGCATTGCTTCTGAACGAACCCTGGGCTGTGTGTGGTGTCCGAAAAGACGGTCATTACTCTCTCTCTCAATGTTTTTGTCTTAAATGTTGATCGCACAAACCTGCCCTTCTCATTCTTAAGCCAGGGAAGCTTCCGGGGCACGTAATGCACATCCATCCATGCACACCCACTGTATATTTTTACCTGTGTAGTTATTGCCACTGTCAACATCACCTTAAATAAATTAGACTGAACATTTGCAGTCCTCAACTTTTTTTTATTTATTCAGGGGATCCCACCGGGATGCAAATCTTCGCCATTCAAAAGCTTTTCAAAAAACACAGGCGGTGTTTCTGCTATGGGAAGGGAGGAAAAAAAAAGACAAAAGCTTTTTTAACAAAGCAATTTGTGGGTTTCCCTTTGGAGGCATCAGAACGAGGGCTCCAAAATGTGGTGGCTGCAACAGAGAAGTTCCACTTTAAATACCGAAGTCTCCGTTTCCCCCAAATTCACCATATTCCATAGTAACGGAAAATGGCCAGGGCCGGGATGCTGTTCACACAGACCCATGGGGGGTAAAATAGGCTGAAGGCACTTTGAAATAAAAACCAAAGTTTAAAAAAAAAAAAGAAAGATCTGCCACTCTCCCAAAATATGCACTCTGCAAAATGTGCAATTTTTCCCCCCCTTAGAAGACAGCAAAATGGTACGAGAGTCAAAATGGTCTCCTGCTCTTTGCCCGGTCCAGCCGGCTGCAGAGTGCAGAAAATCTACCCAAAGCCACTGAGATAATTGGTTCCTTGCTTCACAGGGGAAAAAGGACTATTTTTGAGACATTTGTGTGGGTGGGGAGAAAAAAAAAATCTCAGTAGTTTAGACCCTGCTGGTTAGACACCTTGTTGAATAAGGAATGCTTGTCCAAGAATTGTCTCCAAAAGGAGGGGCCACAGGTGAGCTTGGTGCCCCCCCCCGCTGAGGCTTCTGTCTCCTGCAAAGGGGTGTGTGTGTTGCAAAACAGCAGATGGAAAGGCTGCGGGTTCAGGTCTGTACAGGTAATCCTCCACTTAACGGCCACAATTGAGCCAACCATTCTGCCGCTAAGCGAGACGACAGCGGGTGAGTTTTGCCCCATCTTGCGATCTTTCTTTCCACCGTTGTTAAGTGAGTCACTGCGATTGTTAAGTTAGTAACACGGTTATGAAGTGAATCAGGCTTTCCCCATTGACTGTGCCGGTCAGAAGGTGACCCCGGGACACTGCAACCGTCATAAGTACATGCCAGGAGCCAAGCCTCTGAATTTTGGTCATATGACCCTGGGGATGCTGCAACGGTCGTAAGTGTGAAAACTGCCATCAGTCACTTTTTTCAATGCTGTTGTAAGTTGAGAACTGCTTGTAGTTAGAAAGAGAGCATGGGTGGCTGCTGGTGAGGAGAAGAGGAGGAGGAGGAGGAGGAGGAGGAGGAGGAGGAGGAGGAGGAGGAGGGGGCAGCACAGGCCAAGAACCAAATGGGGAGCGAGGGGCTGGCTGGATCCCATCAAGGCCCAGGCCACCGCCAGCAAAATGCACTCAAGCGGCCCATAATCTAAAATTATCCACAGGTAGACAATCACTGGACAAGGCAGCTCCACACTTTAGCATACCTCATGCCCACGCCTCCAACTTCATGGAAAATATGTTTTTTCTTTCTTTTTGACATGGAAGCTCTCTCTCTCTCTCTCTCTCAAAAAACAAATGCAATTATTTGGCTTGAATTTAGGGGAACGTTTGAGGTGGCAAAGGAGATGCCAGCGTCCCTCAGCATCCACCATGTGCACAGATGCCCACCTGGCCACCCACAAAATAGGTGGACAGAGAGCAGGGGGGTCCCCAGTTTCCTAGCAAGGAAGAGTGAAAGAGCCAGAGAGCACAGTGATCACTCAGCCTGGCGCCCGGTCTTCCCTATCCGAGGGTGTCACTCCCCCCCCATGGATGGGCAGCCGGAGCGCCTCAACGCCAGCCTGATGGGGCAGGAGCCTCGGCTGCGTGGCAGTGCCTGGACAGCCGCCTTCCTCTGCTTCATCATCCTCCTGACCATGGTGGGCAACTTCGCCCTCATCCTTCTCATCTTCAGCCAGCCTGGCCAAATCACGCCTATTCCCTACTTTTAATTTTTATTCCTGGTGTTACTTGACTGGCGTGCTCCTCGCTCTCCAAATTCCTTGGCCACTGCTCCCCCTCCCCAAGTGGCACTCCTGAATGGGCAGAGCCCCCAGCCCCAGTTCGCTTCCTCCATGGGATTCCCGCCCTCCACCCACCACCCACAGCATTTTCGCCCTGCCAAACTGTTCCGAGCGAGCGAGCGAGCGAGAGTCAGCTGAAAGGTCCAGATTGACTCTCCTTCCTTCCTTCTCCGGCACACCACCTGCTTGGCTCCCCACCGCCAACCGAGCGGCTTGCCGAAAAAGATCCCTGCTCTGCGTCTCCAGGGAGGTCTCGGTGCCCTTCCAGAAGGGGAAGGGGAGAGGCACTTGCGACGCCAACCCGCCAGCCTGGCAAGGCGAGCAGGGCAGGCGGAGAAGGCGAGCAGAGACTGCAGCTGCTGCTGCTTTGCTTTCTCCTCGTATTTTTCCTTCTCTAAGAGAACTGAAACGCTACAGGTAGGAGATGGGGAAGGGCTGCCAGCCGCCCAGGATGAGGGACGGTGGGGACACCCCAACGAACAGAGAGCAGGGGGGTCCCCAGTTTCCTAGCAAGGAAGAGTGAAAGAGACAGAGAGCGCAGTGATCACTCAGCCTGGCGCCCGGTCTTCCCTATGCCGAGGGTGTCACTCCCCCCCATGGATGGGCAGCCGGAGAGCCTCAACGCCAGCCTGATGGGGCAGGAGCCTCGGCTGCGTGGCAGTGCCTGGACAGCCGCCTTCCTCTGCTTCATCATCCTCCTGACCATGGTGGGCAACTTCGCCCTCATCCTTCTCATCTTCAGCCAGCGGTTTCTGCGCAACACATCCAACTTCTTCCTGGTGTCCCTCTTCCTCTCCGACCTGATGGTGGGCCTGGTGGTCATGCCCCCGGCCATGCTGAACCAGCTCTACGGGCGCTGGGTGCTGGACGGTGCCTTCTGCTCCGTCTGGTTCTCCTTCGACGTCATGTGCACCAGCGCCTCCATTCTCAACCTGTGCGTCATCAGCCTGGACCGCTACCTGCTGATCATCTCCCCGCTCAAGTACAAGCTGCGGATGACCTCCGGCCGGGCCTTTTGGCTCATCCTGGCCACCTGGACGCTGGCTGCCTTGGTGTCCTTCCTGCCCATCAAAATGGGCTGGCACAAGATGGAGTTTGACCGCCACCCGCTCAACGCCACCCTGCAGCTGGAAGAGGAGCAGTGCCGTCTGCTGGTCAGCTTGCCTTACGCCCTCATCGCGTCCGGCCTGACCTTCTTCCTCCCCTCGGTGGCCATCTTGTTCACCTACTGCCGGATCCTGCTGGCTGCGCGGAAACAGGCTCTCCAGGTAGCGTCCCTCACTAACAACAAGCCCATCAGTGAACAAATTCAACAGGTAAATGCAACGGCAGTCCAGAACAGTGTTATTCCCAGGTGGAGAGATGGGCTGGTTGATTGTCCTGGGGAATTAACACATCATGTGATTTGCTCCGGAGGGATGAATTAACTCCATGCATGCTCAGAGAGACAGTGATATTTCCAAACATTTTCCTTCACTTGCTAGGCATGGGTACCGTTACCACTGCATCCCTCAGAGGCCGTGGAAAATTAGGTTATCTCTGGGTCCATAGAGCCGAGGTGGCGCAGCAGTTAAAGTGCAGTACTGCAGGCCACTTTAGCTGACTGTGTTCAGCAGGTCAGCGGTTCAAATCTCACCGGCTCAAGGTTGACTCAGCCTTCCATCCTTCCGGGGTAGGTAAAATGAGGACCCAGATTGTTGGGGGCAATGTAAATATATATATATATACATTGCTTACTGGTGTATACCGCTTAGAGAGTGCTTGCACTTAAAGCGGTATATAAGTCTCATAAATAAATAAATATCTGTCCTCTTCCTCAAAAATGGGTTTTCTTCCTGCTACCCACGTGGCTTCTGTTTTTCTGCCCCATTTTCAATGTGTTTGGTGTATTTTGGACTTAGCATAGCAAGCTGTGCAATGGGCACATTATATAACCAATAGAACTGCCAGACCCTCAAGTCCGATTGAATGAGCATTTAATCAAGATTTTCTCCTCGTTTAAGAAAAATAGACAGCCAAAAGCAGCTTCTCGTGTATTGAATTGAAGGAGAATTGGGCAAAAAAAAAAAAAGAGAGAGAGAGAAATGAAAAATAATTTTTTTCTGCAGCTTTAACAAAGGCTGCAAACGAAACCTTTCTTAAAGCAGTGTGTATGTGTATTAATTTGGAAACCGTTGTTTTCTTCCCAAATTCAACAGTTTCAGTTGCGCACCCACTTTCTACTGTACACGTAGAAAGCCACTGGACTCTACATGAGTCCACGTTCTGGGGATGACTTTCCCTTTCTAATTAGGCCCTGCTATTAGTCTCCCTGTGCGATGCTGCCAACTGCACCCCCTCCACAAATTAAACACCCCAGGGGTGCCGAAGAAAGAGGTTACAAACATTTATTTTGGAGAGGGCAGCCAAACAGCACCGCCAATTTTGATGGAAAAGGTTAGGGAGAAGGCAAGGCACGGCCCCTGGTGACTAATTTCTAAAAAGCAGATGCCACTTCTGGGAAAACACCCAGCCTGCAGACGAGGTATCAGTTATAACTATACTGCATTCTCATGAATGAGGTTGGAGACGCATAAAGCAGTTTTACATCCTTTAGATCAGTGGTGGCGAACCTATGGCATGGGTGCCAGAGGCGGCACTCAGAGCCCTCTCTGTGGGCACGCGAGCCATCATCCCAGTCCTAGGCCTTCAGCTGGATTTTATAAAACCTTTTCGCTTTAGGCCTCCGCCGCCGTGTGCAAAAAAAAAAAGGTTCAATCAATCAGTCAATTTCAACTTCTCGCGGGAAAAAAAAGATCTTGCAAAGTTGGGATTGATTGATTGAACTTTTTAGTCCCACCCAGTCGGCCGTTACCACTGCAGCCACGCCTATCCAATGGGCCACACACCCCAAATTGGCCACACCCAGCCAATGGGCCACACCCACCCGGCACCGACCATGCATAAATCGGTTTTGGGTTGCAGTTTGGGCACTCGGTCTCTAAAAGGTTCGCCATCATTGCATTAGATCAGTGGTTCTCAACCTTTCTAATGCCGCGACCCCATAATACAGTTCCCCATGTTGTGGTGACCCCCAACCACTTATACATCACCGGGTGCCAGGGGCCTGGCCAAAGAAAATGGGAAAAAAATGGCGGACAGCCTTGCTTGGCGACCCCCGTGAAATGGTCGTTCGACCCCAAATGGGGTCCCGACCCACAGGTGGAGAACCCCTGCATTAGATAGAAGCACAAATCTCTGGGTAGCCACAAGAGGGCAGCGCTACAATGTGGGAAGATTTGGCCACAGCTTCAGTAGATTAAGATTGAGTGACACTTGTCCATTGATCTCTGGAATAAAATCCAGTGTCCAATATCTTCAGATATTTCCTTATCTGAAGATGACCAGGTCAGCCGCCGAGACCATGCTACCAGCCTCATGCCTCCCAAAATGGAACTGAAATTTCCAAAAACGCCGGCTTTAAGGTAGCCTGCCCTTGTTCAGAGAAGCTCCACTTTGCTGATAATACAGACTTGTAAAGCCATGAGAAAAACCTATCGGAGCTGGAATCTTTGCACCTGAAAATCCCCATTTAAAAGGCTTCTAATTCAGGAATTTGGGGAAGGGGCCATGTCTGGACCCTTTCACTCGCTTGTCCTCCACAGTGTATCTGCAATTCTCAAAATAAAACGAGCAGAGGTGGAGATGAACTGTTCCTTAGAAGAAGGGGGGGGGAATATCAGCGCCAGGCCTGTTTCCCCCCCTCCAGTAATCCACCCACCACCTTGTGCCATGTGTGAGTAGGCAGGGAGCAACTGCTCAGCTAGGGGGGGAAGCACAGAATGACTCTTAATTGCTTCCCCGACGCAGCCAAGGAACTAAAGCTGCACAAGAACTGAATTCGGGTCCTGGGTGGGTGCCGCCTGCAGATCCTCTCCTTCAAGGCCAGTCTACCTGCCGGTCAGGATAAGAGGTGGGGAGACAGTAGCAACTCCTTTGCAAACCCACCAGGGAAAAGTGGCCGTTTGCTGCAAAAAAAAAAAAAAAAAAAAATCTCCCCCGTCCTCAAGGGATAAAATGGAGTTCCGTAGACAATGGGGCTGGCCCAGTCCAGAAGGGACATTAAGGCAGTCTGGAGGGTTTTATTTATTTATGAGACTTCTATACCGCTTTAAGTGCAAGCACTCTCTAAGCGGTGTACACCAGTAAGCAATGTGTGTATGTATGTGTATGTATATATACATACATATACATATATATATATATATATATATATATATATATATATATATATATATATATATATATATATGACATTGCCCCCAACAATCTGGGTCCTCATTTTACCTACCCCGGAAAGATGGAAGGCGGAGTTCACCTTGAGCCGGTGAGATTTGAACCGCTGACCTGCTGAACACAGTCAGCTAAAGTGGCCTGCAGTACTGCACTCTAACCCAGATTCTCTAACTGATGTCCATAGCTGCACACAGCTGCTTCTGCAAAAGTTATTGAAACAGAGGTCAGGACTTGTCTAGCATCCGTGCCTCAAACAGTCTGCCATTCTCCAGAATCCCATTGGCTGGAAGGAAAGTGGAATTTTAGCCTGTTTTTGGTGCTTTCCAAGCACATCTGACTACAGGCCCCATCCTTCCCTCCCTGCCAACCAGCACAAAGCCCAGCATCCTCACAGACCCCTCGCACTGTCCTTCCCGGGAAATGCCTCTCTCCTATCCCTGGCGGAAGAAAACCCCGATACCTGGCTTAGAAGGGTACTAGCCATTTTACCTTCCAAGTCTTTGGCAGGTTCACCTTCCCTCCCTCTGAAAAAATCTAATTAAACCCCTTTGCAGAGTTCAATAGGCACTTAAGCTGGCGGGAAATTAAATAATACGCCAGCAGGATTTTTTGCCTTGGAAGAAGTGGACCAACGGAGCCAGCTTGGATGAATAACATATAATCTTATTTTTCTCCTGGCATGGGAAAATCTCTGGAGCTCTCCCCCCCAGGAGAGGAAAGGGGGGGTGGGGGTGGGTGGGAAGAAAGACAAATGTTCCCAGCATAATGAAACTTAATTAGCTAATATCGTTTAGTCACCAAGCAGCTTGTTAGGAAGGAAAAGGACACCAGGACTCCGGCAGCATAAGGCCGGCTTGCCAAAAAACTCCCTTTTAAATATTAAGGGGCAAAAACAAAACGGCAGACTAAGTTTCTAGTCCTTGGGGGTGCAAAAGCTAACTGTCCCCCGGGGCCTGTGGAATAATGCTAACGTGCAGTCTAACTGTATTGTCTTTGAGAGCCTCTGAGAAAGAAAGGTATCAATCATACCAAGGTGATAAACTATAACTTACAATTTCTCTGCAGTTTCTTTGATATTTTCTTCAAATGACACATTTTCCAGAAGCTTCATAGGTATTCCAGGAGTTTTAAACCCTCTTTTTTTCAGCTTTGATGTCCAAATCTTTAGGCCACAGGCATGTTCATTTTTCCTCCCAAGATGTACATCTAAAAAAAATAAATGGGAACTTCTCAACCACTATCCAGTGCTTGAAGAAATAAATCAGAAATCCACCTACTTAACCTAGAACATTCAGGCTATAATTCCTTCATTGTTTACACAAAAATAAGCTCTAATGAAGCTAAGTTTGACAAGTTAAATCATGAAGCCTTAATGTCATTGGTTTAGCACTTGGAATTCAGCATGGTGATTTATAAACCACGGTTTATAGCACAGGCAAACTTAGTTAACTAGGGATTATTGAATGAGGATTAAACTATGATACAGTGCCATATGTAAACCAGGATGTAGAGGGATAACCAGAGAAATACTGGAACTCTTTTAGGTATATTTAACTGCGAACTCTTGTCAATTTCCAAATAACTATCACAAGATCCATAATACAGCAACATCTTTTAGAAGAGCTGTAAAAAAAAGGAATAGTACAGCCATTATTAACATGGTGGCCTATTCCTCGCTAACTAATAATAAGTTGATCAACATTTTATGCAAAGTCAACCTTAATAGGATCACCAAAGGTTGTTCAAATCCTCCAACATTTAAATTCAGTTCTTGCCGTTCCTGATTCAAATGTATGTCAGGGCCGATGCCTCCTTTTTTTAGAACTTTAGAAATTAGAATTTTCTAGAATGGGACCTACAATTCCATCACTAAGAAGGTGGTAAAGAATCATACGCGCCAAGTAATTTAACTTTGCAGTAATTGCCTCTAATTTACTCTATAGCCTGCAGGAGGAGAAAAAAAGAACATAATTGTAATTGCATTTAAATTCTAAGATGGGGTTTTTAGAACTCTTACTTCCTCCTCGTTCTTAGTCAGTGCAAATAATTAGTTGCTGATTTTTGGCTTGGATCATTTTCTTTCTTTCTTTCTTTCTTTCTTTCTCTCTCTCTCTCTCTCTCTCTCTCTCTCTCTCTCTTTCTTTTTTTCTTTAGTTTTTGAGGAAAAAATGGAGAAATTGAATCCAATTTTCCAAGTTATCAAGATGAGGCAATTGTCTAAATTGTTTCGTTTTGGAGGATGACAAATAGAAGTTTGTTCAATGCAGTTTTTTACAGCAATCTGCTGCTGATTTATTTTTAACAAATGAACTTGAAAAACCCTGGCAGTCTCAGAAAAGATCTTATTTATCAGGTTTACACACCTGCGAGGCAACTCTGAGCAGTGAATAAAACCATAAAAAAACAACATTAAAGCATTCAAATATACACAATATTATAAGAGGTTAATAAATTAATTGTGATATTTCCGGGGTGGGTGGGTTAGAAACCTTAAAAAGCTATGTGAGAAGTCAGAATTATTTTCAGTGACCAATCTTTAATAAAGCTGAGTTTATTTAATTAGCAGCAAGGTACCAAGATCACAATTTAATTGTGATGTTGGTTGGACTGAAAACGCCTTTTCAGAAAAAGGCTCGCTATTTCAGCAGAGGGCTGGATTAGAAGACCTCCAAGGTCCCTTAGCTTCAGCAGATCAAGATTGAATGACACTTGTCCATTGATCTCTGGAATAAAATCCAGTGTCTAAACTCTTTCTGGATTTTATAAGATATTTCCTTATCTGAAGACGACCAGGTCAGCCGCTGAGACTATGCAATCAGCCTCCCACCTCCCAAAATGGAAGCGAAATTTCCAATAACGCCAGCCTTAAGGTAGCCTGCCCCTGCCCAGAGAAGCTCCATTTCGCTGATAACTAGAGAGTTGTAAAGCCGTGAGGAAAACTCCTGCGTTTTTTGCTCCTCGGCTATCAGACTTGGAATCTTTGCACCTGAAAATCCCCATTTAAAAGGCTTCTAAAACCCACTTAGTTTTTTTTCCTCCCACCCCAGGTGAAAGAAAAAAGAAAAAAAAAGGGGGGGGACAAACCCCCTCATTTTTGATAAAGGGTGTGGGGGGGATTGAAATGAATTGGAGACGCTTCCCGGGTTAGTTCCTCCTCTTGGAAATGAGGAGCTCTAAAAAGGAAGCCAAGTTGGATCTGCTTTAAGGGAGCCGGGTAAAAGAAGATGGCAGGAAGGGGGGGGGGATTTTCCTGAGGGGGGGCAAAGGGGAAAAAGCCCCCAAATTCAGCAAAAGCCGAGAGGGGAGGAAAAACAAACATCCCAAAAGGACACTGAGGCTCCTGGTTCCTCCCCAGTGTCAGCAGCGAGGACCCTCGGAAGCCCCCCTCACCCGGGTGGGAGCTCCCCTCAGCCCCCTCCCCAAAGTCAGGCCCCCGCTTCAGGGGGGACCCCGCCGGGCACCGTCCCGGGGGCAAGAGGCTCCCCGGCTGACGGGCTCCCTTTGGGGGCGCCTCGGGAGTCCCGAAGCTGCTCAGCCCTTCCCCAGCCTGGGGGGGGAGGGAGAGGGGGTGCCGGGCTGGCCAGCCTCACCCTGGCTTGGGAGGGTCGGAGGTCGTTGAGAGACGGGGGGGGGGGGGGTGTTAATGGGGGAGGGCTTGGCTCGGCTGGCTGAAAGGAGGTGTGACCCCAGTGTGGGAGGTCATTTCTGTCTGTCTACCTCAGGGGTCCCCAACCTTGGCAACCTGTGGACTTCCAATTCCCAGAATTCCCATGCAAGATTGGGCCTACCTTACATCTACCTGCCGTTTATCTATCATGCCTTTCTCTATCTCATTTCTCTCTGTGTCTTTTATCCCTCACCTCTCCCTGTCATTTATTTATTTTATTTATTTATTTTATTTATTTATGAGACTTATATACCGCTTTAAGTGCAAGCACTCTCTAAGCAGTGTACACCAGTAAGCAATGTATATATATTGTATATATAATATATAATACAATGTATATATAATATTTACATTGCCCCCAACAATCTGGGTCCTCATTTGACCTACCCCGGAAGGATGGAAGGCTGAGTCAACCTTGAGCCGGTGAGATTTGAACCGCTGACCTGCTGAACACAGTCAGCTAAAGTGGCCTGCAATACTGCACTCTAACTGCTGCGCCACCTCGGCTTTATCATCTATCCTTGCCTCTTCTATCGTCTCTCACCTCTATGGATCTATATCAATTTATCTATCATCTATCATCTACTGTCACAGCTATCTAATCCACGTCTTTCACTTATCATGTCTTTATCATTTATCTATCGTCTAGCATCCATGTACTGTATATCCTTTATCATCAATATCATTATCTCTATCTATTCTATCATCTCACACAACCATGTATCTAGATATATCAATTTATCTTTTATCTATCATCACTATCATTTATCTTTCATCATCTTTCTATCATCTCTCGGTATCTATCTATCATCTATCAATCATTTATCTAATCTATCTTTTATCTATCCTATCTATCTCTGTCATCTTTTTTATCTATCCTATCTAATCTCTATCCTACCTATCTCTATCTACTTTATCAACTTCTATCATCTACCTGTCATCTATTTATCTCTATCTACTTATCTCTCTATCTCTATCTAATCTTTATCTATCCTATCTAATCTCTTTCTATCCTATCTACCTATCTTTATCTACTTTATCTACTTCTATCATCTACCTACCTACCTATATCTACTTCTCTCTACCTACCTATCTACCTATATCTACTTCTCTCTCTCTCTCTCTCTCTCTCTCTCTCTCTCTCTCTCTCTCTCTCTCTCTCTCTCACACACACACACACACACACACACACACATCTATCTAAATGGGGGTCTTTGCAAAGAATCCCCTGCCCCACAAAATCTTGGCTATCCACACACTAAGCTTCAAAACCAGGTTGATCTTGGCTGGCTGTGTGTCCTATAAGCCCGAAAACCTGCCAGTTGAGTTTGCCAGGAAAGCCCCCAATGGCTCCCCCAGGACTGATTCTTTTCTACTGTGTGGGGGGGATGCGGGGATGGGCGGGAAAGGAAGTTCCTTTCCAGCTGCTTTAAAAGGGCCACATCCTGGCTTCCCAGCCCCCCCCCCCCAGTTCCAATAGCTGGGTATCTCCCTGGCATCGCCAGCCCTCCGCCGAGTCCCAGTTTGGGGCATCTGGGCCCACCCCTTTTCCAAAGGTGTCTTGACTTCCTTCTGCTTTGGGGGCTCTTCACAGGTTCCCGGAGATCAGGGCCAGGCCAGTGGGGTGAGCGATAACCGGAAGTTTGCCAACAAGCACAGCCGACGGGCCCTGAAGGCCAGCCTGACCCTGGGCATTCTTCTGGGCATGTTCTTTGTGGCTTGGTTGCCCTTCTTCGTCTGCAACATGGCCCAGGTAAGCACTCCAGGGGCACACTCTGCCCCCCCAGAGAAGGTTGCAAGGGGGCAGAGGGAGGATAGGGAACCTGGGGTGGGGGGGCAGGAGGGAAAGTGGGAGTCCCATCAGCTCCAATCATCTCCCATTTCTTGGCATCTCCTTGTGATCCTGGAAATTCAAGTTTAAATCTTCACGTGGCTCTGGATATTTTTATTCCTTTTACTCCAGTCACAAAAGTTATTTTTATTCATAAAGTGTTTCCTCCCCCCCCCTTTTTTTTTCCCTTGCATGAGTGAAAGGTGCTCAAAAGCACGAGGGGGAAGTTGAATTCTCTAGAAGCGATGCGTTGTTAGAAAAAGCAGTCGGGGAAGACGATTGTCCTCATCTGTTCCAACCCCTGGTAGATTTACAATTAGTCCTCGGCTTACAACAGTTTACTGACCGCTCAACGGCGATTGTATGTGGTGGATGGTAGCATCGGCATAATGACAGATGACTGTTTTTCACACAATCGTCACAGCACCACCAGAGTCACGTGATCAAAATTCAGACGCTTGACTCATACTTATGACGGTTGCAGTGTCTTGGGGTCACATGATCCCCTTTTTTGACAAGCAGCCAATGGGGAACCCAGATTCACTTAACAACCTGTGTTACTAACTTAACAACTGCTCTATGGAGATTCTCCGTCATCCAGGCCATGGGTGTCCCAAAGGTGTTGTTTTCACGAGGCCACTGGACTTTCTTGTTTTTCTTTGAAGATGTTTCGCTTCTCATCTCAGAAGCTTCTTCAGCTCTGACTGGATGGTGGGGAGGGGAAGGATTTATACTCCTTTGCAGACAGCTGGTCGTTTGCATCCTTTTAGAGGGTTGTTGAGGCCACTTGGAGGTTTACTTGTGTCCTCAGGGTCACCTGAGTGGTGCAAATAGGTGGGGAGCCTTCTTGGGATTGTTGAAAGGATGAAGGCTCAACACACGTTTGCACCACTCAGGTGATCCTTAAGTCACAGATAAACCTCCAAGTGGCCTCAACAACCCTCTAAAAGGATGCAAATGACCAGCTGTCTGCAAGGAACATATATCCTTCCATTCCCCACCATCCAGTCAGAACTGAGGAAGCTTCTTGGGTGAGAAGTGAAACGCCTTCAAAGTCCAGTTGCCTCCTGAAAAAGCACCTTTGGGTTAACAACTGTAATCCACTTAACAACGCCGGTAAGAAAGGTCATAAAATGGGGCAAAGCTCAGTGAACAATGTCTCGCTTAACAGCAGAAATTTTGAGTTCAGTTGTGGTCGTAAATTGAGGACTGCCTGAATTTGCAAAAAAGTGAGCTTCGGCAACTCCTCTTATTCTGTCTTTCTTCTCTCTCTCACTTCTCCTCAAACTGTCTTCTTCTTGTTCTTCTCCTCCTCCTCTTCTTCGCCTTCTTCTCATTCTCCTCCTCCTCCTCCTCCTCCTCCTCCTCCTCTTCCTTCTTCTTCTTCTTCTTCTTCTTCTTCTTCTTCTTCTTCTTCTTCTTCTTCTTCTTCTTCTTCTTCTTCTTCTTCTTCTTCTTCTTCTTCTTCTTCTTCTCCTCCTCCTCCTCCTCCTCTCTCAGGCGGTCTGCAACTGCATTTCGGCCGATTTCTTCGACATCCTGACCTGGCTGGGCTACTGCAACAGCACCGCAAACCCCATCATCTACCCGCTCTTCATGCGGGACTTCAAGCGGGCCATGGCCAAGTACCTGCCTTGCTGTCCCCGCACGTGGGAACGCAGGCCCAGCCGCGTCTCCCTCTCCCTGAGGAATTCCAACAGCGGCCCCCGGCCGGGGGTCTCCCTCCGGAACGCCCTGTCTCTGCCAGGGGAGACGGACTCGGCCGATTCCATCATCCACGGCAACGCCAGCGACCAGACGCTCGGCTTCCTCCCGGCCACGCGGGCCAACTCCCTTCGCCTTCCCCAGGCCGAGCAGACGCCGGAGCCCAAGCTGAACCTCATCTATCTGAATAGCCCCTCGGATTGAGAATCCTGCCCTGCTTGGTTGACCAGGTGGCGGTTCTGACCTGTGCTGGGGTTGTGGGGAGGGGGAGGCAATTCCACCGGCCAGGTGTCCCCCTCCGGACCAAGGAGAGCCACCGTCCTTCCTTTCGCCTGGATTCCCCTTCTCGCTCCTCAGATCTTTTTAGATTATTTTTCTCTCTCTCTGCCCGCCAGCCTCGCAGCTTGGATGGCTTCTGGCGGGATTTCTTCCTCAGCCCGTACGTGATTGCAAAACGCTGCCAAGCAAACATATGTGTGCATGTATGTGCGTGCTTAACAGGGACAGCATAGCGGAGGCCTGCCCTGGCTGTGTGTTTTATTTATTTATTTTATTTATGAGATTTATATACCGCTTTAAGTGCAAGCACTCTCTAAGCGGTGTACACCAGTAAGCAATGAATATATATATTTACATTGCCCCCAACAATCTGGGTCCTCATTTTACCTACCCCGGAAGGATGGAAGGCTGAGTCAACCTTGAGCCGGTGAGATTTGAACCGCTGTCCTGCTGAACACAGTCAGCTAAAGTGGCCTGCAGTACTGCACCCCACTGCAAACTTTCCCATCCTCTCCCTGGCCCAGAGGCCAGCCCCTCGCTGCCCCGGCCTTATTCCCTGGCCTTCTTCCCCCAAACCAGCTTGCACGCGGCGCTAAACAGGAAGGTTTTCACTTGGCTTTCTTCCAAACCAGGGCTAGCGGCCGTGAGCCAGGGTCATGCGCCACCGACTCACCTGTGTGCTGCTTAATCCCAGCCTCCCTTTTCAAAAATCCAGCTGAAATGCCAACGGCGCGCAAGATTTCCCCATCGCCAGATTTGCGTGATGTTTTATTACAGCCGTTTGGGCCGGTGGGGAAGGGGGAACCTGCTGTTTACTAAACACAAAAAGGACCACGGTCACCCCCTCCTCGCCTTCACGGCCCTTGCCAGATTTTTGCACATTTGTGCAAGTTGTGGCAGCCTGTCACCCCCAGCCTGGCTGACCTGCCTCTCTCTGAGCTACATGGAAGGAATTACGGGGCAATTGCTTGGACCAGGGGTAGGCAACCTTGGCTCTTTTAGGACTCGTGGACTTCAACTCCCAGAATTCCTGAGGCAGCATGAGGGAACTATGGCCCCCTTCATGACTCGTGGACTTCAACTCCCAGAATTCCTGAGGCAGCATGAGGGAACTATGGCCCCCTTCATGACTCGTGGACTTCAACTCCCAGAATTCCTGAGCCAGCCATGCTGAGGGGAAAGGGAGAGGTTTCCAAGCTGAGCCATGCTGGCTCAGGAATTCTGGGAGTTGAAGTCCACGAGTCATGAGGGGGCCATAGTTCCCCCATGCTGGCTGAGGCATTCTGGGAGTTGAAGTCCACGAATCATGAGGGGGCCATAGTTCCCCCATGCTGGCTGAGGCATTCTGGGAGTTGAAGTCCACGAGTCATAAAAGAGCCAGGGTTGCCTACCTCTGGCTTAGGCCCAAGCCGCTTTATGACTCATGGACTTCAACTCCCAGAATTCCTCAGCCAGCATGGCTCAGCTTGGAAACCTCTCCCTTTCCCCTCAGCATGGCTGACTCAGGAATTCTGGGAGTTGAAGTCCACGAGTCCTAAAAGAGCCAAGGTTGCCTCCCCCCCCGCTCTTTTATGACTGGTGGACTTCAACTCCCAGAATTCCTGAGCCAGCATGGGGGAACTATGGCCCCCTTCATGACTCGTGGACTTCAACTCCCAGAATTCCTGAGCCAGCCATGCTGAGGGGAAAGGGAGAGGTTTCCAAGCTGAGCCATGCTGGCTCAGGAATTCTGGGAGTTGAAGTCCATGAGTCATGAGGGGGCCATAGTTCCCCCATGCTGGCTGAGGCATTCTGGGAGTTGAAGTCCACGAATCATGAGGGGGCCATAGTTCCCCCATGCTGGCTGAGGCATTCTGGGAGTTGAAGTCCACGAGTCATAAAAGAGCCAGGGTTGCCTACCTCTGGCTTAGGCCCAAGCCGCTTTATGACTCATGGACTTCAACTCCCAGAATTCCTCAGCCAGCATGGCTCAGCTTGGAAACCTCTCCCTTTCCCCTCAGCATGGCTGACTCAGGAATTCTGGGAGTTGAAGTCCACGAGTCCTAAAAGAGCCAAGGTTGCCTACCCCTGGCTTAGACAGTTCTGATCATTGTTATTATCGGTCAGCTAAGGACTTTCTAAGCCTGTTGGGTGAGAATTTAACCCCCGTTCACTACTGAACACCAAGTATGGTGGAGTCCAGCTTGTGACTTTAACACGCCCCAAGTGTGTTTGTTCACGTGGACTTAGCTGGAAAGGGGTTGGGGTTGACACAGGGCGGGGGGGGGGTCTCCCTCAGTCTCTCCTCTTCCAGCTCGGTTACCTTTCGGTAGACTTTCGTACTAATTGAAAAGTTTCAAAGTAAAAGGGATTTGTCTCTCTTTATGCCTGCTTGCTCTCTCTCTCTCTCTCTCCCTGTGTCTCTACTTGGTCTCTCCTGCGCTCCACGGCTGCAGAAAATAGTTCCACCAACACTGCACGGAGCGCTGAATTGCAAGAAAAATGTCCTAGTTGTGTTAGGATTATTGCTCCTGCTACCACCACCAGGGCCCTCCCTACTCTAAGCAGCACCCAAAGGACCTAATAAAATGTAAAGAAAAAAAAAAGGTGAAGAGGATATAGAAAGTGGAAATTAAACTTAACCTGTCAGCAAAGGCCAGCTGAGCCTGTGGACATTTTTAGCCTTTCCCAGGCTTAAATATTTCATCTCTGCTTGGAAGAATGGAATGGAATAGAATAGAATGAATAGAATAGAATATGGAATGGAATAGGAATAGAGTAGAATAGAATAGAATGGAATGGAATAGAACAGAATAAAATAAAGAGAGATGGAATGGAATGGAATAGAATAGAATATAGAATGAAATAGGAATAGAGTAGAATAGAATAGAATAGAATGGAATGGAATAGAATAGCAGAGTTGGAAGGGAACTTGGAGGTCATCTAGTCCAACCCCCTGCTCAGGCAGGAAGCCCTATACCGTTTCAGACACATGGCTGTCCAGTCTCTTTTTAAAAAAATTCAGTGTTGGAGCATTCACCGCTTCTGGAGGCAGGTTGTTCCACTGGTTAATTGTTCTGTCAGGAAGTTTCTCCTTAGTTCTAGGTCAGTGGTGGCGAACCTATGGCACGGGTGCCAGAGGTGGCACTCAGAGCCCTCTCTGTGGGCACGCGTGCCATTGCCCCAGTCCTAGGCCTTCAGCTGGGTTTTATAAAATCTTTTCGCTTTAGGCCTCCGCCGCCATGTGCAAAAAAAAAAAAGGTTCACTTAACCAATTTCAACTTCTCGCGGGAAAAAAAAAGATCTTGCAAAGTTGGAATTGATTGACTGAACTTTTTAGTCCCACCCAGTCGGCTGTTACCACCGCAGCCACGCCCAGCCAATGGGCCACGCCCACCCAGCACCCAAGGATGCATAAGTGGGTTTTGGGTTGCAGTTTGGGCACTCGGTCTCTAAAAGGTTCGCCATCACTGTTCTAGGTTGCTTCTCTCCTTGATTAGTTTCCATCCATTGCTTCTTGTCCTGCCTTCAGGTGCTTTGGAGAATAGCTTGACTCCCTCTTCTTTGGGGCAGCCCCTGAGATATTGGAAGACTGCTATCCTGTCCCCCCTCGTCCTTCTCTTCGTTAAACTAGACACACCAGCAATTCCAGCAACCGTTCCTTATATGTTTTAGCCTCCAGTCCCTTGATAATTTTTGTTGCTCTTCTCTGCCCTTTTTCTAGAGTCTCAACATCTTTTTTACATCGTGTCGACTAAAACTGGATGGAGTATCTCAAGTGAAGACTCAGAATGAAGACTCAGAACATCTAAGCACTTGGAAATGAAATAATATGAAAGATAAAAATACAAATTAACGTTATCTCCAAAAGAGCAGGGTGGCTGGTAAAGGCCAGGGAGTCTGCCCTCTTGTGGTCACTATTAGTCATTGCAACTAGTAAAGAGAGCCAAGGTCAGCCATTATTCTTATTACTCTTTTACAAATAGCCCTCGACTTAACAACAGTTTGTTTAGTGACCGTTCGACATTACAACAGCCCTGAAAAAAGGGACTTATGGCCGTTTTTCACACTTATGACCCTGGCAGCATCGTGATCAAAATTTAGAAGCTTGACAACTGACTCACATTTATGACGGTCGCAGCGTCCCGGGGGGGGGTCACGCGATCCCCTTTTGCGACCTTATGACAAGCCAAGTCAAGGAGGGAAGCCCGATTCGCTTAACAACCGTGTGGCTAACTTAACAAATGTGGCGATTCACTTAACAACAGTGGCCAGAAAGGTCACAAAGTGGGGAGAAATGCGCTTAACCAGTGTCTCACTTAGCAACAGAAATGTTGGGCTCGTGCGTAGAGGGCTGGCTATACTACTATTATTTTTATTTTTTGCTTTTTATTTATTGCTTGGTGCCTTTTAAACCAGATTTCAAATTTACATGGCATCTCCTTGCCTGGAGAGTGGTGAAGGAAAAGCCTGCCCTCCTGTGGACATCTGTGGTCACTACAGCCCGCATCGACAGGCTAACACAGGGCTTTTTAAACGTGGCCCTTTTATGACTTGTGGACTTCAACTCCCAGGGTTGAAGTCCACGGGTCATAAAAGGGCCAGGTTTGAAGACCCCTGGGCTAACACAATTCAAAAATTAAAAAAAAAGACAGAAATGAAAATTAAAAAAAAAAAAAAAAAAACAGCTGGGAAACCCCTGGATTAAGGCACGAGAGCAGCAGCAGTAGAAAGGTCATCCAGAGATTCTCTTTCAGTGGCCATTTTTTAAAAATTATTGTTTTTTGGAGCGTCCTTCATTCCCACAAGTATTGATCTAGTTCAGGGGTCTTCAAACGTGGCCCTTTTATGACTTGTGGACTTCGACTCCCAGAATTCCTCAGCCAGGCACACGTGCCTGGCTGAGGAATTCTGGGAGTCGAAGTCCACAAGTCATAAAAGGGCCACGTTTGAAGACCCCCGGTCTAGTTGCTCTGATTTTTGATCTGCACTCCCCTTTCGGTCAAGCTCAGAGAGAGCTGGAAACACAAGGGACGCAGCCTTATCAATGGAAAACGATCAATATTTAACAGCCGAGGAGTGAAAGGCTGGCTGTTACCAATTTCCAAACTGGATCTAAATTCTTAAGGGGTGCAGTTGGTGAACCCTGAAAGAGACCCTTTCCTGCCGGGTGTGTCTTTGTGAATGCAACAGACTGAGCCTCCCTCTTCAGAAGCAGGCTACCTTTCCTTTGCTCTGCTCGACCAAGCCTTGGGAGGGCCGGCGGGGGGTCCAAGGACTCCTAAATGCAGAGAGATAACCCTTTCCTCAAAAAAGTGCTTAACATGATCTTGCTAAACTTTTCTAAAAGAAAAGGAAAAAAAAACATACTCTGTGCTGTGGGGCCAGCCCTTCTGAGCTTCATTCCCCCCCCCCCAGACCCAACTGGACTACAAAGTCACCCTTGTCTAGCCACTGCTGCCAGGGGAGAATGGGAGCTGTGGTCAGGGACCTGCAGAGCTGACTTTACAGCTTTTGGCGCAGCCGGAGACGGGGCGGCAAAGAGCAGAGCCTCCGTATCCAGGGGCAGGATAGCAGACATCCAAGAGAAAAGAATGCCGACTCTCACATCAGCTTTTGAGGTTTCCAGGGGCCCCCGCCTGTCTGTCTGAGACTGACCAGCAGGGCAAAAAGACACAGACCCGCGCAAAAGGTGTCTCCCCACGTTCCCCGTCACCCCAAGGTCCACAGAGAGCATTCTGGGAATATCAAGAGGGAGAGGAAGAGGGCAGAGTTTCAGGAGACTGATCCTTTGCTGGGGAAACCTCACATGCCTGTCCAGGAGCGGAGACCGGCTCCCAACACCAGGAGTCTTCATTTCCCTGGAGGTCTTCCCCCTCCGCAGGTCCACCCACATCGGGCCTGCCCAGCACACTGGGCTCCTCCGGGGTGGTGCCGTCCGGAGACATCCCCTCTTTCTCCTCCTCCTCGCTGGGGGCGGAAGGCGCTGCCAGGAGCCCCCCTCGCTCTTGCAGGGCCGGCCGTGTTTTGAGCCCCACGGCCTTCAGGATGGTGTCCATCTGCTTCATGTAGTCCAGGTGACCGTTCACCTGCAAGGGAAGGCAAGGTCAGACCCTCCTCACCTGCGCCAGCAGCAACAGCAGAGTATCCCTCCCTCCCCCAGCACAGCCAGATGTCCGGGGACCTCTTAATCGGGGGGGGGGGGGATCAGCGGCTCCCCAGAAGCTCAATTCGCGAAGTTGGTCCCTTCCACCACCAGCCCCTGGCGGAAAATCAGGTCGGGCCACCTAAATGGATTCTCCTTCATTCACCCTTCGGTACGTCGATAGATTAAATTAGGTGAAAGCTTCATCAACACATTTCAGGGTTCTTGGGATCTGATCTGGTTGAATCTTTTTTTTTCTCTCTCTTTCACGATTGAAATTAAAATGAATTGAAGCACACAGGACTCTGTCCGGAAGAAATTTGTCGTGCATCCCAGCTGGATGTTTCTCCCTTTAAAATCTCTTCTTGCTTGCCTCCAGAATGCAGGGATAAACGACCCCTGTTCATGGAGGCTCCACTAAGGTCACAACCTCGGCTCTTTTATGACTCATGGACTTCAACTCCCAGAATTCCTGAGTCAGCATGGCTCTGAATGGGCACAGCTGACTCAGGAATTCTGGGAGTTGAAGTCCATGAGTCATAAAAGAGCCGAGGGCACCTACCCCTGACTTAGGTCCTAGATCTAACACGTGCTGGTAAAACCCTCTTAATCATAGGCAAAGAGGAACCGGGGGCATCTTGGCATCTGGAGATCCTGACTGTTGTCCTGAAATGCTAAAAGGTTTTGGGCTTCCTGGTTTCCTGATCCCTGACTTGACAATTCTCCTGGCTTCTGCTGTCTTCTTTCACTTTTAGCAAGACTGGAGCGTTAATTAAAAAATCTGCCAGAAGCCCCAATGATCTTCCGATGCCAGCTGTGACCTCAAAGGCGGCAGGGAAGCAGATGGCCTGGAAATCAATCAAGGTTTATAAGCAGGAAATAATCCTCAGAATTATTATGAGGTTTGTGTGTGTGTGGGGGGGGAGGATAAAGGCACCACCCGGTCTTGCGCTCTGTTTGGGGAACAAGGAGCCCCCCCGGGGAGGATCACTGAGGCCCACAAGGCACAAAATGTACAACATCCGCTCTTGTGACGCAGCAAATGTTTAAAAAGACATTTCAAATTCTTGTTGGCTTCTCAAAGGGAAAGAGAGAACAGATAGTGTTTATCTTAGAAAGATAAATCACCTTTATTGTCATTTCCCCCCCCTGTGGGCACAATGGCACACATGACAGTTGCTTCCTCTCAAAGTGCACACCTACATAACACATTTAAAACATACTATATATGACACAGGTATAGAGCCACATCCTTACATATAAGTGATATATAAATATGATTCACTGTCCATCTTAAATACGTAACGGAACCGCTTAAAACAGCTTCTGGGAATCGTGTTCTAGGTGAACTGGCCCAGGAGAAAAGAAATGTTCCTTTTTTACAGCAAGGTGTCTCACTGCTGTAAGGTGGGTGGGCTTCAACTCCCAGAGTTGAAGTCTTGTCGGGGAATTCTGGGAGTTGAAGTCCACGCGTCTTCAAGCCACTCAGGCTGAGAAAACACTGCTTTATGGCTATATTCAGACGACCTAAAAAAAATCCTTGCCTCTCTTCAACCACCCTCAAACCTTTGATTGTCCCTTTGTAAAAGCTAATACAATCCTGGGTGGCATAAACAGAGGCATAGCATCAAGATCACGCAAAGTATTATTATAGCTTTACAAAGCCCTAGTAAGACCACACCTGGAGTACTGCAGCCAATTTTGGTCACCTTATCACAAAAAGGATGTTGACAGTTTGGAAGAAATCCAGAGAAGAGCAACTGAGATGATTAGGGGACTGGAGGCTAAAACATACGAAGAACGGTTATGGGACTTGGGTTTGACTGGTCTAAAGACAAGAAGAAACAGGGCAGACATGATAGCAGTGTTCCAGTATCTGAGGGGCTGCCATAAAGAAGAGGGGGTCACGTTGTTCTCCAAAGCGCCAGAGGGAAGGACGAGAAACAACGGTTGGAAATTGATCAAGGAGAGAAGCAACCTGGAATTGAGGAGAAACTTCCTAACAGTGAGGACAATCAACCAGTAGAACAGCTTTGCCTCCAGATGTTGTGGGTGCTCCATCACTGGAGGATTTTAAGAAGAGACTGGACAGTCACCTGTCTGAAATGGTATAGGTTCTGCTGCTTGAGCAGGGGGCTGGACTAGAAGACCTCCAAGGTCCCTTCCAGCTCTATTCCATTCCATTCCATTCTATATTCTATTCTGTTCTATTCTATTCTAGTTTAGTCTAGTCTATCTATTTTATTTCTATTTCTTATTCTATTCTATTCTATTCTCTATTCTATTCTAGTCTATCCTATTTCTATTTCTATTTCTTATTCTATTCTATTCTATTCTATTCTATTCTATTCTACTCTACTCTTTCCATATTCTATTTTATTCTAGTTTAGTCTATTCTATCTATTTTATTTCTATTTCTTATTCTATTCTATTCTATTCTATTCTATTCTATTCTATTCTATTCTATTCTATTCTATTCTATTCTATTCTATTCTATTCTATTCTCTATTCTAGTCTAGTCTATCCTATTTCTATTTCTATTTCTTATTCTATTCTATTCTATTTCTTATTCTATTCTATTCCATTCTCTATTCTATTCTATCTATCCTATTTCTATTTCGTACTCTATTTTATTCTATATTCTATTCTATTCTACTCTACTCTTTCCATATTCTATTTTATTCTAAACCTCCGAACCTCGCAAGATCTCTGTAATTGCTTCCCATCAACTTACTACGGAAGACAGATCCACGTTGACCATCCGGCGGTCATCCAGGCAGATGGGCTGCAGCCCTGCCACGCTCAGCTGAATGGATGACGTGCGGTAGACAAATTTCAACAGCCAGTCTCCCCTGGAGGAGGAAGAAAAAGAGAGGGAGGAAGGGGGCTGGAATTCACGTGTCAGCTGGAGTCTGGAGAACATTGGTGGGACGTGGGGCTGAAGTCTAACATCGGAAAGGCTGCCAGGCAAAAGGTCGAGATGTAATCCGCAGCGATGGCAACAGAGCACAGAGGCCATGGCTCTCTTTCAGTTCACCCAAAACTGGCTAGAAATGAGATTTAAATCCCAGAGGCCTCCTCATTGGACTTTGCCAGTCGTTGGCAAACATGTTAAGGGTTGCTGTGCATGCAGTTCTGATACTTTGGGATATAGTTTAGTCAGGGAAGAGGGGAGGAAACTAAATTTAGATTAGATCAGATTAATTAGATTGAAATAGAATAGAATAGAATAGAATAGAATAGAATAGAATAGAGATTGGAGTGGAATGGAATGGAATGGAAGGAGAAGAGAAGAGAAGAGAAAAGAGGGAATAGAATAAGAATAGAACAGAACAGAACAGTAGAATAGAATAGAATATAGAATAGAATAGAATAGTTGGAAGGGACCTTGGAGGTCTTCTAGTCCAACCCCCTGCTCAGGCAGGAAACCCTATCCCAGGGGTCCCCAACCTGTGTGCTGCAGCCCAGTAGTGGGCCATGGCCTGGTGGCCACAGGGCAGGCTGGCCAGTGTGCGCATGGGTGCCTGCACACATACCACTCATACTAGCGACAGTCGCGGTGTGTGAAAACAGGATGCTGCGCCTCGGGGCGTGAAAATGGGATATCACCACACTGCGGGGTGCGAAAACAGGCCGCTGCCACACCTCAGGACACAAAAACAGGACACCGCCAAACCTCAGGGCACAGAAACGGGGTGCTGCACAACGCAAGAATGGGGCAGGGCTAGTGAGTATCACGAAGGCGCTAGCCTCTCCATGTTTGTATCGCACGTGTGCTCACGGCTTCATGAACGCGCACATGTGTAAAATGCTTCCTCCCTCTCTTTCCCTCCAGTCCATCAACCGAGAAAGGTTAGTGACTTTTGCCCTACACCATTTCGGACAAACGGCTGTCCAGTCTCTTCTTAAAAACCTCCAGTGTTGGAGCATTCACAACTTCTGGAGGCAGGTAGTTCCACCGGTTAATTGTTCTCACCGTCAGGAAATTTATTCTTATAGGTTGCTTCTCTCCTTGATCAGTTTCCACCCGTTGCTTCTTGTTTTAATCTTTTCAAGATTAAACTTCCCAAATTTAACCTTCCCAAGATTAAATCCTGCCAACATTAGCTTAAAGGAGCCTGTGGCTCTTTCCTGGAAGAGAGCTGAAGGCACAGTGGAGGGGGCAAATTTGAAAAGCGATTTTCAAGAAAATCAGAGAACCTCCCCCAGGAGGAAAGAAAGAAAGAAAGAAAGAAAGAAGGAGAGAGAGAGAGAGAGAGAAAGAAAGAGAAATAAAGAGAAAGAAAGAAAGAAAAAGGAAGAAAGAAAGAAAGAAAGAAAGAGAAAGAGAGAAAGAAAGAAAGAAGGAAAGAAAGAAAAAGAGAGAGAAAGAAAGAAAAAGGAAGAAAGAGAAATAAAGAGAGAAAGAGAGAGAGAGAAAGAGAATAAAGAGAAAGAAAAAAAGAAAGAAAGAAAGAAAGAAAGAAAAAGAGAGAGAGAGAAAGAAAAAAAGAAAGAAAGATCACATCTGTTGTGTATGCGCCACACTTAGGACCAACAAGACCTGCAGAAGCCGTTGATGATCTTGCCTGAAATGACTTTGGTGATCAGTTTCCAGGATTTGGGATCGCCTTCTACCGGGGCCCCCAGCAGCACCACGTCTTCAATGATCCCTTCGCAGTCTGAAAGAGAACTGCCCGAGGTCAGCCCGGTGGCATCGCCGAAGGGACCCGGTGAGCCTCAGATCCCCTGCAGTGATCCAGCCCTGCCCCTTCGGAGGGAGGCTGAAGTCTAAACCACTAGACAGGTAGGATCCCTTTCTCCTTTCTCTGTGGCCCTTGCGTGGGAAGACCTCGGCCCAGTGGGATCAGCTGCGTTAAGAGGGATCTGTCGTATTCTTTTCCCTGTCTCTACTACGGGGACCCAGCTGAAGAAAACCACGGAGACAACTAAAAAGAAAGTCCCATAAAATAAGCTTGTCGGATGCCGTAAGGCAGAACCCGAATCCTGGCTGTGTGGAATCTTAAAACAACTGACCTCTCCCGTACTCCACATTTATTTAGTGGGGCTGTTCTGCTCATGTTTGCTGTTTGGTTATCGTTTTTCATTTGCTGTGCTTAGCTGCCTGCCTGCTTGCAGGAGGCTTCTGTCTTAAGAATACCGGAATAGCAGAGTTGGAAGGGACCCTGGAGGCCATCTAGTCCAAGCCCCTGCTCAGGCAGGAGACCCTAAACCATTTCAAACAAAGGCTTGTCCAGTCTCTTCTTAAAAACTTCCAGTGTTGGAGCATTCACTGCTTCTGGAGGCAGGTTGTTCCACTGGTTAATTGTTCTCACTGTCAGGAAGTTTCTCCTGAGTTCTAGGTTGCTTCTCTCCTTGATGAGTTTCCATCTGTTGCTTCTTGTCCTGCCCTCAAGTGCTTTGGAGAATAGCTTGACTCCCTCTTCTTTGGGGCAGCCCCTGAGATACTGGAACATGGCTATCCTGTCCCCCCTCGTCCTTCTCTTCATTAAACTAGACATACCCAATTCCAGCAGCCGTTCCTTGTATGTTTTAGCCTCCAGTCCCCTGATCATCCTTGTGGCTCTTCTCTGCACTCTTTCTAGAGTCTCAGCATCTTTTTTACATCATGGTGACCAAAACTGGATGCAGTGTTCCAAGTGTGGCCTTATCAAGGCATTGTAAAGTGGTATTAACCCTTCACGTGAAAGACGGGCCATTAAAATAGAACTCCAAGATTCAACCCAGAGCTGGCAGACACAAGCTGCAGATTAATTATCCTGGAATCACAATTAGCTGCCGATTAATTTATGCTGGAATCGTGACGGTGACTGTTGGGATGGAAAAGGGCCCCCCCCCCCTTTCTCTCACGGGCTGCAGGCAACAGAGAAGTGGCTAGCAAGGCAACAATCTGGGGTTCAAAACCCGAGACGTGCAGAAGCCAAATACTCTCTCTCTCTGCTGAGGAAAACTGCTTCCTACAGACCTCACCCAGAAAGCTCCTTTCCTGGGCATGATAAAACGAGGCCGGCCTTCACAACAGTGGCAGATTTTAGTTAGGCAAGGAAGAGGGACAAATCTGGGTTTGCAAGAAGCCAGAATGCTGAAGGAGACACTCCCGGGGCATCCGGCATCTCTAAAGCAATTGTAAGGACTTAATTCTTCCCCCTGGAAAGGGGGGGGGAGGAAGGCATCGTTAACACCCAGATCCCAGTCGGTAAGGATGACAGATAGTGGATCAAGAATGAGGATTTCCCCCCCCCCCCCAGGAAAAAAAGGATAGGCTGGAGAGGAAATTCCTAGGATGTGCAAAAAAAGATCTCCTGGGGAGATCTGAGCTTAGGAAGCTGAAATCGCTTTGAGAGCTTCAGAGCAGGAACCCCAAAACAGGAGTGTGTGTGTGTGTGTGTGTGTGTGTGTGTCTGTCTGTCTGTCTGTCTGTCTGTGTGTGTGTGAGTGTGTAGCTGTCCTACCTTTCTCCTTGGCCATCTCCTGCAGGCAAAAGTAGATCACTCTAGCGCCGAGACTGAACCCAACCAGCGTCACCGGCCGTTTGCCCTAGAAGAAGAGGACAGAGGAAAAATGAAGACTTATGAGGCCTCTTGTTTGTTTTTCAATCAGAATAGAGTTGGAAGGGGCCTTGGAGGTCTTCTAGTCCAGCCCCCTGCTCAAGCAGAAGACCCTGTACCACCTCAGACAAGGGGCTATCCAGTCTCTTTTTAAAAACCTCCAGTGATGAAGCAGCCACAACTTCTAGTGGCAAGCTGTTCCATGGTTAATTGTCCTCACTGTTAGGAAGTTTCTCCTTAATTCCAGGTTGCTTCTCGCCTTGATTAGTTTCCAACCATTGTTTCTTGTCCTGCCTTTTGGTCCTTTGGAGAATAGTTTGACCCCCTCTTCTTTGGGGCAGCCCCTCAAATACTGGAAGATTGCTATCATGTCACACACACACACACACCCAGTCCTTCTTTTCTCTAGACTAGACAAACCCCGCAGCCGTTCTTCATGTGTTTTAATCTCCAGGCCTTTAATCATCTTAGTTGCTCTTCTCTGCACTTTTTTTTTAAAAAAAAACAACAGCTATCATGTTGCATAGTCCTCCTTTTGGGGGATGCAGGTCAAGGTCCCCTTGGAAGTGGGTGGTGACAACAGAAGACCCCTTGAAAGAGAGGGCTAATGGCCGCTAAATAAATAAGGATGGAAGGCTGAGAAGAAAGACGCCGTTTTATTTGCTTTGAGGCTATCTGACATCAGGCAGCCAGGTCGACGGTTTTCATAACTTTTTTCACTCGTGTTAGCAGTGAGGTAGAACGGGTGGGGTGAATAGAATGGGAATATTCTGGCTTTGCAAATCTTTCTGCCACAAGGAAGGAGAATATGGATATGCAAAAGTAGGAAGGCAGATTCTGTGTTATAGCCACCTTTCCTGAAATAATAATAAATGAGAATAGAATAGAATAGAATAGAATAGAATACAGCTGGAAGGGACCTTGGAGGTCTTCTAGTCCAGCCCCCTGCTCAAGCAGGACAGCCTATACTATTCCAGACAAGGGGCTGTCCAGTCTTTTCTCAAAAACCTCCAGGGATGGAGCACCCATAACCTCTGAAGGCCAGCTGTTCCATGTGGATACACCTTCAAAGAAGCCCTGTCAGGCAATGCTTCTCAAACTTGCCCACTTTAAGATGGGGAGAGTTCAACTCCTAGAATTCCCCAGCCAATAATCCTGGGAGTTGAAGTCTCCCCCCCCATCTTAAAATGGCGAAGGTTGAGAAACACTGCTATCAGGTTTACACCAGGATTGTGGGGGGGGGGAGACAAACTTTCTTCAGCCTACCTGCCGCCGGCTAAGAAGTATCTGTGCCAAGTGTTTTCCGACCTCAGCGGAGCGATGGAGACACACACCCCAGGGGTTGTCTATCACACCAGCCACTGCCAGCAGTGAAGCAGGCCAGGTGAGGGCCGTCACGATGCCTGGGAGGAGGCAGAGGGGTGACAATCAGAAAAACATCTGGAGGACCAGATGTAGCCCTGTGAAGTGTGGGGCTACAGCTGCCAAAGGGTTAAGCCTATTCTGTGTGTGGGGGGGGCAAGGCCACTGTGCCCTCTCCTTTTAGCAATGGAAATGTAAAGTAGAACCAGGTCCATCCTCGGACAGGGGGGTAGCAACAGCACTTAGACTTATATACCGCTTCACAGTGCTTCACAGCCCGCTCTAAGGAGTTTACAGAGTTACCATTTTGCCCCCCCAACAATCTGGGTCCTCATTTTACCGACCTCGGAAGGATGGAAGGATCCGAGGCAACCAAGAACCGATCGGGATCGAACTGCCAAACTGCAGGCAACCGGCAGTCAGCAGAATCAGCCTGCAGTACCGCCTTCTAACCACCGCGCCACCACAACTGAGTGACGCCAAGAGAACTACCTAGATCAGAGGTCACCAACCTTTCTCGATTGGCGGACCGGAGGGAAAGGGAACCATTTTAAATGTGCGCAAATGGAGCGGGGCTAGCGCTTGCGTGATACTCATTAGCCCTGCCCCGTTCTTGCGTGGCACAGTGGCCGGTTTCCACACCCCGTGGCAGGGTCCCATTTTTGCTCCCCATGGTGCGGCGGTGTCCCGTTTTCACACGCCACAGCATGGCAGCATCCCATTTTTGCACCCTGCGACGCTGCCACAAGTGGGGTGTCTGCGCGCACTGGCCAGCCTCTCCCAGGGCCCAGTGGCCAGCAGCCCACGGCCCACTACTGGGCCGCAGTCCACAGGTGGGTGACCCCTGACCTAGATAGGCTGGTAAAGTCACAGAACCTAGAATAACCAAATTGGAAGGGACCTCAGAGGTCTTCTAGTCCAACCCCCTGCTCGAGCAGGGAGACCCTAGACCATTTCAGTCAAATCCCCCAAGCTGAGCTCGGCTGGAAAGAGCCGTGTTGTTTTTTTCCACCCCAAAGTAAGGCCGTGTCAAGATTGAACGGCTACGATGCCTGCTAGCCTCTATCACTAATCAACTTGCCATAGAAAAAGGGGGGAGGAGTAGAAAGCGAAGGGAGGATACGGAATGCCATGATGCTATCCATGGACCATAAGAGCCTGCTTCATGCCAAGGTCAGTGCTGCAGGTGCTGGATGGAGAAGGGAGCTGTTCCCATAACAAAAAGGAATATTATCGGACAATGTGAATACTTGGGGGCGGGGGGGGGGCTTGGACATCTATTGTTTAACTTTGCAAGAGACTGAATCGCCTTAAGGCAGGGGTAGGCAACCTTGGCTCTTTTGTGACTGGTGGACTTCAACTCCCAGAATTCCTGAGCCAGCCTGGCTCAGCTTGGAAACCTCTCCCTTTCCTCTCAGCATGGCTGGCTCAGGAATTCTGGGAGTTGAAGTCCAGGAGTCATGAAGGGGCCATAGTTCCCCCATGCTGGCTCAGGAATTCTGGGAGTTGAAGTCCGCGAGTCATAAAAGCCAAGGTTACCTACCTCTGGCCTAGGCCTCTTTATGACTCGTGGACTTCAACTCCCAGAATCCCTCAGCCAGCATGGCTCAGCTTGGAAACCTCTCCCTTTCCCCTCAGCATGGCTGGCTCAGGAATTCTGGGAGTTGAAGTCCACGAGTCCTAAAAGAGCCCAGGTTGCCTACCCCTGACTTAAGGGAATCCTTCGGTTGGGTCTGCTCATCGGGACTTTTGATGGGCCGCTAAGCCCCTCACTCACCCGCCAAGACCGTGTACTTGAGGGCCTCCTGGGCGACCATGTTAACCAGTCCATTCCACAAGGCGTCCAGGGCGCTGCCCAACTCCAGCAGGTACTTGGACTCCCAGGCTAAGCAGTACTGCTCCTTGGACTGTAAGAGGCTGCTCCAGGGGGCTGTGAAACTGCCTGTCGAGGGACAAAGGACGGAGACGAAGGGGTGAGGACAGGGTGCAATGGAGGCCTCCCACGACTGAGTCTCAGGGGTTGTTCCTGGTCCTCTGAGGGCAGAGGGGCAGAGCCTTGAGCGAGCCAGCCTGAGTCCTCAAGATGTGGCAGGCAAAGGAGCATTCTTAACATTACAGCAAAAGCCCTTAGACTTATATACCGCTTCAGAGGGCTTTTACAGCCCTCTCTGAGCTGTTTACAGCGTCAGCCTCTTGCCCCCCAACAATCTGGGACCTTTACCGACCTTGGAAGGATGGAAGATTGAGCAGGTCAGGATCGAACTCCTGGCAGTGGGCAGAGTCAGCCTGCACTGCTGCATTCGAACCCTTGCGCCACCGCGGCTCTTAAGGCAACATCCAATCAGCTACAGCAATAGCACTTAAAGACTTATAGACCGCTTCACACTGCTTTTACAGCCCTCCCTTGAGCGGTTTACAGAATCAGTCTGTTGACCCCCCCCCCAACAATCTGGGTGGTCATTTGACCGACCTCGGAAGGATGGAAGGCTGAGTCAACCTTGAGCCGGTCAGGATCGAACTGCTGGCTGTGGGCAGAGTCAGCCTGCAATACTGCATTCTAACCACGGGAAGGGAAGGGAAGGGAAGGGAGGGGGGGGGAGAGGGAAGGAAGGATGGAAGGAAGGAAGGAAGGAAGGAAGGAAGGAAGGAAGGAAGGAAGGAAGGAAGGAAGGAAGGAAGGAAGGAAGGAAGGAAGATAGCAATAGAACTCAAGACTTATATACCGCTTCCCAGGGCTTCCCAGCCCTCTCTAAGCGGTTCATAAAGTCAGCCTATTGTCCCCCAACAATCTGGATCCTCATTCTGCCAACCTTGGAAGGATGGAAGGCTGAGTCAACCTTGAGCTGGTCAGGATCGAACTGCCAAACTGCTGACAGTGGGCAGTAAGCAGAATCAGCCTGCAGTGCTGCATTCTAACCACTGCGCCACCAGGGCTCCTTGACTGATGCAGTAGTCTAGAGCAGTGGTTCTTCACCTTTTTGAACGAATCGCCCCCTTGAGCCAATGAGGAAGTTGTCATCGCCCCCCTCCCCCAACATAACCTCTCAATCACAACCTAGGAAACAATTCTTCCATTTATGCAAACCCTTTTTTTGTTTTCTTTAAAATTGTCACCAGGACCTATCGATGCAAATAATTTATTTCCAGACTTTTCCCCCTATCTCCCATATTCTGGCCAATGGCACGCCACTGTATGGGTAGAGGCTGCTGCACAACACGCATGAAGATAAGCGATGCGTCTTCACATACGTATGGCGTTCTGTCCTGAAGCTAGCCGGAGGAACATTGGAAAACACAACTCAATCCACTAATAGTGAGCGATCTGATGCTTTTGTACGACAGATATACAGCCATTCACTGCACGAAAAAGTCTCAAAAGTGTCCCCAAAACTTCTCGCTCCATCGCCCCCATATTGCCCCTTTTTCGTTCCATCGCCCCCCTGAAAAATGAAATCGCCCCCTGGGGGGCAATATCGCCCAGGTTAAGAACCACTGGTCTAGAGCAGTGGTTCTCCACCTGTGGGTCGGGACCCCATTTGGGGTCGAACGACCATTTCACGGGGGTCGCCAAACAAGGCTGCCCGCCATTTTTTCCCCCCTTTTCTTTGGCCACGCCCCTGGCACCTGGTGATGTATAAGTGGTTGGGGGGTCACCACAACATGGGGAACTGTATTATGGGGTCGCGGCATTAGAAAGGTTGAGAACCACTGCTCTAGAGGATGATGGGGGGGGAGGGTTGGGGGGGGAGGAGAGTGAGGAAGTCACTGAGGGAGGGAACAAATTCTTGCCTCTGGGAGACAAAATCCAGTACAGGGAGTCCTCCACTTACAACCACAATCGAGCCCAATTTTTCTGTGGCTAAGCGAGACACCTCTTCAGTGGACTTTGCCCCCTTTTACGGCCTTCCTGGCCGCAGCTGTGAAATGAATCTCTGCCGCTGCTAAGTCAGGAACAACGGTGGTTAAACGAATCCGCTTCCCCACTGACTTGGCTTGTCAAAAGGACGCCAAAGGGGATCGCGTGACCCCCCTGGGAGCCTGCACCCGTCATCAGTACAGCGGTTCCAGCGGTTTATCCATCGTGACGGTGGTTTAACCATCACAAATATGACGGTTACCACTTGCCCAGGGTCTGAATTTTGAGCGCCTGGCCAGGGGGACGCTGCAACAGCTGTGTGAAAAAGGGTCGTCGTTCGCTTTTTCCAGCGCTGTTGTAACTTGGAACGGTCGCTAAATGGACTGTTGTAAGTCGAGGATGATCTGACTCTCTGGAGGAGCCACGTGTTCACTTGGGGAACCAAGGACCGGTTCCGTGGAGAGAGGTTTTTCCACGGACCGGAGGGTGCGTGGTTTCGTGTGCTGCCTACACCCTGCGGATGGGGCTTTGCTTGTTGTTGCTGGCGTGCCGTGGCCCGCTACCGGTCCACAGACCAGGGGTTGGGGACCCCTGCACTAGAGGGTTCAAATCTCTCTCTTGGGATAAGACTTCAATCAAGAAGGAGGAGGAGGAGAATTACGCAGGAGAGGTAGCTTCTCAGCTCCAGGTCAACCCTGGGGTGGAGGGAATGACAGCTGTCCTTCTTCTGCCCTGTCTTTGACATGATGCCAAGGCCAGACCCCGAGGCCGTTTGCATCTTTGTGTCTCACCCAGGAGAAAACTTGCACGTCAGGAGGCATTGACCTCAGAACAGGGAAACCAAAGGGTGTGAAAATTAAAAACAGGAACGCTTGTAAAAACAAAAACAAAGGTGGATGTTTTATGGCCGAGTGTGCTATAGAGCAGCGGGTGAGGTCAGGCAAGGAAAACGCAGCAAAACAGGGAAAATAGAATTGGCTACCCAGGGCCAGGCTGCCATTTGGAGGGCAAGTAGCTTGTCAGGTGGCGCCTTGCTGGCGTCCTGCCATCAAAGGCTGGGGGGGAGGGAGCATGGGAGGGGGATGAACAAATGGGCAACAAACCTGTGTCCGTACAGGTAGTCCTCGCTGTAACAACCGGGTGACTAATTTAACAATGGTGGGGAGAAACGTTGTAAAGTAAGGCAAAACTCACTTAACAAATTTCTTCCTTAGCAACATAAATTTTGGGCTCAACTGTAAGAAGGACTACCTGTATATGATGGGAAATGGGGGGGAGGGGGAAATGACAGCTTGACGAAGAACAAAGAAGCTCAGGATCCATTTGTGCCAGCACTTACGGCTGGGCACCCTGAGAAGGGATGTGGATCACCCCAAATATCTAGGCGAATCTTCATTGGCTGAAGACAGACTGGCCATGGGGATGAGGGGAAGCCTTTTGTATCCTTTTAGCGTGGGAAACGTAGTTCTAGCCTGACTTGCCCGCAGCCAGCAATCTCTAGTAAAAGAACCAAACTTAGTTCTAGCCTGACTTTACATCTCTAGTAAAAGAACCAAACTTAGTTCTAGCCTGACTTGCCCGCAGCCAGCAATCTCTAGTAAAAGAACCAAACTTAGTTCTAGCCTGACTTTACATCTCTAGTAAAAGAACCAAACTTAGTTCTAGCCTGCCTTGCCTGCAGCCAGCAATCTCTCGTAAAAGGATCAACCACTTCAACCAAATGGAGTCGAGGGTCTTTCTTTCCTAAGGGATCGAACTGGGGCAGGTCTGACAGAGCTAAGAATATTCAGAACTGCAGAAATATTTAGAAACTTGGAAACGTTTTCGCAACATAAAACAGCCCCATATTCACCAACGGTAATCAGGACAATGAGATATTAAAAAAAAAAATTGGCCGTGTTTTGATATCCACTGTATTTTGGCCTGCAGATGGGAGAGCTCTTACCGTATTTCCCAGGAGAAAGCCAGCCGGTGATGGCAATGGTGATATGGAGCTGCTTCACTTCGGTTAAGGGAAGGAATTCAAATTCTTCTATGGCCCCTACGCGCTTTTTCATCTTGTACCCTAACGGAGCAAGCGTGCACACAAATATACAGTTAATATAGTACCTCTTTTGGACAGTTCAAAATACAGGCCGTGGTTTGTCACAGCCTTCTCCAAACCAGGACCTTGGGACCACAACCTGCCTGTAATGCTGTTAAAAACACACACAAAAAAATCCCCTTACGGTGGACCAGAAGCCACTGTGGAATTTTTGTGTGTGAAATACAATCAATAGACTGTTAACAGAGGGCTTTGAAGTTTAATTTAGCTGTTGGTTTTACCTGTTAACTATGTTCTCTTCTAGTAGAGCAGTGGTTCTCAACCTGTGGGTCGGGACCCCATTTGGGGTCAAACGACCATTTCACGGTGGTCGCCAAACAACGCAGTCCGCCATTTTTTCTCCTTTTCCTTAGCTGTGCTACTCCCTTTTATTCTATTGGCTTTTGAAAGCCAATAGAATAGACTCTCTTGAATAGAGTCTAATTCTATTGGCTTTCAAAAGCCAATAGGAATTGTCCATGCTGTCTCTGCCCTGCTGAGCCCACCAAAAGTCCCATTCTGCAAACTGTGCTGCACCAGTTGAGTAGTCCTCGACTTACGACCGGTTGAGTAGTCCTCGACTTACGACCGGTTGAGTAGTCCTCGACTTACGACTGGTTGGGGGTCGCGGCATTAAAAAGGTTGAGAACCACTGTAGTAGATAGATCAGGGGTAGGCAACCTTGGCTGTTTGATGACTTGTGGACTTCAACTCCCAGAATTCCTCAGCCAGCCTCCATTTTGTTTGTTAGATTTAAGACAGGGGTCTTCAAACTTGGCTCTTTTATGACTGGTGGACTTCAACTCCCAGAATTCCTGAGCCAGCATGAGGGAACTATGGCCCCCTTCATGACTGGTGGACTTCAACTCCCAGAATTCCTGAGCCAGCCATGCTGAGGGGAAAGGGAGAGGTTTCCAAGCTGAGCCAGGCTGGCTCAGGAATTCTGGGAGTTGAAGTCCACCAGTCATAAAAGAGCCGAGGTTCCCCACCCCTGAGATAGATGATGTCAAGCTAAGTGGGTTAGGATAGTGGTATAAGTGAGTTGGTATAAATAGTGTTCTAGAAATGTATAAATTGTAAGCCTGCTTTGCAAGGGGGAGGAGTTCTTAATTCTGAAGTATATTTATTAATATTCAACGGGGGGGGGGGACAATTTATATATATGACTGTTTTGTTTTGTTTTTCACTTTAGGCTCTCTTTTTTGTGTAGCCTTGTTTAGCTGTGCTTTCATTTTGTATTTTTTGGGGGGGAGGGTGGATTTGTATTTTAATGTTTTGAATAAAAATAAAAAACAGGAATTAAAAAAAAATAATTCACATACACATAACAGAATATCTGCATCGCTACGACAGCAAGAAAGCGGACTGGAAGTGGACTTTGGATAGCCAAGCTCTGAGAACGGGATTGCTAGTTTTCTGCCCTGTTGAACTAAACGGGCTTGAAAAGCAAATTCCAAGCTGAAACCAGCAATGGGAGGGAGGGGGGTCACCCATGCTGAGAAAGGAGAAGCTGGCCTTTGACCAGCCATCTGTCTCCTAGATGAAAGCATGGCTTGATCCTGGTTTAGCAAACCAGAACCAGAGCAATATCAGCGGAGATCTTGGTTCAAAAGAAAAAGATGATTTTAAATCTTTATTAGACAGTGGGGGGACGGGAGAGCTGTAAATCATGGTTTACATTAGTGGTTTTCTATACCTCGCACCCTTAGAACGCTTCCGATATATTCTCACACCTCTTACAAAAGTTCAAAATAACGGCAACAAGTGATGCATATACGCTATAATTTTGAAAACCCAAGTTTTCCCACCCGCTGGAATATCATCTCGCACCCCCTGGTTGGGAACCCCTGGTTTACATCTAACCTGGATGCTGTGTGGTAGGAACTAGATCCGGGGTGGGGGGTATCAATTCCAACCAATCACTGAATGAGGGGTTTGGGGCAGGCACTTTCCCCTCATGTGCAGATGCCATCAATCAAAGTTGTGAGATGTATTTGTAATTGGCTGACAACCACACTCAATGTGTAGGTCTTCAATGGAGCTGTATGCAGTGGGGTGCCCCAGGGCTCTGTTCTGGGCCCAGTGCTCTTCAACATACTCATCAATGATTTGGATGAGGGGATAGTTGGGGAAGTCATCAAATTTGCAGACGACAGGAATAGCCAACGGTCTAGTTATATGTTAAATGTCTAGTTTAATAAAGAGAAGGACCAGGGGTGACAAGATAACAGTCTTCCAATATTTGAGGGGCTGTCACAAAAAGGAGGGGGTCCACCTATTCTCCAAAGCACCTGAAGGCAGGACAAGAAGCAAGGGATGAAAAATAATCAAGGAGAGAAGCAACCTGGAACTAAGGAGGAATTTCCTGACAGTGAGAATAATTAACCAGTGGAACAACCTGCCTCTAGAAGCGGTGAAGGCTCCAACATTGGAAGTTTTTAAGAAGAGACTGGACAGCCCTTGGTCTGAACTGATATAGGGCTTCCTGCCTGAGCAGGGGGTTGGACTAGATGACCTCCAAGGTCCCTTCCAACTCTGTTATTCAGTTATATGTAACTTCTGCACAGTGAACACCAGGGCTGTTTTCCTCGTCATCCTGAGAACCTTACCCACGAGTCCGGCTCCAGCAGCTCCAAAGAGCGAACCGATAATGGCCATCCCAGCTGCTGACCCCAAGGCTGTGGCTCCAGCAGTTCCGATGATGGCGGCTGCTCCCATACCCACCAAGGGGGCAGCCAGACCCCCGGTTAGGCCTAAACAGAAAACAGCAGAATTCTTTGATTCAGTGAAGCATAGTGAGCAGGAAAGACGTTTGGCAAAAAAAAAAAAAAAAAAAAAAGAAAAAAAAGGCTAAAGTGAGAATTAAGACATTAGATCAGGGGTCTTCAAACTTGGCCCTTTTATGACTCGTGGACTTCAACTCCCAGAATTCCTTACTGACCGTTCAAAGTTTAATGGCACTGAAAAAAGGGACTTAGGACCGTTTCCCCCACTTAACGACCGACCGTTGCAGCATCCCCCAATGGTCACGTGATCAAAAGTCAGATGCTTGGCAACTGGCATGTACTCGTTGACAGTTGCAGTGTCCCGGGGGGAGGGGGAGGGGAAAGAATAAAGTCACGCGATCCCTTTTTGTGATCTTCTGACAAGCAACATCAGCGGGGGGATGCCACTTACCCACCTTGTTACTGACTTAACACCTGCAGGGATTCGCTTAACAACGGTGGGAAAGAAGGTCGTAAAACGAGGCAAGGCTTCCTTAACACCAGCCTGACTTAGCGACAGAAATTTTGGGCTCCCTCATGGTCGTAACCTGAGGAGGACCTGCCCAAGTCTCATCACCCTAATTGCTGGGGAACGGTGAGGCCGGGATCTGCCATTCGAGGGGGGGGGGAAGGAGACACCGAAGATGCTGCTTACCGATGACCGTCCCTCCTCCGACCGTCGCCAAGCCGATCAGCAGGTAGCGCTTCAGCTTCTTCCTCCTCTCCTTCTTCTTCCGCTTGCCTTCGTCCGTTCTTGGCGGGGGAGAGAAGAAAGAAGAATGACTTTCTTCCCTAATAGCAAAGAGGCCATATTGGAAGGTCCCGCCTCAGCTCTTCTCCCCAGGAAAGCAAAACGCTCGGATCAGGCCTTCTGCCAAAAGGACCTTTTTACTGACGGAAAGTGATTGCAGCGAAGCGAGGCGGCATCCGAAGTTCCCGTGCAAAAGCATTCGGCTAAAAGCCCTGTTTCCCCAGCCCCACCCCAAGGGCCCAGTCCGTCAGGAGCCGATCCGTTGGCGCACAGGTGCGGTGGGAACTTCAAGCCGAGAAAAGGTGACAGCTGGAGGGTGTGTGTGTGTTTCTCTGGCGCCTTGTCCCTGTTTGCCGGCAGGAGTTAACCCAGATGCTCCCCATGTCCCATGCAGATACATCAAAGCCGTCAAAGAGAAAGCAGATTACAATTCAGGAATGTCATCAATCCACATTCTCCCCCTCCCGTTCCGAATGGCATTCCCAGAGGGACCTGACACCATGAAATTAACTGCCTCATATAGCGCAGACGCAAATACAAATCACTTTTCAAGTAGACAGCTATTTGAAGTTACAACTGCCAAAACATCTTAGGGAAATATTCACGGGAGCGAGATTTGAACAGCTCGACACAAGGGCCAAATATGGGAGATTCCACTCTTATACCCTATAATGGACGTCTCTGCATCTGTGGAGCGCCAAAGGTCGAGGACCTGGTTTGTGTCCTATTTGACTGCTGCTTGTATAAGAGGATGAGAGACAGGTACCTGGGCCTATGCACTAAATGAACAACCCATTGGGACCCCCGTATCAAAAGAATTTACCTTGAAAATTACATTTAACACAGCACAGTACCTGAGCAAAATGGTTCAGCTGAGATCGGCATAAGTGAGACTGATTGGGGTAAATTGTAGGGGGGGGGAATAGTGAAAAATCACTTTATCCTATTTTATCTACATCTTAAATTGCCGTGTCTGATTCTAATTTCATTTTAAAAATGTGTTTTATCTCCATTTCATTTTAAATTGTATTTTATTTCTATTTTATCCTAAACTGTATTTTATCCCAATTTCATTTTAAATTGTATTTTATTTCTATTTTATCCTAAACTGTGTTTTAACCAATTCCATTCTTAATTGTTTTTACTGCATTTTTAGTACAACGGGCGTTTGGAACTCCCACACCTTGATATGGCCCAGGCAGGGGCTAATCAATAAAGTAACTAATTAATATAGCTCAGCCAGACTCAAAAGCGTTTTGTCTTTCGGTTCACAAAATGGACACGTCAGAAATGGACGTCTGATACACAAAAGCAACTTACCTGTTGGATAGCACCTATTTCCTAAGCGGCTTGTAGGACAAAAAAACAGCAAATATATGAAAATTAAACAAAGTCAGGCAGTTCATGTATTGCAGATCAACGGGTTACAATGGATTTAGTTCACCCCCGGCGTTATTTAAATAAGTATTAATTTCAATAAAAAGCTGGAAAAGCACAAAGGAGGTTAAATGGTTGCAAAAGCCAGAGATAATTCCCCGCTTTTTTTGGAAAAAATCCTGCCAGCAAAATTAGCCTTCCCCCGCCCTCTGGGGTTGCAGACAGCTTTTTAAAAAAATAGAGAAAGGAGGGATTAAAGTATGGAGCTGTTTTAATTGTTTTCTTGTAGAAAGGAATGGCCAGGTTGAAGATGTTTTTGACTGTACTTCGGTTTTTGACTGTACCTCAGCTCTTGGTGAAAAAAATATTTTCAACTGGAAACAGCTATGTTTCTTCCCAGTTTTCTTGGGAAGATCGAGCTTTGAAACCCCGGAGAAAGGAAAGGGGGCACAGGGGAGAATGCCACCTTCTGCCCTTGAGATCCGAGTTCCCGTTTTAACTTTTTGAAAAGCAGCTGCACTTTTATCTGTCCTGATTAAAATACAGCCCTATCTGCAGAAACCAAATATTTAAAACACGTGCACTTTTTTTTCTCCCTTTGGTGGCTGCGTCAGGTGAAAAACCGCAAAAGTCTGGGAGAAACATACTCCGATTCCGCCTCTTTCTCCTCCTTCAGACATTCAAGGAGATAGTCCTCTGCGTCTTCCAGTTCTGCCAACGGGATCCTCAGCAAACAGGCCACGTGGGAGAGAAGCACCCGCATGCGAGCGTCATAGTAGCCTAGACGAGCAGGGCAGGAAGAGGGGGCGTGTCAGATCAGAGATTCGGCTTGATGCTTCGCTGGCATTCTGCCACCAGTCTTTGGAGAGGGGAGAAGGAGAGGAAACGGGCAACTGGCATGTAAGGGGTAGGGAGGGGGGAATGACAAGCTTAATGGAAACCTGAGGTGCGAGGACCAGCTTGCTCCAGTCTTCAAGGGCACGGAGCCTGAGAAAGGCGTGCGAATTGCACCAAACACCCAAGCGGTTCCCAAAACACCTCTGCGGCACGCTCTTGGTCAAAGATGGGCTGGTCAAGGAGGGACGGTCAGGAGGAAGCGGAAAAGTTTGTGCGGGAACTTTCGTTCTGGACTGCTTTTGCTGAAACCACTAATCCCGGGGTCCCCAATCCCTGGTCTGTGGACCAGTACCGGGCTGCGGCATGCCAGCAACCGGTCCGCACAAACAAGCGAAGCCACATCCGCGGGATGCAGGCAGCAGACAAAACCACGCAGCCTCCGGTCCGCGGAAAAACCTCTCTCCACGGAACCGGTCCTTGGTGCCCCAAAGGTTGGGGGCCTCTGCGCTAATCCTTAGTAAAAGAACCTATCACAAATGGGGCATTCTTTCCTAGAAATTTAGCTGACAGAGCATTTAAGAAGCTAGTCCACACCAACATGTGTCCTGTCCTTGAATCAAGGAAGGAGAAAACTTGCTAAAATCTCTGGCTGAGGGTCTGGTTCCCCCAAATCGGTCCTTAGGCGAGATGTTTTGCTTTGTCTCCCTGAAGAACTAATAAAAAAAAATAACTGGAGGGAGAAAGGGAAAAACAAAAAAAAAAGGCCGTCAAAATCACTTACCATCCTTGAGAGAAAAGGAAACCAGGTCCTAAAACAGAAACAGGCGGGAGAAAACAATGAGGATTAAAAAAAAAGAAAAGAAACAAAGGGATTCCCCCAAAAGTCTGAAATTTGGGTCCATTGGCAAGAAAGCAGCTCCCGCCCCCCACTCTTGAAATCGAGAAGGAAAAAAGGTTAAGGTTTGTCCATTCTCAGAGGTGCTCTACTTCTGGGGAGCAAAATGAAGAGAAGGGCACCGCATTCCGCCGTGTCTTTCAAAGAGTGTCGCACGAGGTTTAAATCCAGAAAGGGCCAACGGAAAAAGGCTTCTGACTCACCAGCATGATGGCGCCGGGCTGATCCTTCAGAAGCGTCTCGCCCAGAAGAATCCGAGCGAAGGTCTCTGTCCCTTCAGCCCCCAGCCCTCCGGCAAAGGCCAGCATGGAGGGCATCACCGCATCTGACAGCTCCAGCCACCGGACCAGGTTCTCCACCACTCCTGTCCTGTAGGCACTGCGGAAAGAAGAAAGCAGTCCCGGCATGGTGTTGTTCTGTCCCAGCCTACGTACGTCCTTGTTACTTCACAAAGACAACCCCTCTTTTAACAGTAGACTGGAAAATGAACCCTTTTTATTTGAGTTACAGGCCTGATAACTGTCCCAGAAAAACAAAAGCAACAGAACACTTTTCCAATGGAGACCTTGTCCAAAAGCGAAAACGGAGCACAAGTCAAACAGGAAATAACTCACAGGCAAAATAGACAGACCATGATCTCTTGACACTGAGGTTCTTTGCAACCAGCCCTGCCCACACATTCCCTTTTTGTTACGCAACCTCCAAGGCGTGGTTTCTCACTGCTTTCTCCTCCTACCCTGGAGTTGCCCCAATGCCTCCCTCTGTCCTCCTCGTGTAACCTGTCTATGTTTACGAGCGTCTCTGAGGTCTTCCAGCTGTGCTTCCTCCGAGTCCGACTCAGCTTCCCAGCACAGCTGGCTCTCAGCTGGATCACGAGTGGAAGGACCAGCCTCCTCATCAGTCTGTAAGTCCTGCAGCTCATCAGAGCCTCCCTCCGACTCTGATGGCTCTCCAGGCCATCAGAGTCCTCCTCTGATTCCCCAGACCAGGATCACAGGCTGGCGCGGAATCACAACAGGCGTATTGCACACACAGCCCCGTTCATGCTCACATGTGTATGCTCATCAGTCTGGAAAGGGTAGCGTTGCTTCGGGGAACAAAAAAGCTATCCAGACAGTCCTTGACTTACCACAGTTCATTCAGTGGCTGTTCAGTTACGACGGCACTGGAAAAAAAGGGACTTGGGACTCTTTTTCACACTCATGACGGTGGCCGCATCCCCACCGTGACCTCATCATCAAAATCCAGACATTCGGCAACTGACCCATATTTACAGACAGTGGTGGGGTCCATGTGTCACTTTTGCAGCCTTCTGACACACACAGTCAGTGTGTTGCTAACTGAAGAACTGCAGAGATTTACTTCACAATTGTGGTGAGAAAAGTCATAAAACAGGGCAAACCTCGCTTCAGAACTGTTTAGCCCAGCAACAGAAATGTTGGACTTAATTGCAGTCGTGAGCCGAGGATTACCCGTACAGATATATAAATTAGGAGCCAGCCAATCCACCTGTCCTTATCCTGCATATATAAAACCTTCCCTGCAGGCGTGAAGGGGGGGCCTGGTTTGTAAACAAGGACATCCTAACATCGTCTAGCCTTAATCGTCCACCAGCCACCTTCCTCTTCTGCAAAACACTAAGCCAGCCCTGGCCTTTTGCATTTTGGCACAGGCATAAATCTCTCTTTTTCTATCCGAACCAGGCTATCTATCCTTTTTGCCTCCAACAAAGGGAAAAAAAAATCAATAATCCGAGGGGAGGCCAAACTAAACATCCCTGGGATTTTCTCAAGAGTTGGCAGGAAAAAACAGCAACGAGGCCGCTCACCTCTCCTCCAGATCCGGAAACAACGAGGCCAATGAAATGGCGCAGAGAGCCGCGTAGGCGTATTTCCCCGGCTCACCCAACCGGGCGCCTGGGCCTGTCCTCGGTCCCGGGTCTTCTTCTTCCTCCTGTGGCTGGCTCCTCCAGGGCCTCCAGCCTGGCCAGGGATCAGCAGACATGGCCACCTGTTCCTGCCACGGGACACAAAAGCAGTCAAATAGGAATGCCAGAAGAATCTCTGCATCTCTCAGCATCCTTGACTTGTGGGTCAGCAAGCGGGATGTAAAAGCAACGGTCCTCCTCCCGCCTTCCTAGGGATAGACTGCTTCTTTGTAGGGAGGATCCTGAACTCTTCTGCAGCGATGCAGCTTGGATTCCAACTTTCTAAAGATGATCAGGGGGATGGAGGCTAAAACATATAAGGAACGGTTGCTGGAATTGGGGATGTCTAGTTTAAGGAAGAGAAGGGCGAGCGGGGACAGGATAGCAGCCTTCCAGTATCTCAGGGGCTGCCCCAAAGAAGAGGGAGTCAAGCTGCTCTCCAAAGCCCCTGAAGGCAGGACAAGAAGCGACGGGTGGAAATTCATCAAGGAGAGAAGCAACCTGGAGAAACTTCCTGACAGTTAGAACAATTAACCAGTGGAACAACCTGCCTCCAGAAGCAGCGAATGCTCCAACACTGGAAGTTTTTAAGAAGAGACTGGACAGCCATTTGTCTGAAATGTTGTAGGGTTTCCTGCCTGGGCAGGGGGTTGGACTAGATGACCTCCAAAGTCCCTTCCAACTTTATTATTGTTATTATTAAGTCGATGGACTTCTCGAAAAACTATACAGAAGAGGCAAAGCAAGGAGGTTGCTGCCAACGCTGCCCTCTTTGCAGCTGCAGAAATCTCAAGATAGACTGCCTCTGTGCCCGAAGGCTCCATTGGCTTCCCAAGGCAGTCCCCAGGCATCACTTGATTTTGTTTCGGTTTGCTGAGGGAATCAATCCTTTTCCCAGTTTTTCTCAGACAGCGTGCATAAATGGAGCAAACGGATTGTTAAAAACAAGCAAGGACCATTAAAATGAAACAGGTTTAGTGAGTTTTTCATTGAGACGGTGCACCCTTTGGGGCGAATGCAGCCAAACAAAACAGCCCTCCAGCTTATTCCAAATACAGGTGAGCAACAGGAGATCCCCACAAAGGTCTCCCAGGCACAACTGCCCAGCCTACTCTACCTTCCCCTCTTAACAAGGAGAAAGGGGACAAGGGGACCAGCCAAGGGAATTCTCCCCTTTGCACACTGCCAATTCATCACACAATGAAAACTTTTGTCCTCCTTGTTGGAATCACTACAGGTCATAATCTGGATTACAGAGAAGAGGACTTTCCAGATCAGAGGCGTTGCTAACCAGCTGGTGTAGATAATAGCCCTTGAAGCAGCCATTAACAGACATAATAATAAAACAGTAAAATTCCAATTACTCAGATGAGAGAATGAACTTTGTGGCACCAATTCTTCCGTGGGACGGCTGAGCTTCCAGGGCCAGGATCTGCTTCGCTTCTCACCTTCAATCTACCTTTTCTTTCCTGTGACCTCAATCCAGGAAGTCAGAAATGTTTCCGATAGCGTTCCGTGTCCTCACAAAGGGCTCAGGAGCATAAAAGCGGCTTTAACAGATCCACTGACATCCCAGGAGAAGGCAGTTTTTTCTTATCATCAGCAATCTGATTGTTTTCAAGGGGGTGTGTGAGAAGTAACTTATATACAAGGGAAAGTCCTGACCTCAAAGCACACAGTTTTCCTTTTATTTCTAGCAAGCATGTGAATTCAAATGAACTTGTGACATTCTCACAGTTGACTTTTCCAACTTGGTTATGCTTTTAGACCTGGTTGCCTTGGAGGTCATTGTTGTGTATTTTGTCAAATGCTGATAAACACTCCACCTGGTTAATGTCTCGGTTCCTCCTGGCTTTCAAGAACCACACATTTCTGTTCCTGGGAATGCTAATTTATTTATTTATAGAATTTATTTCATTTATAAAATCTATTGGCTGCCCAGCTTACCATAGGGCAGCGGTTCTCAACCTGTGGGTCGGGACCCCATTTGGGGTCGAACGACCATTTCATGGGGGTCGCCAAACAACACAGTCCGCCATTTTTTCCCCTTTTTCCTTGGCTCTGCTACTCCCTTTTATTCTATTGGCTTTTGAAAGCCAATCGAATAGACTCTCTTGAATAGAGTCTAATTCTATTGGCTTTCCAAAGCCAATAGGAATTGTCCAGGCTGTCTCTGCCCTGCTGAACCGGCCAAAAGTCCCATTCTGCAAACGGTGCTGCACCAGTTGAGTAGTCCTCGACTTACGACCGGTTGAGTAGTCCTCGACTTACGACCGGTTGGGGGGGTCGCGGCATTAAAAAGGTTGAGAACCATTGCCATAGGGTAACTCTGGGCGGCTTGCAGTTACATCTTAATTAAAACATAATGTTTGAATTTCCTAACGTCGTTTTAATTTTGGTGATGTTTTGAGTTCATAGCAAGGTTTGCTAGCTTTAGATTGTTTTTATACCGTGTTTCTGTAACAGCCACTTGTGTTACCCACTTCCTGGTTCTGTACACAAGGAAACAAAGGACCTTCTTACCTAACTCACAAAAACCCAGCATCCCTTCTCCCCCCCCCCATTTCAGTCTTGGAAGTCTTATATAATCTTGGGACCAGAAACGATTTCTGCCAATCATGTTTCTGAACCTGACTGATCTTGAGGACTAGTAACTCTGTTAGCATGGCTGTGTCCTGAACTATAGCTAGGACAGGATCCTTACCAGCAGTCTTTGCAAATTGGGATATCATAACTTAATATTTGCAGCGGATTGTGCCGAAACCCTTTCCCACCCATCAAGGTCTTTTTGGTTTAGGACTTTAAATCTTGCTTAGAATATCCACGTGATAAAATTTCCAGACATCAGTAAGTGGTTCCCCTCTGTTTTTCCCCAATATTTGGATATTTGAGATTATTGTTCATTCCGATCTGGGTGATTTTAATTACAGGTAGTCCTCGACTTACAACGGTTCATTTAGTGACCGTTTGAAGCTACAATGGCACTAAAAAAGTGACTTAGGGCCATTTTTCACACTTACGACCGTTGCAGCATCCCCATGGTCACGGGGTCGAAATTCAGGCACTTGGCCACTGACTCATATTTACGACGGTTGCGGCGTCCCGGGGTCAGGTGATCCCCTTTTGCGACCTTCTGACAAGCAAGGTCAATTGGGGGGGGAGCCCGATTCACTTAACAACCATGTGAACAACTGAAGATTTTCAGTGATTCACTTAACAAATGCAGCGAGAACAGTCGTCAAATGGGGCAAAACTCACTTCACAAATTTCTCACTTGGCAACATAAATTTTGGGTTCAACGGTGGTCGTAAATGGAGGACTATCTGCATTCAATATTGATTATTTTAAGCCATTTATCGGGGTGGGGTGGGAGGGGATGTATCATTTAGGACCCCCGTAAACTCACCCTTTACTGGTGCAATCTATGGGAAGCCTCCCCCAGGCCAGGGGAGACCCCAAATGGGGTTACCCTAGAATTAAAGGGGTTCCCCACCCCCTAAGCCCCAGCCCAAGGGATGGGGGGGGGTCTCTTTGAGCAGCTTCGAGGGAGGGGGGGGCTGGAAGCTGGTCGTCTCCCCCAGGCTAGATACCCCTTTGGGACCCCAAAGTGGGGAGGGGGATTCTAAAACGGGGTGGGGGGCTTCCCCTGCTCCCCTTGTGATACATTTATTTTCCTCCCAGGTTATTTCTACCCTCTGGGCTATTTTCACTTTATAATCAGGGAAGGAGCCCCTCCCCACCCTCGAGGGCCCCAAAGCCCCCTCCCCTTATCTTCCATTTATAAAGAAACCCACGCCCCCCCCCTCCCGAGACCCACCTAGCCCGTCCTGAAGCCGGAGAAAGGCCGCATCGGGCCGCGGAGCCTGCCCAGCCTTCCGGTCGCCTCAAGCGGGCTCGCCGCTCACTCCAGTCCGAGGCTCCGAAAGGCCGCCTAGGCCCCACCCAGAGTCGGCGGCTTCGCGAAAGAGCGATTCTCGGACGGACTTACGTACAGGTGAGGCGTAAGACACGCCGGAAAGTGGGAGGGCTACGCAAATTTCGCAGCGACTCCAACAGGAAGAGGGAAGTAGCTTTTGAAAACACAAATAACGTGCGTTTAATCGGTGGAAGGAAGGAAAAGGAGGGGATTTTAAAATGCAAGGACCTTAAATCCTAATTGCAGTACTCGACCGAGGGCTGCTCCTGATGTATTTAGATGCTGTGCTTTGCAGTAAACCTCTGCAGAGATTAAGTTTTGACTAAGCAGCTGACCGGAAAAAAACAACGGATTTGCTGTTTGGCAACTGAAAATTTTCATGTCAAGGAAATTAATAGCTGACTAGCAATCAGGTTGCGATTAAAGGCACATTGTCTAACTTTTGCGGATTTGCATCTTTATAAAAATAATTGCAATTCAATGCAAATGAACGTTTTTCTATCACAAAGGTGGGAAAACTTCAACTGAACTGTGATTAATCTGTAAATGCAGTTTAATGTTGAATAGAATAGAATAGAATAGAATAGAATAGAATAGAATAGAATAGAATAGAATAGAATAGAATAAACAGAGTTGGAAAGGACCTTGTAGGTCATCTAGTCCAACCCCCTAATCAGGCAGGAAACCCTACATGAGTTCAGACAAATGCTTCTTAAGTGTTGGAGCATTCATAACTTCTGGAGGCAGGTTGTTCCACTGATTAATTGTTCTAACTGACAGGAAATTTCTTCTTAGTTCTGGGTTGCTTCTTGTCCTGCCTTCAGGTGCTTTGGAGAATAGCTTGACTCCCTCTTCTTTGGGGCAACCCCTGAGATATTGGAACACTGCTAATGTAATGCAAATGCAAATTTTCTAGTCTTTAGCTGGCAAACAGAATAAAGCAAAAAGCCATCAAGGCAAAATCATCTTTATCTGAACCTTCACAGCATAAACATAAAACATTTCAGCAATGCTGGATGCTTCAACAGCTTCACTTCAGTGCTGCTTCATTGTGCTCGTTCCCACTTACTAAAGTGAATATTGGCTTATGAAAACAGTGGAAACCTCCTCCCCACAAACTATACATAAGAACAAAGCCATCTGTACCCCCCATCAAATGTTTCCAGAAGAAATTTAAGTCAACTTGTGTGGAAGCTGCCCTGACATTGATTTAAATTCCCAGTTTACCAACAACGTGTGTGCTAATTTAAAAAACAATCTTTTTAAGCACCATACTTGTGTGTTTAACAATGGATTTAGAGCTTTCTGTTGTAAATGTTTATGCTTGTGCAGCCCTTGAAGAAAACTTCAAAAATGGTTAAATGAAAACCAAGACTACTCTTAACTCCCCCCCCATAAACTAAACTCATATTTTTATCCCCTTAAAGGGCCACCTTTAAGGAAGACATGGAGACCACAGTAGTCCCAGTTGTTAGCCAGCTTTTTGGAGATAGACTGCATTCCACGGTGGAGTTTCCATCTAGATGGTACTCATTAATCATTGACTTTCTCATTTATTTATTTTTAAAGCCAGAAGCCACCCTTGGTTTATCACGGAGGAATAAAATCGGGTGAGAATTTATTCCGGCACCCTCCAAAATAAAACCCCATTATTCAAGAAGGCATCAGGATTGTGTTTGCTATTTTCAGACCAACGGGATGTGAAGCCAGATGCTACAAACAGCTATGCATCTCGGCCAAGATTTCCAGGTGTGAATGCCACATCTGAACCCACCCAGCTCCCCTGGCATCCGTTCAGCCACCCCTTTGGTCTTGTGTGCTCAAGCACCAGTGCCCAAGAGACTCATGGCCCGTGCTAGAAGAAGTCAGTCAGGCCATTGGATTGACCTTCTTTGCCCAGAAGGGCAGCGAAACACTTGGGTAGGTCCAACTGGGATCCCAGCAAAGCACGGCGCAGATTATGCTGCCTAAAAGGACCATGAAGCAGAGGAACCACGTCAGCAGTCCAGCGTTGGTGAAGGGGAGGATGAAGGCAATCAGCATCAAAACAAGCAGAAGCAGCAGGGTGAGTCTCTTGACGGCAGCCTGGTTGATCTCCCCGGAATCCCGAGATTGCATTTCAGGGGAAGGCTGCTGCTGGCTGTGCCACACTCCGACGGCGCCCGGGGTGCCAGCGATCTCTGCATCTGGATCTGTGCTCTCTAGCTGCTCCATGACGTGCTGTAGGTTGCTGAGGCTGCAGATGAGACCCCCGGATACCACTGTGGCCTTTCGGCAGAGGGGACAGTTGATGATCCAGGCATGATCTTTTTGCCCCAAGATCCTCTTCAGGCATGTGGCGCAGAAGGCATGCTGGCACGCCAGGACTTTGGGCAGCCGGCTAAGGCTGAATTGATGGAAACAGATGAGGCAGGTGGTGTCACCAAAAGAGACTCTGGACGGGCACTGCTGGAGAGGCCCCGGGGGTGACACCGTCACAGCGACGGGACTCAAAGATGATGACATCGCCATTTCTGGATTTCTGAGTTCTAGATCCACAGTTTTATTGCAAGACTTTTCCTCTTGAATGGAGCAGCAGCCCTCAATTTTTGGACCATCATCCGTTCCGGATGTCTCTCCAGAAATCTGAGATTGGTCTGTCGCTTTACCGGCTTCAATCACAAGTTGCAAATTATCCATGGAAAATGTTTTGCAAAATTCGGCAGAGGGAGAAACGTGGAGCTCTCCCAGCAATACGGATGAACCGCCTGCCTTTGACTGCATCTGTGGATTTGAAAACTCCTTTTATAAAATGCTTTGTCCTAGCAACAGAGTAATTGTTTTGTTTAACTCTCCCAGCAAGTCCCACCCCTTTGGCAAACAAAAAACAAAAAACTTGCTCACGTTGGGTGGGTGGATGTGTTTGTTTTCTTTAAAACCAAATGGAGATTAAATTTAATCAGTAACTCCAATGACCAGAGGATTTTTTTTTTTTTTTTTACTGTGCCTGATAACGTAACCTTGCTAGGCAATTCCGAAGGAAAAAGCAAACATTTCTTTACAATTGGCAAACAAAACCTCAAAGGGCTGCTTCAGATTTGAGGCAAGGAGATGGGAGGTTAAGTGCTGCAATTTGCTCAAAACAACTGGAGCTAGCTGTAAAAGTGCAGCCCGGGTGTTCCAAAGTTTATTCAATGGAGGACGTGTTTTGAGTAAACCCAAATGCAGAAAATGATTGAGAACAGCCTATTTTTTTTTTTAATCTGTTTGGGGTCCTTCTGAATGTTTAGGGCCGATCCAGAAGCTGAGGATAAAGGCAAAGGAAGATTAAGGATTAAGAATAAATTGGGTCTTTCAACTCCAGAAAACTTTATTGGTGCCTTACAGAATAAACACAACATTCCCATTCGGGGGGCTGGGAGGGGGTCTGGGTCTGTAACGGCCTGCCCTGCCCTGCGCCAGGCGGCAAAGGAGCATGGGTTTTGCAATCCAGCCCCCTTGAAGGAAGGCGTGCAGTGGGAAACAAACCACAGTGTGGTTAAGTCCGCTTCGCTGTGTCCGAGGTCCCCCTACTCCCCGTCTTTGTCATCTATGATGGGGAGGCTGTCGTAGGAGGGGAAATCCAAATGGGGAGGGAGGGGGATCTTGACTTCGTGGGGTCTGGGGGAAGAGAGGCTCTGAAACCGAGAGAAGAAGCCGGATCCAGCCACGCCGCCCGGACAGTCTTCTGACCTGCAATGGCTGCAGTCGTGTAAGGAGCAGGGTTTCTCCTGCCAGAACTCCGAGGTCTTCAGGTCGAGCGACACGTTGACACCCCAGACGGCAAAGTGCCGTATGCGGGCCTGCTTCTGAAGTTGGCACATGCACACCCAGGGCTGCCAAGTGTTCCAGTGGACGTTGGGGTCCCCTGCAAGCAGCAAGAGAAAACATGGCAGAAACAAGGAGTCTAGCAACCACCGGTCACCACAGTGAGAAACGGGGGAACTTGGTTCAGAAAACAAAAGGGAAACATCCAGGGGTTACGCTGAGCCAGAAGGATCCTGGCGGGGAGGGGGGGTGAGGCTTGCCCCCCCTCCTTCAGCCACCTGATCTACCTTAAAGGGCTGTTGTGAGAGTAAAACGGGCGAAGCTTATCCTGTATGTGAAAAGGGAGGGGAAGGACTGTTTAAGCAGCGTTAACCATAAACAGGATATGCGTTTAAAATAAATGCAATTATTTATTTAAAGCAAAGGTATTTGAGAACACCAGGCATTCAAAGAATGAGCCTTGGGCACATTAAGTGGAGGCTAAATTTAATTTTCTACCTGGATGAGCCTGCTGCTTGTTTTCATGACAAGCTGTTTTGAGGTTCATGAATCTTGATGATCCATCAAGCATGGATTAATTCAAGGAGAATTAATAAAGGCCTTGCCAAAGCAGCCCCATCAAGGAAATAAAGAGTTCCACTGCACGTCGCTTTGAAAAGGTGGGGAGGTCTGCTGCTCCCTCCATTTCAGGGGCAGTCTACCTGCAGCCCGTACAGGTGGGAGCTAAAGGTGAACCAAATAGACGTACATTTTTTTTCTCTTCCATCTTTCTTCGTATGAAGAACGGTGGCAGAAACTTGAGTATGTATAATGTAATTAAGAGAAGAGCCAGGGGTGACTTGATAGCAATGTTTCAATATTTGAGGGGCTGCCACAAAGAGGAGGGGGGGTCAAGCTGTTCTCCAAAGCCCCTGAAGGCAGGACAAGAAACAACGGATGGAAACTAATCAAGGAGAGAAGCAATCGAGAACTAAGGAGAAACTTCCTGACAGTCAGAACAATTAATCAGGGGAACGAATTGCCTCCAGATGTTGTGGGTGCTCCAACACTAGAGGGTTTTAAGAAGGGATTGGACAGCCATTTGTCTGACATGGTATAGGGTCTTCTGCTTGAGCAGGGGGCTGGACTAGAAGACCTTCAAGGTCCCTTCCAATTCTGTTATTCAGTTATCACATGGGAAACAGCATGACAGCGTTCTGGCAGGCCCTGGGAACGAACAGAAAGAAATGCTCGTCTACAGAAAGAGCGCCAAAGGCTAGAAGCATCACCACACTCTCTCCTCTGGAAAAGTGAGTTGCAAAACACTGAGGGGGCACCCCTGGACTTCCCCAAGGTAGAAATAATAATTAGAATGGAAGCTATAAATACACTGTGATCCTTTACCAACAGCTGGTGCGAGGCTAGCACCTCTGACATATTGGAGAGGCCAGAAAAATGAACCGAAAAAAGTCAGTATCTTCATTTTGTCTCAGCCAACGATGTCCGATTCTGGACCACAGAGGAAAGGATGCTGTGTATGCATCACCGTGGCAACAAGGAAGGAGCCAATCAACAACTGCAAACAGCCAGAGCATCTTTGGAACCCTCTGTCCTGGGCGGTTATCAAAAGCGGTTTATTTGTGGGCGCTGATTCCACAAATGAGTTATCTCTGAGTCCAAAAAAGGTTTTATTCTTTTCCAAGACATTAAATACCCATATTAGTTCTTTCCTGATTTTTTTAATACATTTTTATAATCTGGTTCTCTGCGTTGATATACCTTCCAGGAAGATGCTTACCGCTTCTCAAGACACAGCCTTTAAAATAATATTTATTCTTTTTTTAAAAAAAGAGGTATTTTTAAAAATAGTTCAGTTTTAATTTTCTAAAAAAAAAAAGGCATGCAGCACATGTCAACCTTCCCCTCCATCAAACAGGCGTACGGTTTTTAATCTGTTGTTTTTCTCCCCCGCAGAGGTGTTCATGGATGTGTGTTTTCATAAGCCACATGGACTAAAAGACAATTAAAAAATAAATAAAAGGTAGATTTTTTTTTTTAAAAAAAAAAATCCAAATAAATGACTCGCCCTGCTATTCCTGAACTAAACAATTTACAAAGCCTACCACTGACTGTGGGGCACTCACATAAAAACTCAGCTGTTCTGAGCAAAAAGAGGCAGCACCATCGGCACAAATTGGATGTGGTTTTAATGGAAAATGGCTTTGTGGCGTGGCGGCTTTTGGTGAGCCTGCTTCCGAGGGGCGCTGCTGAGTTCGAATTCCACCACTCGAGAGCGGTCAAGCAGTTCGTCCGTCCTTGTCCCGCCTGCCACCCGAGAGACAGAAGTCTGAAAAGCAGATTTAGAGATCCCAGTTACAGAGGCACTGTGGCAGGGCTAGTCAACCTTGGCTCTTTTAGGACTCGTGGACTTCAACTCCCAGAATTCCTGAGCCAGCTGTGCTGGCTCAGGAATTCTGGGAATTGAAGTCCACGAGTCCTAAAAGAGCCAAGGTTGACTACCCCTTGCACTACGGCAATTTGGTTTGAAAATACCCTTCCTCCCAACTGTATTTCTATTTTAATTGAGAAATGCCTGAATTAAAAAATGAATTCTGCTCATTTAACAGACCACAAAACAGGCCCAGGCAAAGGCTGAATTTAAGCTTTGTTTTAATGCCACAATCCCTACTTTGCCAGCCACACACGGACCAGCAAGACCATCGCAAGAGCAGTTTGGCTACTGCTGGTAGTCCTCATCTTACAACAGTTTGTTTAGTGGCCATTTGAACTTACAACGGCACTGGAAAAAAAGGGACTTAGGACCTTTATTCACATTTACGACGGTTGCAGCGTCTCGATGGTCATGTGATCAAAATTCAGACGTTTGACAACTGGCTCATATTTATGATGGTTGCAGTGTCACGTGATCCCCTTTTGCAACTTTCTGACAAGCTAAATAAATGGGGAAAGCTAGATTCACTTAACAACTGGGTTACTACCTTAATAACTAATAATAATAATAATAAAGTTGGAAGGGACCTTGGAAGTCATCTAGTCCATCCCCCTGCTCAGGCAGGAAACCCTACACCATTTCAGACAAAGGGCTGTCCAGTTTCTTCTTAAAAACTTCCAGTGTTGGAGCATTCGCCGCTTCTGGAGGCAACTTCTGTTCCACTGGTTAATTGTTCTGTCAGGAAGTTTCTCCTTAGTTTCAGGTTGCTTCTCTCCTTGATTAGTTTCCACCCATTGCTTCCTGTCCTGCCTTCAGGTGCTTTGGAGAATAGATTGACTCCCTCTTCTTTGTGGCAGCCCCTGAGATACTGGAACACTGCTATCATGTCACCCCTGATCCTTCTCTTCGTTAAACTATTGTTGTTGTTAGTTGCGAAGTCGTGTCCAACCCATCGCAACCCCATGGACCACGTTCCTCCAGGCCTTCCCGTCCTCTACCATCTTCTGGAGTCCATTTAAGCTACTGCTTCAGTGACTCCATCCGGCCACCTCATTCTCTGTCGTCCCCTTCTTCTATTGCCCTCCATCTTTCCCAGCATTAGGCTCTTCTCCAGTGAGTCCTTCCTTCTCACTAAGTGGCCAAAGTCCTTGAGTTTCCACTTCAGGATCTGGCCTTCTAAAGAGCAGTCTCCTGCAGGACTGACCGGTTTGATGGCCTTGCAGTACTCGCAGGAGTCTTCTCCAGCACCAGAGTTCAATTCATTAAACTAGACCTACCCAATTCCAGCAACCATTCCTTATATGTTTTAGCCCCCAGCCCCCTGATCATCTTTGTTGCTTTCTAGAATCTCAACATCTTTTTTTACACCGTGGTGACCAACTGCAGTGCTTCACTTAACATCTGGGCTAGAAAGATGGCAAAATGCAGCAAAACTCATTTAAGAACTGTCTTGTTTAGAAACAGAACATTTGGGCTCAACTGTAGTCATACGTTAAGGACTCCCTATAGCAGGGGTCTCCAAACTTGTCAACTTTAAGACTTGTGGACTTCAATGCCCAGAATTCCTCAGCCAGTCCACAAGTCTTAAAGTTGACAAGTTTGGAGAGCCCTGAAGAGTGGAGGTTCCCAGACAGACAGTTCTTCCTGTTTACCTGATATGGACACTGAGAATCCAGAGATGAATGTAGATCTAGGCTGCTGACGATGGGGGTGGACACTCGGATGGGGTTCTCCCAACCAGCAAGGCAGTGCTGTGGGAACAAAGATAGAGACCGCCTCAGCGTTTTTGCCGAGTCCACTTGCCCCCTGAACTTTCTCTCTCTTATATATCCCCCTTTTTAAAAGCCCCCCAGCTTGATGTCCCTTGCTACTAACTTACGGCAAGAGTTCCCAGGTTTAAGCCAATATACTAGGCAAGCTGTCTTTGCAAGCCCTGTAAATTTACAAGCACTCAAATTCCACTGAAGGGGGGAAAGAAAATAGTGCTTGAAACTGCCAAAGTTCCTTTTCCAAGATTGCAGGGCAGTCCTCAACTTTTACAGCCAAATCCAAAGTACGAAGCAGCCTTAAGTGTTTGCTTAAGTCAAAGGTACTTTTTTCCCCATTGATTTGCTTTTGAAACAGGAGCAGCGTCTTATACACCATGAGAACTTAGATACTGCTTTTTTTCCTGACTCATCTTTTCTTTTGGAAAGGCAGGGCCATCTGCCTTCCAGGTAAACACTGTTTTTATGTCTGTCTGTCTGTCTATATCTATATAATTATCTATTTGTCTATCTGTCTATCTATTTGTCTATCTATCTATCTGTCTGTCTGTTCGTCCATCCATATATATCCATCCATCTCTCTCTCTCTATCCATCCATCCATCCATATCCATCCATCCGTATCTATCCATCCATATCCATATCCATCCGTATCTATCTAATCTATCTATCCATATATCTATCCATATCAATCCATCCCTATCTATCTGTCTGTCTGTCTCTGTCTGTCTTTCTATCCATCCACATCCACATCTACATCTACATATCCATATCCATCCATCCACCTACCTACCTACCTAATCTATCTATCCATCCCTATCTATCTGTCTGTCTGTCTTTCTATCCATCCACATCTACCCATCCATATCCATATCCATCCATCTACCTACCTACCTACCTACCTATCCATATCTATCCATCCCTATCTATCTGTCTGTCTGTCTTTCTATCCATCCACATCTACCCATCCATATCCATCCATCCATCCATCCACCTACCTACCTATCCATATCTATCCATCCCTATCTGTCTGTCTTTCTATCCATCCACATCTACCCATCCATCTCTATCTAATCTATCTATCTATCTATCTATCTATCTATCTATCTATCTATCTATCTATCTATCTATCTATCTATCTATCTATCTATCTATCTGATATTTAATGCTAACCTTGAATTCTAGCGTTTTACAAGAGACGCTGGAATCGTTGTCAATTTTCTCCCCCCCCCAAGCACAATTCTCTCTTTCCCTTTCTGTTTCGCGCACTCTTCCTCCCTTGAAACTCACCGAGGGCAGGGCCAAATTGTCCTCCATTTCGTAGCTTTTCCGTCGATGGATTTTGTGTTTATACGTGGGGAGGAAGGTAGCTCTTGGGAAGCTGACTCTGCAAAATATACCCCCACAACATCAGAACATCTAAAAGGAGCAGGTGAAGGTATTAAAAAAAACACCTGTTTATAAAGAGACTGGGTGAAGCCACCTGTTTCTAAATTAAAGCAAAACAAAATTGAGCAAAAATACGCCACCGTAAGAGATTATACACCGAAAGGCAAATCAACGGATTGCAGCAAAGTTAGATTACTACACTGCTTTTAAAAAAAAATGACTTGGGGAAAATCCCCAGGAAGACATTCTCTGGAACAGAAGGGGCAGAACTGGGAGCTGCCCACCTCTGCCGGTAAAACATTTTGCTGTCTTGAATAGGAAATGAAGAAACAAAACAGGATTTCTGTTCCCCCAAAGTACAGGCAGCTTTGGCTAATGTCCCCTTTCTTGGCCGTAAGAAAAAAGAGGGAATGAGGGAGAAAGGGGATTGTGGGTAATCCTCAATTTACCACAGTTCATTTAGTGATCGTTCAAAGCCACAACGCCACTGAGAAAAGTGACACATGGCCGTTTTTCACAGTTATGACCTCTGCAGCTTCCCCCACGATCACGTGATCCAGATTCAGAAGCTTGGCAACTGGTTCCTATTTATGACGGTTGCAGCATCCCGGGGTCCCCTTTAGCGACCTTCTGACCAGCAAGTCAATGGGAGGAGCCAGATTCGCTTCATGACCGGCTGACTCACTGATCAACTGCAGGGGTTCACTTAACAACTGTGGCAAAAAAGGTCGTAAAACGGGGCCAAACTCACTTAACAAACATCTCACTTAACAGCAGAAATGTTGGACCGGTCCTTTGCTTACGACCGTTGCAGCTCCCTCTCCCCTCTCCCTCCCTCCCTCTCATTCCCTCATCTTCCTTCATTCCTTCCTTCCTCCCTCCCTCTCTCACCCCTCCCTCCCTCCCATTCCTTCATCTTTCCTTCCTTCCTTCCTTTCTCTCCTTCTTTCCTTCCTTCCTCCCTCCCTCCCTCCCTCCCTCCCATTCCCTCATCTTTCCTTCCTTCCTTCCTTCCTCCCTCCCTTTCTCTCCTTCCTTCATTCCTTCCTTCCTCCCTCTCACCCCTCCCTCCCCCCATTCCTTCATCTTTCCTTCCCTTCCTTCCTCCCTCCTTTTCTCTTTCCTTCGTTCCTTCCTTCCTCCCGCCCACTCTCACCCCTCCCTCCCTCACATTCCCTCATCTTTCCTTCCTTCCTTCCTCCTTCTCTCACCCCTCCCTCCCATTCCTTCATCTTTCCTTCCTTCCTTCCTTTCTCTCCTTTGTTCCTTCCTTCCTTCCTCCCTCTCACCCCTCCCTCCCTCCCATTCCTTCATCCTTCCTTCCTTCCTTCCTTCCTTCCTTCCTTCCTTCCTTCCTTCCTTCCTTCCTCCCTCCCTCCCATTCCTTCATCTTTCCTTCCTTCCTTCCTTCCTTCCTTCCTTCCTTCCTTCCTTCCTTCCTTCCTTCCTCCCTCCCATTCCTTCATCTTTCCTTCCTTCCTTCCTCTTTCCTTCGTTCCTTCCTTCCTTCCTTCCTTCCTTCCTTCCTTCCTTCCTTCCTTCCCTTCCCTTCCCTTCCCTTCCCTTCCCTTTATTCTAGGAACTTGTGAAGTTCTACCATTGTTTCATTTGAAGTCCATGAAATTTATTTATTTATTACTGGACTTGGGTGGATATCACAAACTTATTTAAGCATTTTAGTCACGTGATGAAAATTGGGACACTTGGCAGAACCAGGGACACGGGGTTGCCATGGCGACCTTCCCAGGGAGCTTGCGAAAGGACGCCAAAATCCAGGGCCAACTGAGGTTGTTGGCAACTCAGATTGAAACTGATCCACCAAAACCAGGGGTAGGCAACGTTGGCTCTTTTATGACTTGTGGACTTCAATTCTGGGAGTTGAAGTCCATGACTCATAAAAGAGCCAAGGCTCCCCACCCCTGCCCTATATCAGGGGTCCTCAACATTGGCAACTTTAAGACTGGTGGACTTCAACTCCCAGAATTCCTGAGCCAGCCTGGCTCAGCTTGGAAACTCTCCCTTCCCCTCAGCATGGCTGGCTCAGGAATTCTGGGAGTTGAAGTCCAGCAGTCATGAAGGGGGCCATAGTTCCCCCATGCTGGCTCAGGAATTCTGGGAGTTGAAGTCCCCGAGTCATGAAGGGGCCATAGTTCCCCCATGCTGGCTCAGAATTCCTGAGCCAGCCTGGCTCAGCTTGGAAACTCTCCCTTCCCCTCAGCATGGCTGGCTCAGGAATTCTGGGAGTTGAAGTCCAGGAGTCATGAAGGGGGCCATAGTTCCCCCATGCTGGCTCAGGAATTCTGGGAGTTGAAGTCCACGGGTCATAAAAGAGCCAAGGTTACTTACCTCTGGCCTAGGCCGCTTTATGACTCGTGGACTTCAACTCCCAGAATTCCTGAGCCAGCATGGCTCAGCTTGGAAACCTCTCCCTTTCCCCTCAGCATGGCTGGCTCAGGAATTCTGGGAGTTGAAGTCCACCAGTCATAAAAGAGCCAAGGTTGCCTACCTCTGACCAAACAGCGATAACCAGGGCAAAACCTCACCTGATAAAAGCTGGCTCCACCAGGGTTTCAGGAGGTTTTTCGGCTCGAGGGGTTTTGCAAACGGGGCAGGCTGATTCTGGATCCGTTGGCACCGTAAAAAGGCGTTTATTCAACCGATAGCAGAAGACACCTGCAGCGCATGCCAGAAAAATTACGACAGGGCCCTTTACATAGCTGTAGGTTTTAACTGGTGCCAAGTTTCTAGCCTTCATGGCTGCAAGATGAGGCTAAGTAATGAGTGGCTTGAAACCTCAATGGGATTTTGGGGCCCTTTCCCATGCTTCTAGTTTGGGGGGGTGTCTCCAAACTTGGCCGCATTTAAAACTTGTGGACTTCATCTCCCAGAATTCCATGCTGGCTGAGGAACTCTGGGAGTTGAAGTCCACAAGTCTTAAAATGGCCAGGTTTGGAGATCCCCTGGTCTAGATCCTGCTAGGGCTGCTATTCCCAGGCACGCAATTCCTGCTGACTTTCCACCCCCAAAATGCACTGGCTAAAGAAACATTGGAACATACATTGGTGGGAGGCTGCGTCTATTTCCATCTCCCGATCCAGGGCCGAAGAATTCACGTCCTTCAGCCTGTAAAGAAGGAAAAACCCAGAATTAGAGCCTGAGAAAGGAATTGTGCACTGGCACCCAACTAACCAAGGCAGGGGAACGTTGTGTATTACAGTGGGCTGGGCTGGATGACCTCTAAATATCTCTTCCCACTCTTTGGTTTGGAGGCTGAGTTAGCCCTAACCCCTTGCCGGATCCTGATGAAGGAAAGAAGCAACCTGGAATTAAGGAGAAACTTCCTAATAGGGAGGACAATTAACCAGTGGAACAGCTTGCCACCAGAAGTTGTGGTGCTCCATTCCTGGAGGTTTTTAAGGAGAGACTGAACAGCCATTTGTCTGAAATGGAACAGGGTCTCCTGCTTGAGCAGGGGGCTGGACTAGATGACCTCCAAGGTCCCTTCCAGCTCTATTCTGATTCTGAAACAGCAAAGGCAGCTTTAAAATAACAACCCAGAGTTTACCCCTTGCAAAGCTTAATTTCTCCTGCGAATGGGCAGCTGGTGAGGGTTAACCATCTGATTTAAGCATGTTGTGTGAACTTGGGCTTTAAAAATGGCACTTGGGGGTTTGAGCAGATCTAAAGGCATCTACCTCCCACATCTACCCCTTTTTTCAAACCCCCTCTTCCCCTCCTCCTCCCCCCCCAGCCGGATCATACTCGAAGTCGTGGTCGCGGATGCAAGCCTCCTTGTTCACCTGGCGGAAGTTTTGCAGCTCTGCAAAATATTCCTCGGGTTTTTCAGACAGGGACGCATCCGTCTCCAGCAGCCCTAGAGAATGAGGGTCGCAGAGAGCAGGTGAAACACCCAAGCGCGAAAACGGCAGGATCAGAAGCTCATTGTCAAGCCCTCGGAATACACAGGTAGACTGTTCCTGGACAGGGAGGATCTGTCCCTCCTTTTCTTGGCAAATAAGAGCAGAATCTGCCAGCTGTGATTAGAAAGTTGGTTCTGTCTGGCTAGGAGGACGGGAGAGGGGCAAAGGAGCCAGCATGATGGGGGGGGGCTACAGTAAAACACTAGTACCACTTTACAAAGCCTTAGTAAGACCACACCTGGAATACTTCAGCCCATTTTGGTCACCCTACCACAAAAAAGATGTAGAGAGTTTGGAAAAAATCCAGAGAAGAGCAACTAAGATGATCCAAGGCCTGGGGACCAAAACATACGAAGAAGGGCTGCAGGATTTGGGTTTGGCTAGTCTAAAGATGAGAAGAAACAGGGGAGACATGATGGCATTATTCCAGTATTTGAGGGGCTGCCACAAGGCAGAGGGGGGTCACATTATTCACCAAAGCACCCGAGGGCAGGACGAGAAACAACGGTTGGAAACTGATCAAGGAGAGAAGCAACCTGGAATTAAGGAGAAACCTCCTGACAGTGAGGACAATTAACCAGTGGAACACCCTGCCTCCAGAAATTGTGGGCGCTCCATCACTGGAGATTTTTAAAAAGAGGCTAGACAGTCACTTGGATTTGCTAATGCTCTCCACCCCAGTGTGCAGAGACACTGCACCTGAGCATGGAAGCTCTGTTTAGGCCAGTGGTTCTCAACCGGTGGGTCGGGATCCCATTTGGGGTCGAACGACCATTTCACGGGGGTCGCCAAACAACGCACTCCGCCATTTCCCCACCCTTTTCCTTAGCTGTGCTACTCCCTTTTATTCTATTGGTTTTGGAAAGCCAATAGAATAGACTCTCTTGAATAGAGTCTAATTCTATTGGCTGCTCTGCTGAGCCCGCCAAAAGTCCCAGTCTGCAAATGGTGCTGCACCAGTTGAGTAGTCCTCGACTTACGACCGGTTGAGTAGTCCTCGACTTACAACTGGTTGGGGGTCACGGCATTAAAAAGGTTGAGAACCACTGGCTTAGGCGTTTCGGGAAGCAGCCCCCAGCCTCTTCCCACCTGCGATCCAGTCGTAGCCCAGGAAAGGCTGCGCTGACATGCTGTCCTCTGGGATCAAATACTCCTCCGTGTCGGAGACAAACGTCACATGCCCAGCTTCCTTCTGGAAAAGAGAAAGGGTGCCTCTTTGATGCCAGGGACCAGGACATGCCCCGGAAATGCCCAACATTGCCTGTCAAGTCTTGCCTGAAAACTGGCAGAGCCTTCCCCTTCTTCTAAAAGTAAGCTAAGATTCAAAACCAGGCACTTGTTACCATCTTTGGTGGACATGCCCCAAAGCCCAAAGATTCTGGCCAAGAAGACACATATGGTTAGAGAAAATGACTAAAAAAAAAACCATATAGATTTTAAGCCAGAACTGTGTTTGTTAGGCATAATACTAGGAAATAATGAGAAAGAGTGCATATGTCTAATTTTACATGTATTAACTGCGGCGAGAATTGTATTCGCCCAATATTGGAAAAATGAAGATTTACCAACGGAGGAAGAGTTAATTAAAATTTTTTTAGACTGTGCAGAAATGGACAGATTGACATTGAAAATGAATGAGAAAGAAGATTCAGTATATTTTAGAACATGGGGTACCTTTTATCAATGGCTAGAAAAACGAAGAAGAGAGAAAGGATATATACATACAGGATATATACATACAATATATATATACATTGCTTACTGGTGTACACCGCTTAGAGAGTGCTTGCACTTAAAGCGGTATATAAGTCTCATAAATAAATAAATAAATAAACAAACATGTATTAGTAAGTTAAATGTTGGAACCCAGACAATCTGTTGCTGATAAAGTATTAAGCATTTTTGATTATAAAAAAATACTAAAAATATATATTAAAAAAAATAAAAAATAAAATAAAAGCTAAGGTTCTAGTCCTGATTGCTCAAACCACTACTCTGCGCCCTGGTGGTGCAGTGGTTAGAATACAGCACTGCAGGCTACTTCTGCGGAATCCCGGCTGCCTGCAGTTTGGCAGTTCGAGTCTCACCGGTTCAAGGTTGACTCGGCCTTCTGTCCTTCCGAGGTCGGTAAAATGAGGACCCAGATTGTTGGGGGGTTAACGGGCTGACTCTGTAAACCACTTAGAGGGGGCTGTAAAGCCCTGTGAAGCGGGATATAAGCTTTACTGCTTGGGAAGGAAGGAAGGAAGGGAGGAAGCCATGGTGGTGCAGTGGTTAGAATGCAGTATTGCAGGCAAACTCTACCCACTGCCAGCAGTTCAATCCTGACCGGCTCAAGGTTGACTCAGCCTTCCATCCTTCCGAGGTGGGTAAAATGAAGACACCGATTGTTGGGGGGCAAATACAGTATGTTGACTCTGTAAATGGCTTAGAGAGGGCTGCAAAGCCCTGTAAAGTGGTATATAAGTGTAAGAGCTACTGCTATTGCTACTCTCCCTGTCTTAGATCAGTATCGCCCCCCTGCCAGCTTTCCAGCTGTTTTGCAGAGATTAAGTCTGCCTGCCAATCAGACGCAGTTTCTTTTGCTCAGGGCCTGCCCTGCCAAGCTTTTCAGCACTCACCTTCCTCCTTGCCCTGCCATGCTTGCTCCCCGGCGTAAGCAAAATGGACTTGGGGGTCTGCGGCATCCGAGCTGAGGTCCCCTGCCTCCTCTCCCCTCCTGCTGGGCTTTGGGTCAGCTCCTCTCGGGGGCCCGTTCCCTCCTTCGCCTCGGGGCAGGCAGCAGGGGCTGACTTTGGGGGGCCCTCTTCCTTGGCTGTTTCACCGTTCGCATTGGCAGCCTCGCCAAACGGCACGACGGCCGTGCAGGGGGAACAGGGCAGCCCCCAGCTCGGGGAGCACCCCTCTTTCCGTCTCTCGCTCTGCCTCCTGGTGCCCTGAGAGTCCAGGCCCAGTTGGGAATTCCCTTCCTCCGAAACGTTCAGGGTGGCCCCCTCCACGTCTGGATGAAACTCCGGCTGGATCTGGAAGGGAAGACAGCGATAAAAACAGTTGTGTTGCCGTGAGGGTCACACAGCACAATTAGCAAGACGTGGCAGGTTGCTGCCCCAGGGTGCATACAAGCTGGAAACTCAGTCAAGGACAATAAGGGGGAAAAATACTGCAGGAATCCCTGTTAGATAAGATAACCTTTATTCTCATTTTTTTTTACTGTGGGCACAGTAATATGGCACATATTAAAAAATGAAAACCTGTTGCCTGCTCTCAAAAGTGTACACCAGGGGTCTTCAAACTCGGCCCTTTTATGACTGATGGACTTCAACTCCCAGAATTCCTCAGCCAGGCACGTGTGTCAGGCTGAGGAATTCTGGGAGTTGAAGTCCACCAGTCATAAAAGGGCCAAGTTTGATGACCCCTGGTGTACACATACACAACACCCCTATAAACTGTTTAGGGCTACGTTTTTTAACTTGTCTGAAATTGCACGAGTGCCCTCTTATCTGACCTTTTTTTTTTAATCTCCTGTTTCACTCTTTTTCGTTTAACAACATGCAGCCTGCAGAAAGGTCTTGCAGCACAAGGCAGGTCTGATCGTTGTGATAGATGGCCCATTTGGGGGAAGCAAAAATAGGTCCTCCAATCTACAGAATTCTCATTTGGCTGCACAAGCAAATTCTCTGTCTCGTTCAGGATCTGGATCAAAGCATCTCCAGATGTAAACATGGTGCCAGGAAAGATTATGTCAAAAAACAAAACAAAACAAAAAAAAACAGGAAAAAAAGTAAGAGTTGCATGCTCCAGGATGGCAAAATGATTCACTGCTATTATTAAAAGATACTTAACTATGCTAACTATATATTCAGAAGCAGTCTATGTAATTTGATGGTGTTTTTTTTAAAAAAGCCTTGTTTTATTCATTTTTAAAACGCTAGATATGGTGAGAACAGGCCAATACAAAGTTTGTTTATTTTTGTTTATTATGAAATTTATTCATCACCTATCTCAGGTTGAATGAACTCTGAGTGGCTGGCAGCATAAAAACATTAAAAAAACATTAAAACCATCAATCATAACAAAGAAGATAAAAGGACGAGGGGTGACGTGATAGCAGTGTTCCAGTATCTCAGGGGCTGCCCCAAAGAAGAGGGAGTCAAGCTATTCTCCAAAGCGCCTGAGGGCAGGACAAGAATCAATGGATGGAAACTAATCCAGGAGAGAAGCAACCTGGAACTAAGGAGAAACTTCCTGACAGTGAGGACAATTAACCAGTGGAACAACCTGCCCTTAGAAGTTATGAATGCTCCACACTGGAAGTTTTAATGAAGAGACTGGACAGTCATTTGTCTGAAATGGTATAGGGTTTCCTGCCTGAGCAGGGGGTTGGATTAGATGACCTCCAAGGTCCCTTCCAACTTTATTATTATTATTATTATTATTATTATTATTATTATTATTATTATTATTATGGATCATCGCACAGTCAGCCAGATGTTCAGACTGGATTTGGCATTTTTGTCTACCTATCGAGTCCTTACCCAGGACCTGGGATAGGCAGATGTGGATGTCTGATGGTATTACAGATCTTGTCGCGGGATGGAAGCAGTTCCTAGTAAGGCCCGGATTAGGCTTTATTAGCCAACCAACTCCAGCGGGTGAAGCTCCCCTACTGGGTCCCCAAGCCATCTGGCAGAGGCAGAATTGGATTTTAAACTTCTGTGGAGAAGTTCCAGAGGGATCCCCGACAGTTGCTTAAAAAGACCTCACGTATATTTGGATCAAAGCTGGACGCCCCCAGGAGTTTCAGATGTAGATGGGTCAACCTTGAACAACTATCCATCCTACCCCGTTCCTGGAACCGAGCCCCTGCTTGCGCTCGGGGTCCCCCGACGTGGAGGCCAGCACGAAGGGAAGGTGCTTCCTGAATTCTTCTTGATTGGCTTTCAACCTTCGCAGGAGATCCTGGTTTAAGTGGCGGAGCTGCTGAAGGTCCATCTCGGGCACCACGGACGGCTGCGCTGCGGGAGCTGAGCTGACGACGCCTTGAGAGCTGGGGAGTCAATATCTGAGTATCATCACCCCCAAGGGGATGCTTTTGGCCTGGAAAGCCCGCCTGGGGGCTCTCGAGAGGAGGAACTCTGCACGTGCCCAGAGGTAGCCTTTATCCTCCTCCCACAGGCCAGACTAAGGTCAGGCAGGGTCTGGGTCTCAGCTCTTAGGGACCAGGCAAGAATTTGGGGGAGGGGCCAAAGTCCTGATTGATGTTATTTTTGTTTTGCCAGTGACTCAAGACCAGCCTCCATCCCCAAGAGGGCTCAAGGGGCGTCCTCCACTAACCCCCCTCCCCAAAATTCAGCCTCCGGGCCCCCCAGCACCCCATAGAGGGGAAAACGCCCCCTCCCCTTGTTTCAATTCCCTTCTCAGCGGAGGCGAGGCACCACAATTCCCATCGGCCCCAGCCTGGGGAAAGCTGCCCTGGCTCCTCAGCCCCCGCCCCCCCCCAAACAAAAGAGCGCCGTTCTACGCACTTCATTCACTCCCGCGTCCGTTGGCTACTATGTAGCAAAGCCAAGCTTCCGAACGCCTCCCGATTGGCCACGCTCCGCCGTCGTCGCCCAGCAACCTGCGTCACCCCGGAACTTGGGAGATTTGCTCTTAAAGGGACCGCACCCTCGCTCGCCTTTGGGGAGGAGTTTCGTTTCGTTTCGAATTAAAGGCCTGGTCCGGCTTTCATGACGGACCTCGGTGGCCCGGCGCGAGGGATTGCAACCCCTATCATCCGCAGCCAGCGAGGTAATCAAGGTGGGATGCAAATTAAATAAATAAACTTAAATTCATTGTAGGGTTCCTGCCTGAGCAGGGGGTTGGACTAGATGACCTCCAAGGTCCCTTCCAACTTTACTACTATTACTATTACTAAAACCAATAGCTAAATACTGAGAACTCCCATTTTCAATCAGAAACTTAAAACCTACTGGTTTTTTTTTTTTTTAAATAAATGAATAAAATAAAACTTTCATGTTTGGGAGCAGTGTGGCTCAAGTGTTTTAGAAAAACTGTTTTACAAGCCTACAGACTCCAGACTCTGTAGGCCCTGTGAAATTCGAGAAAAATAAAAACTCACTTCATTTTCGATGTGATTGTTTTCACAAGACTCACACAGGATTACTGAGATTAAATTAAAAAAAAACAACCAATATTAAAGTCCCCCCCCCAAAAGAGACATGCAAATAAACATCAAACGCTCTGAAATATTAACGACCCTCTGTACATGCCTAGAGGCCCTGTGGTGTCTTGCCAGCTCACCAGAGCAGAATGAAAGGCAGGAAGTCTCTTTTCCCCTCCCTCCCCAGCTGTGACCATCCAACACACAAGGATCCAGACACAAAACCTTCAAAGAGGCAAAAAGAAATACTTGCGCAACACAAGAGGACCACAGAAAAGCATTTTTATCCAAGAAAAAAAACCAAGACAAAAGTTTCCGTCTGTTTGTTCCTTTTTAATTCCGTTTTGTGGTTATTAACAGCACTGATGCAGCCAGAAACAATTTGATCAGGTCAAAAACAGTAATAGCATCATTATTCCCAAATCCTACAGCCCTAAAATAAAACAGAAAAACACCATCGGGAGGATTTTGAAGACCTGGCTAGAAATCAAAATAACAACACCAAAACTAGCATTTAAAAGAAAAGGTAAAGTGCATTTTGGGGAGACTCTTGTTAACTAACCCTCAGCGTTTTAAGGGTCCATGCTTATGACCGATCGGTGGCCCAAATGATCACATTCTCAAAAATTTGGCTGAGCTGGCTGGAAAGAGAATGAAATTCCCCACCTCGGAATGAGGAGGAAAGGAAGGAGAAATAGACCCCCAGACCCCAATGGGAAGACATTTCTCAATCACACGGAGGAGGCATTTAAGTGCCACGGCTTGAAGACGTGTGGACTTCAACTCCCAGAATTCTCTAGCCGGTTGACTCAGGGATTCTGGGAGTTGAAGTCCACGCATCTTCAAGGTACCAAGGTAGAAAAACCAGGGTACTAACTAGAGGGTCTTTCGGTCCCAAAAAAATGGGATGATCCCAATTGTGACCTCTGCAGAGACTGGGCTGGCACAACCTACCCCCTGTGCATGCCCCCTCTACAAACCGATGCCCCGAGTGGGCCCCCAATTGAGCCAGGAGGAAATTACGTATCTGCCAATTGAGGCGCATTTTGGAAAGTGAATTTTGAAAGGGATGGGGCTGGATTGAAAGGGAGCAAGGTCCTCATAACCCCCCCCCCAAAAAAATAACAATTAAAAGGTATAAGAGACAATTGCAGAAAGGATCATAAACAAAGGAAGAGCAAGAAGAGAAATAAAGAAGCAATCAAGTCATCAAAATCCATTACAGCTGATAATTCTATTGTCCCTCGCTTGAAGGAATCACAAAATGCAATTGTCCAATTTCTCCCTCCGAATCATGTCTTACATTTCATCCATTTAACTTCATGCATCACTCTCAGCCCACCTGCACACACCTGCTAATAAATTTATTACTGTTTGAAGTTAACTCGGTTAACTTCATAAGGACTAGCTCCTTTACAAGGGCTGTTTTATTTAGGGCAAAAGCTGCAGGAAATGACATGGTGATCATAACAATCTGAGGATCAGGACAGAAAGACCGAAAGTTTAACCAACTTGCTATGTCACAAGCATGTAAAGGAGGGGATGGGATTAGAAGGTTGAAGAAACTCAACCAAAGATTTGTTTCAGAAGCCAAGCTCAGCCCACATCTGAATTTATCTGGGTTGTACCCAGTTTTGTCCTATAAATTATGATTAAGATTCCCTTTGGGAGGAACAAGGTCATTCATTTGTGGCAAGCAGGCATTGGGGGTTAATTTCATTCCATAACCACTAAAAAAAAAAATGCAAATTCATTGATGGCTAAAATAAAACGAGTAAGGGGGATTAGATCCAGGACTGGACATGCCAGCCCACCGTTGGGGACGTCAACGTTCTTCCTACTAAGCCCAAAAAAATTGCTAAGATAGCAAAGACTGGCCACAAGGAAAAGCGCCCACGTGAGGAGAAAGGAAAGGAATTTCAAAATAACTCTGTGCGTGGAAGGGGCAGGCGCAAAGACGAACGAGACTTTCCACTTTCTCCCCCCAAAGTTCCCATCATCTGGAATTGTTTTCCCAGTAGCGTAACTGGGGGAGGGAGGGACAGACAGCCTCTCCTGGACTCCCATTTCAGTTGCTTATCTGCTCTGCTGCAAATATTGATGTGTGAACATGTTCAGCTCACTGTCCAGCCATCCAGCTTTATTCCTGGAAAGGCAGAGAACCCATATTAAAAAAACAGGAAAGAAATAAGTTATAGCCTGCTACGTTCAATCTATAAAAGCCAGTTTTGCTTCAAATGAGCCTCAAAACCTGAACATTCCAAACTAAGTCATTACTAAAACTGAAAATGCCAATAACCTTTTTCAAATATAAGGCATTTGTATTTTGTATTTGTATTTTAACTGTAGAAAGTTAAAAACTTTCCAAAACAGGCACATTCATAACTATGAACATAATCATCTGTCCATTTGATTAGGCTTGAAAATATGTATGAAGGAATGGCTTGTTTTAGGACTATTGTCCTTCTTGATTTATGGATGTTTTTAATGGGATTCTTTGGCTTGAAAAAAATAATTTTAATGGGATTCTTCGGCGTGAAAAAATAGTCTCAAACTAGGTTTGCAAAAGGAAGTGGCTGAAAGATGATGCAGAGAAAAAGACTTGATGTTTCCTCACAAAGATTGTCTGCTATTTTTTTTTAACACAGATATAACAAAATGTAATGCAGGAATAAATTTATGAATGAATGAGAATGCCCTAACTCAGGGGTAGGCAACCTTGGCTCTTTTATGACTCGTGGACTTCAACTCCCAGAATTCCTGAGCCAGCCTGGCTCAGCTTGGAAACCTCTCCCTTTCCCCTCAGCATGGCTGGCTCAGGAATTCTGGGAATTGAAGTCCACGAGTCATAAAAGGGCCCAGTTTGAAGACCCCTGGTTTAAATATTTTTTCCTCACGGTCACGTGATCAAAATTCAGGCATTTGGGCAGAGGTAGGCAATCTTGGCTCTTTTATGACTGGTGGACTTCAACTCCCAGAATTCCTGAGCCAGCCATGCTGAGGGGAAAGGGAGAGGTTTCCAAGCTGAGCCAGGCTGGCTCAGGAATTCTGGGAGTTGAAGTCCACGAGTCATAAAAGAGCCAAGGTTGCCTACCCCTGCCCTAATATAACAGTGACAACAAAAAAGATGAATATGTTTTTCTATTCTTGCCCAATTCATCAAAAATTCGTTGGAAAGCAGTGGACCTTATTTACAGGCAGAGTTTAAAAATCTGAAATCCAGGGGTTTTTTTTAGCAAGTGCAAGACGCTGCATCCATTTTATGTAAAGTGAACCCCTCACCCGCCACCCCATTCCAAGCAGCGGACAAACATAAAACGGAACGGCCTTACCTAAGCAATTTGGCTTTACTCTGTAAAGTATCCAAAATCTCAATCTTTTGATTCAGGCCTGCAATTTCTTTCTCCAAATCTTCTCTTGTCACGTCCACCTGCTGGCAGAGCTGAGCAAAAGTTCCCGCCAGTTCCCTTTGGCAAGATTTTTTTAAAGTGAAAAGAAAAAAAATCGTCAAAAAAAGATGAAAGGGGACGAGACACTTACCTGAACGTGAGAAAAGCCTACCCCCCCTTACAAATCAAATATGGCAGCTTCGTTTTTTCCTCCCAGTTCACACACAATGTAAAAATCCTGGAAAGGCTGCAATAATACCAGTAAACGGTAAAATATCTTAAAGTTGTCATCCACCCGTGATTTCAAATTAGCTGGGATCGGATCACTGGTTGCATGTTGGGTGAGCCAAGGGTTTAATTTTAAACACAGGCATTTCAGTCCCTGTTCTGCCCCAACGTGTCTGACTTTGCTATCGGGGGCTGGGGGTGTTTTTTGTGGCACTCAGTCATTCCCACAATTTTGCTTTGCAAAAATCCCTGCACAGCCTAGCCCAGGGGTAGGCCACCTGGGCTCTTTTATGACTGGTGGACTTCAACTCCCAGAATTCCTGAGCCAGCCTGGCTCAGCTTGGAAACCTCTCTCTTTCCCCTCAGCGTCGCTGGCTCAGAAATTCTGGGAGTTGAAGTCCACCAGTCATAAAAGGGCCAAGGTTGACTATCTCTGGCCTAGGCCGCTTTATGACTCGTGGACTTCAACTCCCAGAATTCCTGAGCCAGCCTGGCTCAGCTTGGAAACCTCTCCCTTTCCCCTCAGCATGGCTGGCTGAGGAATTCTGGGAGTTGAAGTCCACCAGTCACAAAAGAGCCACGGTTGCCTACCTCTGGCCTAGGCCTAGGCCGCTTTATGACTCGTGGACTTCAACTCCCAGAATTCCTCAGCCAGCATGGGGGAACTATGGCCCCTTCATGACTCATGGACTTCAACTCCCAGAATTCCTCAGCCAGCATGGGGGAACTATGGCCCCTTCATGACTCATGGACTTTAACTCCCAGAATTCCTGAGCTGGCCTGGCTCAGCTTGGAAACCTCTCCCTTTCCCCTCAGCGTCGCTGGCTCAGGAATTCTGGGAGTTGAAGTCCACGAGTCATAAAAGGGCCAAGTTTGAAGACCCGTGATTTAGTGAATGAGGTATAAAGCAGGCTAAATTTTAATTCTTCTATCCTCGGGCCAGTGTACGCTACCAATTTTAAAAGAGTCTTTTCCTCAAGTGGCTTCTGATGCTCTTTCTACTCAGAAAAGGCCAAAAAGGTTGTGTAGACAGGGAGTCCTTGCCTTACAACCCCAACTGAGCCCAAGTGAGACAGTAGTTAATTGGAACTTTACCCCATGTTACGACCTTTCCTGCCCTAGTTAAGTGAATCTCTGCAATAGCAGAGTTGGAAGGGACCTTGGAGGTCTTCTAGACCAACCCCCTTGCTCAGTCAAGAAACCCTCAATACCATTTCAGATGAATATTAGATAACATCTGTCTGAATATTCAACAAATATTCAGACAAACAGTGACACCGCTAATTCTGTCAGGTCACCAAAGGGGACCCCTTGACCGCGGGGACACTGCGACCGTCATAAATAGGAACCAGTGGCCCCAGCGCCCGAATTTTGATCACGTGACCACGGGGATGGGGAATCAGCTGTTAAGTGTGAAAATTGGTCACAAGTCAATTTTCCTCAGTGCTGTTACAACTTCAAACAGTCGCTAAATGAACCATTGTTAAGTCGAGGACCACCTGAACCCCTGGAGCAGCCACATGTTCACCAAAGGGTTTAAATCTCTCTACTGCAGAGGCTCCCAACCTTTTGGGCGTTAGGGACCCAGTTCTGTGGGGAGAGGTTTTTCCACAGACTGGAGGGCGCGTGGTTTTGTGTGCTGCCTGCATCTCGCGGGTGGGGTTTTGTTCGTTTGTGTGGACTGGTTGCTAACACACCGCGGCCTGGTACTGGCCCACGGACCGGGGGGGGGGGTTGGGGACCCCTGCTCTACTGGGACCGAGGAGGAGAATTCCTCAGCAGACACAGCATCCCGTTGCCAAGCGTCTGCATTTTGATGCTGCAACCGTCGTAAGTGACAAACGGTCGTAAGTCACTTTCCCCCCCCCTCCCAGGGCTGTTGCAACTTGGAATGGTTGTTAAGTTGGGGACTGCGTGCATCCTGCAGCCTGGCACTCTGGGCTGCACTGGGCACAGTGCAGGGAGGGCGTCGCGAGGCTTAACTCACTGCTGCACTTGGTGGCTGCAGTTGGAGCCGGTGTAGCTGACAATGAGCTGGAGCTTCTCTCCGGCGTACTCCACGAACTGGCGCTTGAAGGCCCGCTCTTTCGCCTTGGTGGTCCAGGTGAGGCGCTCGTAGACGTACAGGAGTCCGTAGAGGCCCAGGGAGAGGGCGATCAGCCTCCAGCCCACCGCCTTCCAGACCTGGCCAGGGGGACGCAGACAGGACATGGGCAGTTTGGAACAGAATACGTCGTGGCTGGAGCTGGGCTCACGGCCAAGACAAGAAGCAAATGGAGGGGGGGGGGGAAGGGAACGGATTGGAATGGAAAGGAGGTATGGGGGGGGGGGTCAAAGGAACGCGAGAGCCAGCTTTTCACTCTGGGAAAGTCTACTAGACAAAGAAGAGCCCCTTGCCCAAACAAAACGAACATCATGGCTTGGAGGAGATAAAATGATTGCGGGAGGAGAAAAGGGGGCGTTGAATTATCCTATTTGCCCGTGAACCCCTTAGAACTGGCTTTGCTACTTCCCCCTCCGTGCCTGCACTCTTGGAAAGTGAAAATGCCCCAAGGGGTCTTTATTTGCTGAATGAACCGGGAGGGACGGTTGACAGAATAGATGAGAATAACAAGGTCGGGTGGGACCTTGGGAGGTCTTCTGGTCTGTCCAGTCTCTTCTTAAGATGCTCCAGTGATGGAGCACCTGTGACTTCTGGAGGCAAGTCGTTCCCCTGATGAATTGTTCTCACTGCCAGGACGTTTCTCCTTTGTTCTAGGTGGCTCCTCTCCTGGATTTTTTTAAAGAAGCCATTTTTTAAGCCATTTTTGCAGCACCTGACAGTCATGTCCCCGATACCCAAAAGCTGTAGGATAACGGGGTCCCAAATACAGACCCTAAAATTACGCTGACTACTCCGCCCAGTATTTACCCTGTGATAAGATGGGTGGCCAATAAATTTGATAAATGAAAATAAAAGAGAGCAAAGGAGAGCGTCTCGGGGAAAGCAGGAAAGACGAACAAACACGGAACGAGAAGGAGCTTCCAGATACGGACTTCAGCACCCATTGCTCTTAGCTAGCAGGGTCCACTGACTCTGGAATGGCTGAAATAGGCTTCCACATTTGCCTGGAAGGGCTGGAGAGAAATCAGGAAGCTGGCCTCCATTCCCCCACTTCTTTTTCCTGAGCGTTCCCCCAAAAACCTACCACTCCACCGATCACCAGGATGCCCATCGAAGTCCTGGAGGTGAGGGAGGCCAAGCCGGTCACCATGGAGACCATCAGCTCCTCCTGAGTCAAGGAACCCTGTGGCATGGGGGGCAAGCTTGGGTTCGCTGGGGTCAGGGGCAACGGACGCTGGACCTGGTGGGCAAAATTGGAAAGCTAAGACAGGCTGCTGCCTCTGGGGGAACTCCAGCCTCCGGTGCCCGTTCTGCAGATGAAGCATCTGAGGCCAGGGGGAAAGGACCAGTAAGGAACACAGGAGAGGAAAAACTCCACGCCAGCAAAGGTCAGTTTGGAAGGAGAACAAAGATGACACAGCTTGGTCTCCCCCGGACAGACCTCAGGGGAAGCCAAGTCTCCACGCGCAGGGGGAATCTGCCTTGCATTATCTTTTTGGTTGGTTGGTTTGTTCACTAGTTTTATTCCTTTGTAACATACATAGTTACAAGTAGTAAGGGGCAACAGCAGAGAAAGGGCAAACAAAAAAGGGGGGAAGAAAGGGAGGGGAAGTAACAAAAGGCATTGACTTTCGACTCTCTTATAGTAAAATCAGACATGAAAATCAAATCTCAACTTTTTACATTTCTATAGTAGCATGCACTAGCCCTGGGCTCTTCCAACGTGGCCCTTGGATGAGGCGTGGACTTCACCTCCCAGAATTCCTCAGCCAGGTTTGAAGACCCCTGTTCTACAGTCTGAAGAAAACTAGGTCAAATATTCAGAACAATAACACTATTCAAAATCTGAGACTCTTTAAATCTGGGGCACTATAGTTCTTATAACCCCAGCTAGCAGCTGGAACTTGATCTATCGCAGGGCTCTTCCAACTTGGCCCTTTGATGACTTGAGGACTTCAACTCAAGGCACACTGGCTGAGGAATTCTGGGAGTTGAAGTCCACGAGTCATCAAAGGGCCCTGCCCTAGCTAGCCATTTCTGTATCGGCAGATCAGTCTAATCCAGTGTTTCTCAACCTTGACAATTTTAAGGCATGTGGACTTCAACTGCCAGAATTCCACAGCTAGCATTGCTCAGAGGAAGAGAACTTTAAAAGACTTTTAGGAAAATCAATGCCTGGAAGTTCTTTGGAATGTTTCATTAGCCGGAACCACAACATCATGCTAGGATCTAAGTTCTCTTCCTCTGAGCAGTTAAATTATCAGCATGTTCCCTCCCTAAATCAGCCATCATATCTCAAATTATCCAATTAGTGTGAAGGTCAAATGTTTTCTTCCTCTTTCTTTCCTGGGCTTTACCCCCATATTTAAACCCCATATTTACCAGACAATTCTGCATATTGTCAAAAGCAAGAACATACAATATTTGCAGCGTTGACACATGCCTTAAAATTGTCAAGGTTGAGAAACACTGGTTCTAATTGGTAAAACCCAAAATCATAATATCATTTCCCCCCCCCCCACCTCAAGCAGGACCTTGCGTCATCCAACCTGAGTCTTACCTGCTCGCTGTAGCCCATCAAAGCCCGGCGGGTATTTTTGGGCCCCAGAAACCGGTTCACCAGCATCGTCCAGCCGAGGGAGAAATGGAACTGGACGTCTTCCTGGAAGTCGGCGCAGAGCTTGTCGCAGTTCAGGTCGTAGCTGAGGGCGAAGCACTGCCTGGGCACCAGCAGCTCGATCTGCCCCCTCAGCGAGACGGGGAGGAGCGGCTTCAGGCCGTCTGAAAGGCATAGCAGGGAGGGAGAAGACGGTGTGTGTGTGTGTGTGTGTGTGTGTGTGTGTGTGTGTGTGTGTGTGTGTGTGTGTGATCCACGCCCCACATCTCAGCACAACTCAGGAGGAAACAGAGCTACGTCATGAGCCTGGGCAGGCTGGGGGTGAGACTACAGCAGGGCTGGGGAACCTTGGCTCTTTGAGGACTTGTGGACTTCAACTCCCAGAATTCCTCAGCCCGGGAATTCTGGGAGTTGAAGTCCACAAGTCCTCAAAGAGCCAAGGTTCCCCACCCCTGGACTAGAGGACCTCTGGTGTCCCCTTCCCACCCTCCCAAGGGATGCTCACCGATCATTTCTTGCTGCATGATCTGCAAAGAAGCTGCGATGGAACTGGAGCAGCGATCTGACATGTTTCGGCCCAGGCCTTCCTCGATGTGTCGATGCAGCTCCTGGGAAAGACAAAAAAAAACCCCGAGGGAATCCTGGGAATTGGAAGAGTCGCTTCTCTTAAAGTCCCTGGCGCTCTCTGAGGACTGGGAGGGGGAGTTGAGAGGGAGGATCAAAACTACTCGGAGTGCCAGTCCCGTCAAGAGCTGTTGGCTGCTTCAAGGTCAAGGCACGGAGTGCGACATTACACAACCTGCCAAGATGGGGATGGTCGCTAAAACAATTTATTTTAAAGCAGGGGTCTTCTAACTTGGCCCTTTGATGACTCGTGGACTTCAACTCCCAGAATTCCTGAGCCAGCCTGGCTCAGCTTGGAAACCTCTCCCTTTCCCCTCAGCATGGCTGGCTCAGGAATCCCGGGAGTTGAAGTCCACGAGTCATAAAAGAGCCAAGGTTGCCTACCCCTGGCCTAGATACTATAGAAATTAAGCAGATGAAAGGACATGCTTTTCCCAAATGGCCATGGCAATTATGCAGAAGGGTTAAAATCCCCATTAAGCGCAGTGGTGTACATGCTGTACACGAGGAATTCTGGGAGTTGAAGTCCACAAGTCATCAAAGGGCCCAGTTAGAAGACCCCTGCTTTAAAGTAATTGGACAGGAGGAAGTAACCAGGGCAAAGGAGGAGAAAGGGAAAAAATTTCACGGGGGGAAAACGTCGGTTCCAGCTTTGCCTTACTGTCACCACTTGGCTTTCGCTACAAATGGAGCTGGGGGTCTTTCTTTCCTGGAAGGCCAAGCCGGACACTGAGCTGGGTTGTTTTCTTTCACACGTTTCATTATCCCAACTGGGTAACATCATCACTGCTAGAAGGAAACCCCTCTCCCTTCTAGCCCTGATGATGTTACCCAGTTGGGTAATGAAATATCTGCAAGAAAACCACTCAGCTCAGAGCGCACCAAGGATCCCACAGTCCTCCTCCGCCCCCCCTCCCTCTCTCTCTGTGCAAACCCTCCTCCCTTCTAGCACGGATGACGTTACCTAGGTGGGCCATGAAACGTCTGCCAGAAAACAAGCAACTCAGAGGGCACTGAGGACCCCTCATGTCAACCCTGCGTAACCAATGTTCTCCTCCACTGATCCCTCTTGACGTCCTCAAGGTTACTGTGTTGCCCAGCTGGATGGGTCTGGGATCAAGAGAAGGGCGCAGCAAGAGATTCCCTTTCTCTGCAGAGGGTTAAACTTCTGAACGTGGATTTTGCCTCCAGGGCAGCGGTTCTCAACCTGTGGGTCAGGACCCCATTTGGGGTCGAACGACCATTTCACGGGGGTCGCCAAACAACGCAGTCCGCCATTTTTCCCCCCTTTTCCTTAGTTGTGCTACTCCCTTTTATTCTATTGGCTTTTGAAAGCCAATAGAATCGACTCTCTTGAATAGAGTCTAATTCTATTGGCTTTCCAAAGCCAATAGGAATTGTCCAGGCTGTCTCTGCCCTGCTGAGCCTGCCAAAAGTCCCAGTCTGCAAACGATGCTGCAAGTTGTCTGCAGTGAAGGTGAGCTTTCTGGAAGTTTCCACCCCTCCCTGCTGAGCAACTACTAAAAATGGAAGTAAAAGAGGGCCAGGGGTGGGAGGTGGGAGGCCGGCGGACGCAGGGAGGGTTGCTGGCGCGCGTGGGGCCCGGCAGGTGCCTTACCTGCCTTGGGCTGGGCCAACTAGTGGCCCAGCCGGTGGTCGGCCTGCTCCGTCTCTGCCGCTTGCCAGCTACGCTTTGGCCGGCGCAGGGGGCGGTACCACGCATGGGCGGCGCTCCCGGGCAGGGAAAGTCCTCAACTTATGACCAGTTGGGTAGTCCTCGACTTACGACCGGTTGGGGGTCGCGGCATTAAAAAGGTTGAGAACCACTGCTCCAGGGGGAGAGAGCTGCAGCGGGGCACACCGGACCCCCAGTGCCTCCCAGGGAATAAGCCAGCCTGCAGGAAGGGGCTTACGTTCTTATACACCTTCAGGACCACCGGGGAAGGGTGGAAATCCAGCTGAAACTCGTCCACCAGCACCGAGAGCTTCCTGATCTCTTCGCCCATGGCGTTGGAAACCTGGAGGGAAAGCGGCACGCTGAGTGGGCGGGAACCGTGCTGCGTTTAATTTACTTTCCAAGAAAGCCAGCCCCACCCCTGGGCAATGCAAACACCCCGATAAAATGGAGGAAACCAAGCCTGCAGAGGTTTGTCTTGCGAATCCCCAATCGGGGTGCTGAGCAGGGCAGAGACGAGCGACGATAAAGATACTCTTGAATCCCAGCTCAGCTTCTAATTTCCTTTGCGGTAAAAAAAGGCCCGCTGGGCGTTTCCTGCTGGGGTCGTCTTTGCTCCCAGGAACCCAGCAGCGTAAAGCCGGCTCTGGATGCAGGGAAAGGGCCTCACCTGGCGCTCAACCTCTTCCGTGAGTTCCTTGATTTTCAGTTTGTAGCTCTGAGAGAGCAAGTCCAGCTGTTTCTCTATGAATCCCAGGCGCTCCTGGCGGTCGTCCCACTTCTCCAGGCAATAAACTCTGCAGGACACGAAGGAAGGGAGGAATTGAAGGAAGGAAGGAATCGAAAGGAAGGAAGGAAGGGAGGGAGGGAAGAAAGAAAGGAAGGGAGGGAGGGAGGAAGGAATCGAAAGGAAGGAAGGAAGGAAGGAAAGGAGGGAGGATGGAAAGGAAGGAAGGGAGGAAGGGAGGAAAGGAAGGAATCGAAAGGAAGGAAGGAAAGGAAGGAAGAAACGGAGGGAGGGAAAGAGGAAGGGTTCAAAGGAAGGAATCAAACAAAGGAATTGAAGGAATCGGAAAAATTGAAGGGAGGGAAAAGGGAGGGGAAGGGATCAAAGGAAAGAATCAAAGGAAGAAAGGGAGGGAGGGAAAGGGAAGGAGGGAGGGAGGAATCAAAAGAAGGAAGGGAGGAATCGAAAGGGAGGAATCGAAGGAAGGGAGGGAGCGAGAAAAAAAAGGAAAGAAGGAACAAAGTTTCTAAACCAGCTGAAATCCGGCCCAGGCCTCCTTGCTGGGCTCTTTGATTTCAACTTGCCCAAATGCTCCAGGGAGTCCCAAAGGAGGCACCTCTGTTCCTGCGCGGCCACGTGGACGGAGTCCATGATGTGCCGGACCTCCTCGGCAATCTGCTTCGCTCTGACCGTGTGCTGCTCAAACTTGGTCTTGACCGCAGACTGCGAGATGCACTCCTGCAGGGAAGACACACCTCAGCTCTCCCGACAAAAGCCAGCACCCTTTGCCCTGAGCAGCCAGGCTGGGGAACCCCCCCCCCCGCCCCTTGGGCTAATTTTATCAGCTCAGACACCCCCCCCCCCGTTAATAGTGTCCTTGGGGACTAGCGGCTTCATCACAGTAAAAATAGGCAAACCGGCATCTTTAGCTTGCTGCCTTAGGAATCTACTTCAAAGTGTCGAACAATGCAGGATTCTCTGCTTAATAATATCATTTGCTTCCGTCTCTGGGACCAGATCAAATATTCTCGTAGTTCAAAATAAGAGTTTATAGAAAGGATAGAGGTGAAAGAACCACTGTCAAGCGCTCTGGATAATATTGTTCATGCGGCCGGCTATTTGATTCTTCAGGATAGGGTCAGGATTTTTGTTTGTTATTAATTACAAAAAAAAAATCCTTTGCTTGCTAAAATATATATTAAAAATATATATTTAAAAAATTAAACTGTAGAGTCTAACTATATATATATAAGCAAAACAAAACACACATACACACATACACACTCCTTTTTTTTACAGCAATTGCGTAATGGTAATCTACTCTTTACATTTCCTCCCTTATTCTTCTTTAGAATATTTGGCCTTATTGCTCCGTTATTTCTTACGGTCTAACTATATTATAGACCTAGTCATATCATATAAATTTAACAGCATCACAGTTGTTAAATTTAATGGGTAAATTAAGAAAATGTGTTAGAATTTACCACCCAAACGTCTTAAGCTGCTCTCTCTGAACACTGTGCTCTGAAGAGCAGTGAAACTCACACACAAATGGATGGAGTGGATGGAAACTAATCCAGGAGAGAAGCAACCTGGAACTAAGGAGAAACTTCCTGATAGTCAGAACAATTAACCAGTGGAACAACCTGCCTCCAGAAGCTGTGGATGCTCCAACACTGGAAGTTTTTAAGAAGAGACTGGACAGCCATTTGTCCAAAATGGTATAGTGTTTCCTGCCTGAGCAGGGGGTTGGACTAGATGACCTCCAAGGTCCCTTTCAACATCATCATCATTATAAATATCAACGTCTAACAATGCACTTGCCTCAAATCTTCGCTCAAAATTCTGGAATTCAAACATCCTCACTTGGAAACCCTCCGCCAGGGCCCCACCTAGAAAAAAAAAAAAAAAAAAAAAAACAAGAACATCAGATTTGAACAGCAAAACAGGCCCATGTTTTGTTTTGTTTTTAAAAAGTTCCTAGTCCTCATGGGGACCAAGGCAACCTTGAATAGCCAGGAGCAACGTCAAACGTAATTTTTAAGGGGGAAGGGGTTTGCAGATTTAGAAACGGGGAGAGGCTTAGAGCAGTGTTTTTCAATCTCAGCAACTGTTAAGACTTGTGGACTTCAACTGCCAGAATTCCCCAGCCAGCTGTGCTGGCTGGGGAATTCTGGGAGTTGAAGTCCCACCCATCTTACGAGTCGCCCAGGTTGAGGAACACTGGTTTAGAGGGTCTCTCACCTCCTTCGGGCATACCCTGCGCCTTCTGGATGCGGGCGTTCAGGACCTCTTTCGCAGAGACAAAAAAGATGCGGTCGCCAGCCTGGGCACGATCCACCACGCCCAGCTCGTCCACCAGGAAGCTGGTGCAGCGTTCCATGTGTTGCCGGCGAACCTGCAGGAGAGGATAGCAGTCAGGGGCAGATAAGACAGGCCAATCTTTCCTATTCGGGCTGCTCTCCTTCAGCCACCCCCGAGGAAGCCTCACCTCCTCCATGTATTCCGGTTCGGATGCCGAAGCGTCCCAGCGGTTATTCAAGATGAAAATGTTTGGCCGAGAGAGGCGAGCGTTGACTTTGTGGAAGAACTGTTTCTCCTGGATTGGCAGAAAAGAAACAACAACAAATTTCTAGAAACACGAGGATTATAAAATTATCTTTGGGATAAAATTTGGGTTAAAATTAGCTTTGGGATAGAAAGCACCGTTGGGATAAAATGAGCTTGAAAAATCAGAATCAGAACAGAGCGGGAAGGAGCCTTGGAGATCTTCTAGTCCAGCCCCCTGCTTAAGCAGGAATCCCTATACAATTTTAGACAGTCTTTTCTTAAAAGCCTTCAGGGATGAACCGTTCACAACTTCTGGTGGCAAGGTGTTCCACTGGTTAATTGTCCTCACTGTTAGAAAGTTTCTCCTTAATTCCAGGTTGCTTCTCTCCTTGATTAGTTTCCAATCTTTGTTTCTTGTCATGCCTTCTGGTGCTTTGGAAAATCAGCTGAGCCCCCTCCTCTTTGTGGCAGCCCCTCCAAATACTGGAATACTGCTATCATGTCACCCCTAGTCCTTGTTTTCTCCAGACTGGCCATGCCCAAATCCTGCAACCGTTCTTCATATGTTTTAGTCTCCAGGCTTTTAATCACCTCGGTTGCTCTTCTCTGCACCTTTCCCCAAAGTCTCAACATCTTTTTTAATAACGTGGTGACCAAAACTGGATGCAGAATTCCAGATGTGGCCTCACTAAGGCTCTATAAAGCGGTACTAGCACTTCGCAGGATCTCCATTCTTTCCCTCTGTTTATACAACCAAGGATTGCGTTAGCTTTTGGGGGCTGCTGCCGCACACGGCTGGCTAAACAAAAGGAGTCATCTATTCAAAAACTCAACCTTTCTGCCCCTTCTGCCCCCCCCCCCTCAGGTTTCTCGAGCAGAGGGAGTCAGTGGAGACCCAACTGTGTCTTCAATGAATTTTTTAAAAAACGGAAGTTGCCAGCTCAGCTTTGCCACCGGACGTGACGAGTGATGTGAAAGAACAGAAAAACAGTAAATCCAGCGGGTGTCCTCTAATTCGGCAATACGCAATGCCCAACTTTTTGTGCGTTCAGCAGCCTTGGTACTAGACCCGGCAGCATCCTGGAACTTGTGCGATTCTTGCAAAGGTTTAGCTAAAAACAAAGTCAGGGAGGGCGGGAAGGAAGGGGAGCCACCTTCTTACCGTCTGCATCAGGGTCGACTCAGAGTTGGCCACCAACACAAACACATCCGCATCCAAGCAGAATTTATCAATCCAGCTATCCAGCTCGGTGGTGACGTCAATTCCAGGGCTAATAAACAGATATTAAGAAACACAGAACTGAGATTGTTAATTTACACGCTGAAATGGCGTTCTCTTCCAACACACACACACACACACACACACACACGTCCTCTAGGACAGAGGTAGGCAACCTGGGCTCTTTTACGACTCGTGGACTTCAACTCCCAGAATTCCTGCGCCAGCCACGCTGAGGGGAAAGGGAGAGGTTTCCAAGCTGAGCCAGGCTGGCTGAGGAATTCTGGGAGTTGAAGTCCACAAGTCATAAAAGAGCCAAGGTTGCCTACCCCTGCTTTAGGAGTTTTAAATTTTGATTTTGGCTTTAAAATACAGGTTGCCCTCAACTTACAACAGTCCGTTTAGTTACAATGGCACTGAAAAAAGTGACTCCTGACCGTGGTTCACACAACCGTCACAGCATCCCTGCGGTTTATGTGATCAAAATTCGGACGTTTGGCAATTGATTTGTATTTGTGGTGGCTGAAGTGCACCTTTCTGACAAGCAAAGTCAACGGGGAAGCCAGGCCTGTTTAACAACCGTTGTTACTAACTTAACTGTAATGATTCACTTAACAACTGTAGTGAGGGAGGTTGTAAAGAGAGGCAAAATTCATTTCACGAATGTTTCACTTAGCAACAGAAATTTTGGGCTCAATTGTGGCCGTTAAGGCGAGGACTGCCTGCACAGAACTGGCATCACGATTGACAGACTGAAATGGTCTTCTCTCTTCCAACGTCTCCCCGACCCTGTATGAGTTTTAAACTTTGCTTTCCAGTTCTAAAAGGTAGGATCAGAAGAGCTACGTCGGATTAATTAAAATTATTTTAGTTATTTTTTTTATAGACCCTGACGAAAGTCCATCTCACATTTATTCAGACGATAAAGGCACAACAGCTACACTTTAAGAAAACCTATAAGAGAAATTGCCTTTTTCCTGGCTGGGGTGGGTGGGGGGGAAACAGCCACTCACCTGTCCATCAAAACGAGATCATCCTTGAGCAAAGGGCACTTGGAGTTCGGCCACATGACGCTGACCAGACCCCCGGCAGTAAGCAATTCGTCCTGGTGGAGGGCGTGAGCCAGCTGGTTGACCGTCTGGGGCAGGAGAAGAAAGGAAGACGGATTGAGGAAATAATTACGAAGATGTTTCAAAAAAAAATGCAAGAGTTTAATAATAACCTGCTGGACAATGTAGGTCAGGGGTAGGGCACCTTGGCTCTTTTACAACTCATGGACTTCAACTCCCAGAATTCCTGAGCCAGCATGGGGAAACTATGGCCCCTTTATGACTCATGGACTTCAACTCCCAGAATTCCTGAGCCAGCCTGGCTCAGCTTGGAAACCTCTCCCTTTCCCCTCAGCGTGGCTGGCTCAGGAATTCTGGGAGTTGAAGTCCACGAGTCATGAAGGGGCCATAGTTCCCCCATGCTGGCTCAGGAATTCTGGGAGTTGAAGTCCACCAGTCATGAAGGGGGCCATAGTTCCCCCATGCTGGCTCAGGAATTCTGGGAGTTGAAGTCCACCAGTCATAAAAGAGCCGGGAGGTAGGCAACCTCAGCTCATAAAAGACTTGTGGACTTCAACTCCCAGAATTCCTGAGCCGGCATGGCTCAGCTTGGAAACCTCTCCCTTTCCCCTCAGTGTGGCTGGCTCAGGAATTCTGGGAGTTGAAGTCCAGGAGTTGTAAAAGAGCCAAGGTTGCTTACCCCTGATGTAAATGATGGCTGGAGAAAAAAAAAAAAAACGGTTTTGAAGTAATGAGTCACTCACATCACCATCTAGGTGAGGGCTCTCCAACCTTGGCAACTTTAAGACTTGTGAACGTCAACTCCCAGAATTCCCCAACAAGTCTTAAAGTTGCCAAGGTTGGAGAGACCCGATTATGTCAACCAACACCTTCCAGCAGCTTTAGAGGTTCAGAGAATATAATTCCTCCCCGAGTTTCTCTGACCCTCAATTTTGGGCCCGTTCCCACATTATACCTTGACACTCTTCTTCTCCTCGGAGCCTTCGGTGAGGAGGAAGGCCTCCTGCCCGTCCGTCCCCTCCACTCTCAGGAAGCAATTTGTGGTGTGGCCGATCCCAGAGGGAAGGACCTTATCCCACAGCATGGCGTTAATCACCGTACTTTTCCCATTGCTCGTCCTAAAAATGGCAAAACACAGACGGCCACATCCTCCCATGTTATCCTCACAACAACCCTGCAAGGGGGTTGATTATCTAGATCAGCGGTTCTCCACCTGTGGGTGGGGAGCCCATTTGGGGTCGAAGGACCATTTCACGAGGGTCGCCAAACAACGCAGTCCGCCATTTTTTCCCCCTTTTCCTTAGCTGTGCTACTCCCTTTTATTCTATTGGCTTTTGAAAGCCAATAGAAGAGACTCTCTTGAATAGAGTCTAATTCTATTGGCTTTCCAAAGCCAATAGGAATTGTCCAGGCTGTCTCTGCCCTGCTGAGCCCGCCCAAAGTCCCCTTCTGCAAACGGTGCTGCACCAGTTGAGTAGTCCTCGACTTACGACCGGTTGGGGGGGGGGTCGCGGCATTAAAAACGTTGAGAACCACTGATCTAGATGCAGGGACTTCCCAGGAGCCTCGCAGCGTCGCTTCAGGGTTGTGTTGAGTTCTGAACTCCGGGAACCAAACAGGTCCATTGTTGCAGTTGAAACAATCCGTGGACAATGTAAGCTGGACTCCTTCCAGCGAGTTTTGCAGGCTGGACTCAGAATCATGGGGGATGTAGTCCAGCCCACTTGGAGAGCCCCAAACTTCCCAATTAGCAGCAACTGACTCACCGCCCAAAGAAAGCCACCTTCATATGCCGCCTGGCCAGCACCTCGCTGATCCCGCTGACCTTGGACAGGTAGCCCTTGACCTCGGACACCTGCTCTTCTGTGGTGACCGGGTCAAGCTCACCGTTCTTGTGCGTTTCTGGAAAATAGCAATATATCGTCTGGGAGGTGAGTGGTTTGAAGGCTGCTGCAAACTCCACTTCCAGACGGTTCTTAAACAGCAGTACAGAAAAAGGACATTTTCCCAGCAAAAAAAAAAAGGACGCCAAGCTAAAATAAGAATGGGAGAACTCTCTGCCTGCTTCAGAACTACGACTCCCAGCGTCCCTCTGCATGGCCTTGGTTAGTTAAAGTTGTCACATTCACACCCTGCAGAAAACCTTGACCGAAATCTAGCTGGCTCAGCACACCAGTATGGAGGACGGCCAGACTGGAGGCAGGAGACCGAGACTAAATTTAGGAAAGAAAGGATAGAACTTGAGAAATAACAGATTCAGCTCTTTCCTTCCTTCTGTTGTTTGTTCCCTCGCGGCCCAATTTAAGATTGTAAACCCCTTGAGGTAGGGACTTGTGTTTAAATCCTTAGAGCAGACGGTATTATAAATAAGAAAATAAACTCTAGAAATGGCACCCAGTTTAAAAACAGCAGAATACAAGCTAACCAACAAGCGCTGTGAAGACAACAAGGATAGTTGAAGAAAAACCCAATGCAAAAGAAGTGAACAAAAAGTCAGAAACAAAGAAATTGGAAGTGCAGAAGGCCCCGGATTCAAATCCTAACCTCAGCTAGCAAAATGTTTCTTTTCAAGAGACCCTCGTGCTTCTGGTCTTCTTGACCTGCGGGCATTCACTCACGCGTGTGCACAAGTCAGCAAGCTCTGTGGATCATTAGGCCAACTCACCTTCCAGAAACACGGAGCTCTCCTGGATGTAAGCTGCCAACTGTTCAAAGATGCCATTTATTTTTTTCTTGGCAGTGACAAAATGCTTCAGGGGGGAGGCACTGACTTCCGCCATGTGTCTCTTGTCCTTTTTGCTCGCGATGATGGACTTAGAGCGAATGAAGAGCAGGGACATTGTGCTAGGAGGGGAACGTATATGGATCAGGCACAGGAAATAAGAAAAGGGGTTAACAGAATAACAGAGTTGAAAGGGACCTTGGAGGTCATCTAGTCCAACCCCTGCTCAGGCAGGAGATCCTATACAATTTCAGACAAAGGCTTGTCCAGTCTCTTCTTACAAACTTCCAGTGTTGGAGCATTCACTGCTTCTGGAGGCAGGTTGTTCCACTGGTTAATTGTCCTCAGTGTCAAGAAGTTTCTCCTTAGTTCCAGGTTGCTTCTCTCCTTGATGAGTTTCCATCCGTTGCTTCTTGTCCTGCCTTCAGGGGCTTTGGAGAGCAGCTTGACTCCCTCTTAGTTTAGCTTAGTTTATAATTCACCACTGGCCTAGTCAATGCTCCAGGTAAACAAGCAACGATATTACCCCTTATTGTGAAAGTCTAGTTCCCGCAGCATGCTAAAGAAAGCACTGTATTTTCCACAACACGCTTGAACTCCAGGCAAATGCCAAATTTCCTAAATCTATTAAAGGGGTCGTGGGAAAGTTCTATGTTATGAACTCCAAGATTTCCCAAATTGAAGGAGCAAAAAGGCCGGATTTCTGGGAGAATGCTAGAAGGAAGCTCACATTTATTTTTAATTGCTCTGAAACCTCTAGGCCAGGGGTCTTCAAACTTGGCCCTTTTATGACTTGTGGACTTCAGCTCCCAGAATTCCTCAGCCAGCAATGCTGGCTGAGGAATTCTGGGAGTTGAAGTCCACAAGTCATAAAAGGGCCAAGTTTGAAGACCCTTGCTCTAGGCCTTTCTTTCCAAAATTACCCAGTTGAGGATCGGAGTCAGAGTTAGCAGCACCCGAAGCAGAGTCAAATCAGTCCCAACTCTGAAATGCCCCCAAGTACACTTACTATTAAGATGCAAGCAGGCGTTTTCATAAGCTAAGCATGGTTACCATCTTCTTTCCTGAGCCGGACAGGGCAAGTGCTGGTCTAAGAGAAAGGGAAATAGACAAAATTGGAAAATGGAGGAGGTGAAGTCTGAAGTGGCTTGAAATTGACCATGAGCAAGCAAATGGCCATAAATCACCATAATATAAAATACATTTAGGTTTCTTCCTTACAGAATGCATATTTTATAACTATAATTCACCTATAAACAGAGACATTTTCACCTCTGACAAGATTTTCCACCACTGAATCAACCTGAATGGCTCAGTTTTGGAGACGCTTTCCTGCCAATCCTGAAATACCCCATCATGCACTGCCTGGGGGTGAGGGTCCATCAAGCACTGCCAGGGGATGCGTGGAAGTTCATCATATGCTGCTGGGGAGTGTGTGGAGGTCTATCATGCACTGCCCGGGGGAGTGTGTGGAGGTCCATCATGCACTGCCCAGGAGAGTGCTAGAGCTCCATCATGCACTGCCCAGGGGAACATGTGGAGGTCCATCATGCACTGCCCAGGAGAGTACTAGAGCACCATCATGCACTTCCCAGGGGAACATGTGGAGGTCCATCATGCACTGCCCAGGAGAGTACTAGAGCTCCATCATGCACTGCCCAGGAGAGTACTAGAGCTCCATCATGCACTGCCCAGGGAAGTGTGTGCAGGTCCATCATGCACTACCCAGGAGAGTGCTAGAGCTCCATCATGCGCTGGCCGAGGGAGCATGTGGAGGTCCATCATGCACAGCCCCCTCCGTGCCCCCCACCAACCCACCCCCCTTCCTGTCACGCAGGACCCCCAAAAAACAGCCCCCCACAGCAAAACCCCACTTGGGGCCGGGGTGTCGGCCTGCAACTTGCCTCCGAGCTGTCACCTGCGTTCACACGTGCACCGCCTCAGACACTCGTTCTCCTTCTTGTACGCGGGGGGGGCCCCGCTCGGCTCCCTCGGGCCGGGAAGAGGCAAAAGGGGGCCAGCAGTTAAACGAGGCCCACCTTCTCCGCGACCACCTCTCTATTCCCGGCGGAGGGCTGAATTAACCCCCCCGAGAACCCGCGCGTAACGTCTATACCCGCCAACACCCGTCGCAGCCCCCCGCGCTTCACCTTCACCTGCCTTCTGCCTCAGCCGCTCGCCTGAAGCGCTCCGGGAAACGTCAGAGGGCGCGACGGGAGGTGACGTCACGCCAGGCTCGACGGCCACGCCCCGCTGCCTCCTGGGAATTGAAGTCTGGCAGCTGTTTATAGTCCCTCCCCTTTTTTTTTAATTTGGGGATGAAGGAAAAGAACAGGGAACCGGGCCAGAGGTTGTTTGAAAGGCCGTGCCGTTCCCTCTCCTTGGTTGGTTTTTTGCAGGGGATGGAAATCCACTCTGCACATGCTCTGGAGTACTGAGTTCAACTTTTAATAACTCAAACATCCCCCCTCCATTTAGGGCTCCAGTGCCTTCCCTTCAGTTCACTGGGGATAATGGGGAGAGGAGTCCGACTGTTGTGGAAGGAAGGTGTCTTCCTCTTAATTTTGACTAAAATGAACATTTTAAAGACAGCTACTGCATTTCAAAACAAAACAAAACCCTAAGTATTTGCTTTTCCTCTGCACTGACTATTTCATGGTATCTCCAAGCTGATACAGTCCTACGTAAGTCTACTCAGAAGGAAATGCTATTGAGCTCAGCAAGGCTTACACCTGAGTAAAGCTGCAGCTTTAATGGGGCTGGTTGAAGCAGGACATAGCGGCCCCCTCCCCTTATGCCTCTGCCAATTCCCAAATCCTCCAAACCAGTGTTTCTCAACCTTGACAACTTTAGGGCATGTGGACTTCAACTCCCAGAATTCCACAGCCAGCAATGGTTTCTGTGGAATTCTGGGAGTTGAAGTTCACATGCCCTAAAGTTGTCAAGGTTGAGAAACACTGCGAGTCCAAACTCAGAACAGTAAACATCATTTCTCTCCCTGTTGTAGTTTTAAAAATTATTTCCCTATTGCAATTTCACAAAACATCACAGAGACACACAAATGACAGCATCTGTAGTCCAGCTTTTGCTTCTCAGCTCAAGAGCCCATTTTATCGCGGGGAGGACAGGATGACCTTTGAAGGGACAATTTCAGAAATACTTGTTAACTGTCATCGCTTAATGGCCTTCTACCACAACAGGCTGAGAAAAAGGCAGGCAGGCAGGCAGGCATTTGGCTCTTTAAAATAAAACTCTTTTTAATGTCAGACGTTTAACGTAAAAAAAAAATTTATCTCCTAGCGAAATCTGTACAACTTGTGCAGAAGAAGTGGCCGACTGAACAAAGGGGGCGACTTTTAAATAAATACATGGGTAGAAAAACTCTCTGCTCCGACATCGGGATCCGAGGTGCCTGAAAAATTTCCAAGCTTTTCTCCTCTTCCCGGCTTCCCGAGAGAGAGAGAGAAATATAAAGCTAAGGTGAACAAGGGATGCCACGAATGTTCTGCGTTGTCCTCTCGAGCGATCCCATTTCCAAACTTTTTGTGGCCATCCTGGGTGCCATGCAAAAAAATGCCAGCAATAGTTTTAAGGGGCTCCCTTCTGTCGGTGTGAAGGGACCCCCCTTTGGACTCTGACACGCCTTGGGCCACTGCTGCTGGAAGGAAAAATGTGGAAACTGAGGCAGGGAGGAAGGAGGGGGGCGCTCTCCCCTGGTGGGAAGCAGGGCGGTCAAACGGCTCTGGCAGGCTGGGGTTGAGCGTGGGCAGAGTCCCCTGAGGGATCCTACTGAATCTAGGCAATCCCCCTGGCGATCAAGTAGAGTCCAATCAAAAGGATCTGTTCCGGAAGAAGTCCAGCACTCTTTCCTGCAGCCAAGGGGGTCACATGGGTTGGCCCAAAACAACATCCCCCCTCCCCCAGTTTTTCTCCCCCCCCGTGGCGGCTCTAAGGGTCGAGGAAGGAGACGGCGATGTAGCGAGTCCCTTTGGTGGTGGGCAGGCCCTCGTGGTAATGCGTCAGGCGGCCCGGGTGCAGGAGGGTCCAGCCCTTCCGGGGGGCTTGGATGGAGCAGTTGTAGCGGATGAAGCGGCAGCCCCCGCCCTGCAAGGGAGGAAGAGAAGCAGAGCGGGGCTATTTGGAGCCTCCCGGTCAAGGGGGCCGGGACCTCGAGGGCTGTTCGAAGGGCGCTGCCTGCCAGGGGATCCAGTTGCCACATTGCAAAAGGCACTCGGCAGAGGTCTCAACCAAGCCTCGGTGCTGGAATTCTGCAGTGGCACCCTTTCTTTCTTTCTTTCTTTCTTTCTTTCTTTCTTTCTTTCTTTCTTTCTTTCTTTCCCTTTCTTTCTTTCTTTCTTTCTTTCTTTCTTTCTTTCTCTTTCTTTCTTTCTTTCTTTCTCTTTCTTTCTTTTTCTTTCTCTCTCTCTCTCTCTCTCTCACATTCCTTTCCTTCCTTTCTCTCTCTCTCTCCCTCCCTCTTTCCTTCTTGGCACCTCTGTAATAAACTTATTCCTTTCTTTCTTTCTTTTTCTTTCTTTCTCTTTTTTCTTTCTTTCTTTTTCTTTCTCTCTCTCTCTCACATTCCCTTCCTTCCTCTCTCTCTCTCTCTCTCCCTCCCTCTTTCCTTCTTGGCACCTCTGTGATAAACTTCTTTCTTTCTCTTTCTTTCTTTCTTTCTTTCTCTTTCTTTCTTTCTTTCTTTCTTTCTTTCTTTCTTTCTTTCTTTCTTTCTTTCTTTCTTTCTCTTTCTCTCTCTCTCACACACATTCCCTTCCTTCCTTTCTCTCTCTCTCCCTCCCTCTTTCCTTCTTGGCACCTCTGTGATAAACTTCTATTTCCTTCCTTCCATCCTTCTCCCTTTCTCATCTCCTCCCTCCCTCCCTCCCCCCCGTCCAGCTTCAGCTTACGTTCTGGCTTCATATTCCCCACTGCCTTCTAACCCTTAGCCCAAATCAAATATTCCTTGCAGGTATTTCCCCCTTCCTCTCCCCGGTTCTGGCCTTGCCCCTCTGAGCACAGCGATAACCCCCCCCCCCGATTATTTCACCCTCTTTCCTCTCCCCATCTCCTGGCTGCACAGACTCAGCCGTTTGGCTCTCCCTTTAAGCCGGCCCAAAGGTCTCACGCTCACTTCGTAATCGATCCCAACGCGGTTCAGGGCAATGTTGATGGTGAACGTGGAAGCGTCGTGATGCGGCATCAGGGAAGGCTGCTCGTCCGGCTTGTAGCGGACGACAAAGGCCAGCTCAAACTGGGTCTGCAGAAAAGGAAAGAAACGGGCTGGGCCAAACCATGGCTTGTGAAATCTTTAGCAAGCCGTCCTCAGTTGCAAGCGAGCTGGAAAAAGAGAAAGGCTTAGCGACGGCTGCTTTTGGGGTGCGCGTTGGCCTCGTATTTTCTTCTTTCTCTCGGCCTGCCCAAAAGGCCCCTCAAAGTCCTTCATTTCGGGGGGGGGGCAGGGCTACCAGTTCAAATTCTCCCACGAGTGAGGACAATTAACCAGTGGAACAGCTGGCCACTAGAAGTTGTGGGTGCTCCATCACTGGAGGTTTTTAAGAAGAGACTGGTCTGAAATGTAGAAGGTCTTCTGTTTGAATAGGGGGTTGGACTAGAAGGCCTTCAAGGTCCCTTCCCACTCTATTCTGATTGGTTAATCAAGGAGAGAAGAAGCCTGGAATTAAGGAGAAACTTCCTAACAGTTAGAACAATTAACCAGTGGAACAGCTTGCCACCAGAAGTTATGGATGCCTCATCACTGGAGGTTTTAAAGAAGAGAGTGGACAGCTACCTGTCTGAAATAGCACAGGGTCTCCTGCTTGAGCAGGGGGGTGGACTAGATGGCCTACAAGGTCCCTTCCAGCTCTATTCTGATGGATGGATTGACTGAGTTTCCAATCCCAGCACCTATAAAGTGAACTCACTTGGGTATGGTAGCCGGGGTAGAGCTTCTCCGTGATGGGCGCTATGTAATCCAGGAGAAATCTGTACCACTCGCGCTCAAAGTGGACCTGGTTCATGTGGATGTCAATGGTCGGGACGTTCTCGTAGCCCCCTAGAATCCTCTGGTCCTTTAAAAACAGCGGGTAACGTTAGCCGGAAAAAATGTCAGAACCGGTCGCTTGCCTGGCAAACTTCTTCCCAGCCAGCAATGTGGCCAAGGAAGAGACCCCAGTGGGAAGGAAGGAAGGAAGGAAGGGAGGGAGGGAGGGAGGGAGGGAGGGAGGGAGGAAGGAAGGAAGGAAGGAAGGAAGGAAGGAAGGAAGGAAGGAAGGAAGGAAGGATCCGGCCCCTCCTTGGAGAAGCCGCTTCTTACCGTGTTGTCTCCCTTGGACCACTGCCCAAAGTGCTCCATCTCCTCCACCAGCTCGTCGCAAGCCGCGTCGGTGAACAGGGGGAACCAGTAGACATCCGGGCAGGGCTGGCCAAGGGGAGGACAAGGGGTGAAGTCCGGGGCTGCCTGGGGGTCTGTGGCCCCCGCCCTGGGGCAGTCTGTAGCTTTCGTTCTATTGCATTTCATTATTTTATTTCGCTTCCCTTTTCATTTTATTTTTATTTTACTTCGCTTTTCATTTCCTTTTATTTATTTTATTTTATTTCACTTCACTTTTCATTTTATTTCCTTTTTATTTCATTTTATTTCACTTCACTTTTCTTTTTATTTTATTTTTCTTTTACTTTGCTTTTCATTTTATTTATTTTGTTTTTATTTTATTTCATTTCACTTTTCATTTCATTTTTTCACATTTTATGTTTTTAATTTAAATTTTACTTCACTTCTATTTTGTTTTACTTATTTTATTTTACTTCACTTTTCATTTCATATTATTTATTTTATTTCACTTCACTACTTTTTATTTTATTTTATTCACTTCACATTTTATTTTATATTTTATTTTATATGTTGTATATTTTATTTTATATTTTATTTTGTTTCATATTTTATTTTATTTTATAATTTTATTTTATTTTATTTTATTCTATTCTTATTTATTTATCTTATTTACCTCTCCTGGAAACTCATCAAGGAGAGAAGCAACCTAGAACTAAGGAGAAACTTCCTGACAGTGAGAAAAATTAACCAGTGGAACAACCTGCCTCCAGAAGCTGTGAATGCTCCAACACTGGAAGTTTTTAAGAAGAGACTGGACAGCCATTTGTCCGAAATGGGTATAGGGTTTCCTGCCTGAGCAGGGGGTTGGACTAGATGACCTCCAAGGTCCCTTCCAGCACCACCATGATCATCATTATTATTAAATTAAATTAAATTTTTATTTATATAGCCTCCATCACAGTAAACAATTATGGGCAACTCAGAATCTAAAACATAACATTACAATTAAAATTCTAAAAATATTTTAAAACAATAAAGAAAAAAATTAAACATCCAATTCCAGTACAGGCAGTCCTCCACTTACGACCACAAGGGAGCCCAAAATTTCTGTTGCTAAGCGAGATAGTTAAGTGGGTTTTGCCCCATTTTAGGGCCTTTCCTGCCACCGTTGTTAAGTGAATCACTGCAGTTGTTAAGTTAGCTACACGGTTGTTAAATGAGTCTAGGCCTCCCCATTGACTTTGCTCATCAGAGGGTTGAAAAAAGGGGATCCCGTCCTAAATATGAATCGGCTGCCGAGCATCCGACTTTTGATCACGTGACCGTGGGGATGCTGCAACGGTCGTAAGTATGAAAAACAGTGGTCAGTCACTTGTGTAACTTTGAACGGCCACTGAGGGAACTGTTGCAACTGCTGGACTCTTCTCCTTTCTGCCGGCCTCCCCCACCCCAATTCTACTTGGCAATAAAGACGGATTATTTACCGTTTCCACCAATTTGCCCTTTAAGGCGTCCGTGTAGTTGGGGTGGATGTATTTCAACTTCCAGTCCTGTTTTGTGAGAGAGGGAAAATAAGTGAAAAGGGGTCGGTTTGCCCTTCTTTCTCCTTAAAGGTCTCTTAGCGAGGAGGATCGCCTCTCTGGAAAAGCCCCCTCCCCCTTTTGAAACTTTCCTGGCTGGGTTCAAACGAGGAAGTCACAAAGGCTCAATTTGCGCCTTCGGAAAGCCCGCCCAGTTCTCACATTTCCCAGCTGTTGTTTGCTCCAATTCACCCTGGCTCCTCCCTATCGAAAACCTGCTTTTGGAGATTGCAGGCCCCAACCTCAGTCATTCCTGGTTCTTCAGCCTCTGCCCCCTCCTCTTTCTGCGTGAGCCCTTGTTCTCAAATTCTCTTTTACAATCCTTTCCAACTGGCCCCTACTTCACCCCACACCTGCCTCCCTCTCAGGTCGCAGAGAAAGAGGCCATTGGACAACCACCTGTCTGAAATGCTATAGGGTTTCCTGCCTGAGCGGGGGGGGGGGGGGTTGGATGAGAAGACCTCCAAGATCCCTTCCACCTCTTCTCTTTTCCATTCCGTTCCATTCCAATCTCTCTTTATTCTATTCCAGTGATGGCGAACCTATGGCACGGGTGCCAGAGGCGGCACTCGGAGCCCCCTCTGTGGGCACACGTGCCGTTGCCCCAGCCTCGCCTCCCCCCACAACCCCCTCACCAGCAGCCCCCCTGGAGGAGAGCCACTCCTGAGTATGGCCCACGCGGAGAAGCGCAGCCAAGGACAGGGCAGCCAGGCAGTGTAGACAAGACTCTGCCCTCATGCCCCATCATGCACAGTTGATGCTGCAGGGCGCGGAGAGAGGGCGTGGCCGCCATGGCACTGCTGGGCTGCCTGGGCGATCTGCGGCGGGCCCTGGAGGCGGTGAGTGGCCTTGTGGGCAGGTGGGGTGGGGGCGGGGCAGGGGGTGGACAGGGGGTTGGAGTGAGGGCGGGGCCAGGTTTTGGGCACTCGGTCTCTAAAATGTTCGCCATCACTGTTCTATTCTATTCTATTCTATTCTATTCTATTCTATTCTATTCTCTTTATTCCATTCCATCTCTATTCTATTCCTTAATTCCATTCCATTCCATTCCATTTCTATTCTATTCTATTCCTATTCTATTCCTATTCTATTCTCTTTATTCCATTCCATCTCTATTCTATTCCTTAATTCTATTCCATTCCATTCCATTCCATTCCATTCCATTTCTATTCTATTCTATTCTATTCTATTCTATTCTATTCTATTCTATTCTATTCTATTCTATCCTATTCCTTAATTCTATTCCATTCCATTCCATTCCATTCCATTCCATTCCATTTCTATTCTATTCTATTCTATTCTATTCTATTCTATTCTATTCTATTCTATTCTATTCTATTCTATTCTATTCTATTCTATTCTATCCTATTCCTTAATTGTATTCCATTCCATTCCTATTCTGTTCTGTTCTATTCTATTCTATTCTTATTCCATTCCGTTCTGTTCCATTCCACTTCATTCTATTCTCTGAATAACTAAAAGTTATAGGTTATATAGAAAGCTTCTCACCTCCGGGTTGCTGAAGATTTGCCAGAGATCGTTGTGCAGGTGGCTTGTCTGATAATTCTCCAAGGACAGGATGTGCCCGAACGGCTGCTGGTTTGTCACAAACATGAACACCCCCTGCCGAAAAAAGCAAAACCCTTCTATTGCACGGATCTCCCCTACAACTAGCCTTACAACTGAAAGACTGGGAAATCTCTGCCCCCCCCAACCACTCTTACGAGACTATAACTCCCAATAACCCTGCTGCTTCCTTTTATTTACGGTCTTCTTCCACTTTCTTTGTCTTCTTCTGCACCTTGTATAATGTAACCCTAACGGTTAGTTAGGACTGCAGAAAAAAAACCATCGCAACCAGCCTGCCTTCCATTGAGGATCTGTACACCGCACGAGCCAGGGAGAAGGCCGAGAAAATAATTATGGACCGCTCACATCCTGGACGTAATCTGTTTCAACTTCTCCCCTCAGGACGCCGCTACAGGGCAATTGCATGCCACATCAGCCAGACATAAAGATGTCTGGATGATTCTCACTCATAGTTGTCCTAAAGATGCATTTACACTGGAGAATAAACCTGTCGGAACAATATTCAGCAGTCCATCTGCATTTAAAAGACCAAGGCCACCGTTTTGAAGATGGCAAGGTCCACATTTTGGACAGAGAGGAGCAAATGGTTTGAAAGAGGGGTCAAAGAGGCCATCTAGGTCAAAACTGAACAGCCCTCTCTCCTTGGAGAGGGATACGACATCATCTCTCTCCAGTCTACAACACAGTTCTGTCAACAATTCCAAGAAGGCACCACACACATTTGCACCACTCAGGTGACCCTGACAACACAGACAATCCTCCAAGTGGCCTCAAGCACTGTCTAAAAGAAGGCAAAGGACCAGCTCTCTGCAAGGAGTATCAATCCTTCCATTCCCCACCGTCCAGTCAGAGCTGAAGAAGCTTCTTGGATGAGAAGCGAAACGTCTTCAAAGGAAAACAAGAAAATCCAGTTGCCTCCTGAAAAAGTATCTTTGGGACAGATAGTTCCCCCCCCCCATGCCGTCCCTCTGCTGAACACTTAATTCCCACAGCATTGTCTCATTTCTCATCCTTTCTCATCTTTCCTACTAACTTCTTCTGTTGGTTTCTTATGATTCAATAATGGCTATTTGTAATTTAGGAGTAATGACTGTAGCTATGGTTATGACTTACGACCTGCTATTTACATGTACACTGTGAACTTATGCGCCGGAGACAAATTCCTCGTGTGTCCGATCACACTGGGCCAATAAAGAATTCAAGCCAATTCTGTCGAGGCAGAGCTTCCGGCTTCCCACACCAACCAACCTGCTCACGGATGTTATGGCACAGAGCCATATCGGCATCCAGTTGGCCACTGTGGAAAAGGTCCCGCTGGGCTAGTTGTGACCTTAGGACGCTGCCCTTGACCAGGTAGACGCTACAAATGTATGGGACGTTCCAGAGGCCACTGAGACAGACAGGCAGACAGGGGGGGAGGAAGAGAGGGAGTCAAATAGGCATAAAAAGAACTGGGCCAGATAATAAAGAATGAAGCAAACTGAAAAACAAATTATTTTTGATTTTTGTCACAGAGGCTTATTTTCAACAGGGAATCAGTAAAACCTGCACAAAATGCCTCTTGATGCACAAGGCTTAGCGTTGTATTAACGATGATGCGTCAGTGTCTGAATCAAAGAACGTTGGAATTGAACACAAAGAAAGCACCAACGATGTTGCCGGGCACCTTCTGAATCCTCTCGCTCTTTTCAGCCATGAGATTCACGGCCCTCCAGAGAAGAACAGTTTCAATTTTGGGAGCCTTTCTCCTGAGCCCGACACTCTACTCACATCCTCTGCCTCTGGACAATGTCCCTGTAATCCTCTGAGCGGGCGTAATAGCCGTCAGGACTCAAGGCCCCCCAGAAATTCGACCACAGCTTCCCAATGCGGCTCACGAGAGGAGCAATCACAAACCTGGCAGGGAGAGGGTGGGAGGGAGGGAGAGAGAGAGGGAGAGAGAGGGAGGGAGGGAGAGGGGGAGAGAGGGAGAGGAAGAAAGAAAGAGGGAGAGAGGGGAGAGGGAGAGAGAAAGGGAGAGAGGAGAGAGAGAAAGAGAGAGAGATGGAGAGAGAGGGAGGAAGAAAGAGGAAGAGAGAGGGAGAGGGAGAGAGAGAAAGAGAGAGAGGGAGAGAGGAAGAGAGAGAGAAAGAGAGAGAGGGAGACGGGGAGAGGGAGAGGAAGAGAGAGAGGGAGAGAGAAGAAGGGAGAGAGAGAGGGAGAGAAAGAGAGATATGGAGAGAGGGAGAGGGAGAGAGGAAAAGAGAGAGACAGAGGGAGAGAGATGGAGAGGAAGAAAGAGAGAGGGAGAGGGAGAGGGGAGAGAAGAAGGGAGAGAGAGAGGGAGAGAGGAAGAGGGAGAGGAGGGAGAGAGAGAGAAGAAGGGAGGGTGAGAGGAAGAGAAAGAGAGGGAGGAAGAGATAGAGGGAGAGAGAAGGGAGGGAGAGAGGAAGAGAGGAAGAGGGAAGGAGGGAGGGAGAGAGAAAGAGAAGAAGAGAGAGAGAACAGAAGGCATTAAAAACACTTTCAAGAAGGAGGAGGAGGCGTGTTCATTTTTGGATGATATAATTGTAGGAATGAGTGAGGCTTTTTGTCCATCCTTAAAAAGACTCCAGAGAGCCAAGGTAATTCATACTCTCTCTACAGGTAGCCCTCGACTTATGACCACAACTGAGCCCAAAATTTGTTGCCAAGTGAGACATCTGTTAAGTGAATTTTGGCCATTTTACGACCTTTCTCGCCACACTTGTTAAGTGAATCGCTGTCGTTAAGTTAGCCACACGGTTGTTAAGTGAATCTGGCTCCCCCCCCCATTGACTTTACTTGTCAGAGGGTGGCAAAAGGGGGTCACAAGAGCCCGGGACACAGCGACCGTCATAAACATGAGCCAGTTGCCAAGCAACTGAATTTTGATCATGTGATCATGGCAGATGCAGCAGAGGTTGTAATTGTGAAAAAGGGTCATAAGTCACTTTTTTCAGTGCAGTTGTAACTTTGAATGGTCACTAAAATGAACTGTTTTAAGTTGAGGACTGTCTGTATAAAGATGCAAAATACATTTGCATATCCTTAGGGATTCAGCCTCAAAATCCAACAATAATTAAAGTTCCACAGCAGGTGTGGACAATAGAATCTGTTTTGATCCAGCAGATCCCTCTATGATGTATAGAAAGGAACAGCTGGGTCTTCCTGACACTTAGAACAATTAACCAGTGGAACAGCCTGCCTCCAGAAGCGGTGAATGCTCCAACACTGGAAGTTTTTAAGAAGAGACCGGACAGCCATTTGTCCGAAATGGTGTAGGGTTCCTGCCAGAGCAGGGGGTTGGACTAGATGACCTCCAAGGTCCCTTCCAACTCTGTCTATTCTATTCTATTCTATTCTAATCTATTCTATTCTATTCTATTCTATATTCTATTCTATTCTAGTCTGTATTCATTCTATTCTATTCTATTCTATTCTATTCTATTCTATTCTATTCTATTCTATTCTATTCTATTCTATTCTATTCCATTCCATTCCATTTCGATTTCTATTCCATCCTCTAATTCTATTCTATTCTATTCTATTCCATTCCATTCCATTCCATTCCATTCCATTCCATTCCATTCCATTCCATTCTATTCTATATTCTATTCTATTCTAGTCTGTATTCATTCTATTCTATTCTATATTCTATTCTATTCTATTCTATTCTATATTCTGTTCTATTCTATTATTTATTCCTTCAATTCTATTCTATCTCTGTCTCTATCTCTATCTGTATGTCTATCTCTCTCTATCCTTATTCTATCCTACCTTATCCTACTCTACTCTACTCCATTCCCTTTGGCCTGCCAGTCCCAGGGGGGCAACCTACAGCACAAAACCCAACTCACTTATTCTGTTCCATCAGGATCTGCAGGGTATCGGGGTTCTTGAGCACCACCTCGGCATCAAGACTGAAGTAATATTCACACGCCGGGTTCTGCTTGCACATATTCCTAGAAGGGGAGGAAGCAAACGAGTCAGGTCCCAGCCGCAGGGGGAAAGGACGGAGTTTGGGGGGACCTTTCCGCGTTTCTTACATGCTCATGTTGCGAGCATCAGCATTCTCCAGATTCTCCTCCGGCCCCATCACTTTGAGGGAGCGATATTCCTGGCCGTGCTCGTCCACAAAGGAGCTCACCTGGGACAGGTGATGTTTCTCCTGCGCGCGAGAAGAAGCGAGAGAGTTTACCGAGGGGGCCAGTCATTCTGGCAAGCTGCCTCATTCGCTGTCATCGATCCGCCCCCGGACTCCTCTCTAGATGCCAGTTCAGAGGAGGAGGGCGAGTCTGAGTCTGCAAAGTGTGGAGCCGAGTGTTGCTCAGGATCGGGGCTCGGAGAGTGCCAGCCTAATGGAGCCGCCTCAGCTGGGTCGATTGGAAGAGCGATAGGCTGAAGCTGAAGGAGGCAAGCTGCAGCAAGTGGGCCCGGAGGCTCCAGGCAGCTGCCATCCGTTAGCAAGGAGGAGGAGGTGGAGTCCACGCCTCCTCCTGATCCAAGGACATGTAGAGCAGAGAGAAGACAGGCAGAATGTGGGTCAGCTCGACTATTCGTGAGGAGGCAACCTTGCCTCTCATGAAGGGTTGCACCAGCATCGCCTACTTAATCCCGCCCTGAGGACTTGAGTGTTCTTGCAGCAGTTTGGTGCCTTGTGTTCTTGTGCCGTGTATCCTGGTCTGTTCAATTCCTGGACTTTGTGTGTGCCCATTGGTTACCCAGTGACTCTTGCTCTGCTAAGCTTGGAATCCGGATCTCTGTGATGGGGAGGGTTGAATAAAATACCTACATGTGTTTGTGTGTGTGTGTGTGGGGGGGGAGAGTTTAGCAGCACATTTACCATTTGTCCTTGTGGGTTATGAATGGGGGGGGCAAGCTGCCGGGAGGAGGGGGGTGAGTGGGGGGGGGTGACTTCTCAGCCAGATATCTCGACTCACGTGATTGTGGATGAAAAGGTGGATTTTCTTTTTCGGATAGCGAAGAAGCTGGAGCCTTTTGAAGAACTGGTCAAGGAAAGGGGTGGGCTGCTCAATAAAGACACCAATCACGGTCAGAGGAAGTGCGTCTTCCTGCAAAGTGGGGGGGGGAGGGAAAAAGAAGATCAGACTCAGAAGTTCACAAATCCACTGCGCTGGATCTGATCCTATTTTGTGAGCTGAAGATAGTCACCTTATAGCAATAGCACTTTAAGACTTATATCCCGCTTCACCGTGCTTTACAGCTCCTCTCTAAACGGTTTTACAGAGTCAGCCTGTCGCCCCCCCCCCCATTTGTGTCCTCATTTTACTGACCTCGGAAGGATGGAAGGCTGAGTCAACCTTGAGCCGGTCAGGATCGAACTGCTGGCTGTGGGCAGAGTCAGCCTTCAATGCTGCATTCTAATCATTGCGCCACCGCGGCTCTTAATGCAACATCCAATCAGCTACAGCAATAGTAATAGCCCTTAGACTTATATGCTGCTTCACAGTGCTTTTACAGCCCTCCCTTGAGCGGTTTACAGTCAGCCTGTTGCCCCCCCCCCGACAATCTGGGTCCTCATTTTACGGACCTCAGAAGGATGGAAGGCCGAGTCAACCTGGAGCCGGTCAGGAGCAAACTCCTGGCTGTGGGCAAAGTCAGCCTTCAATGCTGCATTTTAACTATTGCATACCATGGATGGATGGATGGATGGAAGGAAGGAAGGGGGAAAGGAAGAAGAATAGCAATAGCCCTTAGACTTATATACCGCTTCACAGAGCTTTATAGCCCTCTCTAAGCGGTTTACAGAGTCCGCCTGTTGCCCCCCAACAATCTGGGTCCTCATTTTACTGATCTCGGAAAGATGAAAGGCTGAGTCAACCTTCAGCCGGTCAGGATGGAACTCCTGGCTGTGGGCAGAGTCAGCCTTCAATGCATACCATGGATGGATGGATGGATGGAAGGAAAGAAGGAAGGGGGAAAGGAAGAACAATAGCAATGGCCCTTAGACTTATATACCATTTTACAGTGCTTTTACAGCCCTCTCTAAGCGGTTTACAATGTCAACATCTTGCCCCCCAGCAATCTGAGTCTTCATTCTGCCGACTTCGGAAGGATGGAAGGCTGAATCGACCTTGAGCTGGTCAGGATCGAACTCCAGACTGTGGCAGAGTCAGCCTGCCAGACTGGATTCTGCATTACTGCACCACCAGGACTCTTATGTAGCAATAGCGTTTAGATCTATACACCAATTCATAATACTTTGCAGCCCTAAGCAGTTTAGAGAGTCAGCATGTTCCCCCCTTCCCCCCAAAAATCTGGGTCCTCATTTGACCAACCTCGGAAGGATGGAAGGCTGAGTTAACCTTGAGCCGGTCAGGATCGAACTGCCCGAACTGCAGGCAGAATTAGCCTGCAGTACTGCATTCTAACCACTGCGCCACCGTGGCTCTTTTTTACGTCTTAAAAAAATGGCAGTTAATTTGTAAGTGGGGGCTACATTTTTTAATCAACCCTGCCCGGACATTCCCACTTTCTGGCTGCATCATCCCAGGCAGGTCAAAAACAAACAAACCACGAAACCAAGTTTTCTTGCTAAAATACCACAGCAATTCAGCCTTGGCAATCTGGCAAACGTAAAAACCGGTTTAAATGCATCTCCCTTCAAACTTCCACATGGGAAAGGTTGGGCTTTCAAGTCTACAAATTATTCAGAACCTCTTAACAGAAATGTCCTGATCTTCTAGCAGAAATTCAGGATTCTTTCCCACGGTGCCAAGACAAGCAACAAAACCGTACAAAGTCCTTTTTTTTTCTTACACCTTTCCCAGAATTGCTCACGCTCTTACTTTCAAGCCACGGAAACTCTTCAGGCCTTCTTTGCAAACGGTGCAGCCCGTCTCGAAGGTCCAGGATTGAGGGATGTAGTTCCCCAGATAATTCAGCTGCAGCTTTGGGGAGAGAAAGATTCCCAAAGGCTGTGTTCACAGTGCGGAAACACAAAACTTCCTCCCTTTTGTCAATCTGATTCTGCCGTAATATTCTTTTCCATCACCCACCAGCCAGGGCCCTGTTGCTGTGGAGTGGCTGAAACTGGGCTGGCCTCCTTTGGGCTAAGCCAGGGGTAGGCCACCTGGGCTCTTTTAGGACTCGTGGACTTCAACTCCCAGAATTCCTGAGCCAGCCATGCTGAGGGGAAAGGGAGAGGCTTCCAAGCTGAGCCAGGCTGGCTCAGGAATTCTGGGAGTTGAAATCCACGAGTCATAAAGCAGCTTGGGCCTAGGCCAGAGGTAGGTAACCTTGGCTCTTTTATGACTCATGGACCAACTCCCATAATTCCTGAGCCAGCATGGGGGAACTATGGCCCCCTTCATGATTTGTGGACTTCAACTCCCAGAATTCCTGAGCCAGCCATGCTGAGGGGAAAGGGAGAGGTTTCCAAGCTGAGCCATGCTGGCTCAGGAATTCTGGGAGTTGAAGTCCATGAGTCATGAGGGGGCCATAGTTCCCCCATGCTGGCTCAGGAATTCTGGGAGTTGAAGTCCACGAGTCATAAAGGGCCCATATAGTTCCCCCCATGCTGGCTCAGGAATTCTGGGAGTTGAAGTCTACAAGTCATGAAGGGGCCATAGTTCCCCCATGCTGACTGAGGAATTCTGGGTGTTGAAGTCCACGAGTCATAAAGCGGCCTAGGCCAGAGGTAGGTAACCTTGGCTTTTTATGACTCGTGGACTTCAACTCCCAGAATTCCTAAGCCAGCATGGGGAAACTATGGCCCACTTCATGACTCGTGGACTTCAACTCCCAGAATCCCTCAGCCAGCCATGCTGAGGGGAAAGGGAGAGGCTTCCAAGCTGAGTCATGCTGGCTCAGGAATTCTGGGAGTTGAAGTCCACAAGTCATAAAAGAGCCCAGGTGGCCTACCCCTGGACTAAGCAGTGCTTGGCCTCTAAGCTCCATCCTGAATCTCTTAAAAATTTCCTGTCTTGGCAGATGGAAATCAAAGCCCAAATGGCTCTGATCCAGAGCAAGCAGGACAGGAGTATTGCAGTCCTTGACGTACAACCACAACTGAGCCCGAAACCTATGTTGCTAAGGGAGACATTGGTTAAGTGAGTTTTGCACCATTCTTGTCACATCTGTTAAGGGAATCACTGCAGTTGTTAAGTTAAAAAAGAAGAGTCTGGACTGCCATCTGTCAGAAATGGTGTAGGGCAGATATGTCAGACTCAAGGCCCGGGGGCCGGATTCTTTTTTATATATATAAGATTTTATTGATTTTTTTCTTACGTACATATAATAATTTTTCAATCAACCTGCTGTCTGGGTTTAAAAACACTAATACATATTTAATTCCTAATCCTTCAATCTTTCCTCTAGCCATTGATAAAATAAGTTCCAGGTTTGATAATATTCTGTTTCTTCTTTTTCTTTCAAACTCATAGTCAATCTGTCCATCTCTGCGCATTCCAGTACTATTCTATTCTATTCTATTCTATTCTATTCTATTCTATTCTATTCTATTCTATTCTATTCTATTCTATTCTATTCTATTCTATTCTATTCTAATTCTCTCTGCTCTGGTCTGCTTTATTTCTATTCTCTTCTAGGCCTGTCCTGTCCTGTCCTGTCCTGTCCTGTCCTATCCTATCCTATCCTATCCTATCCTATCCTATCCTATCCTATCCTATCCTATCCTATCCTAATCACATGGTTCTTAAGGGACTCTGGTATCCCCATTGACTTTGCTAGTCAGAAAGTCACAAAAACAGATCACATGACCCTGGGACACTGTGACCGTCATAAATACGAGCCCATGGCGGCCAAGCATCTGAATTTTGATCACATGACCACGGGGGATGCTACAATGGTTTTGTTGGAGGAGCCAAGATGGTGGACAGGCAGCAAAGGCTGTAAAGACCTCCTCCAAAAGTAAAAGCTTTCTCTTCTTTTTCTTTAACTTTTTAACCCTTTTTAACCCTGCATTTTAACTGACTTTTAACCCATTGTTAACCTATTTTTAAATCTGTTTTAACCCTAGTCAAAGACTTTTTATAAAGGATATATACTGGAGAGGCTGCCATTGTTTTACCTACGTTTTAACAACTCTACAAGCCAGGATCACAAGAATGGGGAAAAGGAGAAAGAGACGGCGTGCTCACTTGGCAGCAGAGAATTCTTCCAAGCCACTGAAGCAGCAGAAAATGGAAGACTTCGCTGCAAGTAAATTTTGAATGGTCACTAAATGATCCGTTGTAATTTGAGGACTGCCTGCATACACATCCTAGAAAGCTGTCTAGTTCCAGGGAGCTGGGATTGCGGCCTACCTTGGTGGGTCCGTTTCCATGAATCACAACTGGGAGGGTATCAAATGCCAGATTCCGCACTCTCACCTGGCCGTTTTCGAATTTCAGAGCCACTTCGTCTTCAGAAGCAAAGAAGCAGAGAAACAGAATGAAACAAACAAACAAACAAACACACAGACAAAACATTCTTTCGCAGGTGTGCCAGGAGACTTAATGGTTTGGGGCAGGGGTCTTCAAACTTGGCTCTTTTATGACTCCTGGACTTCAACTCCCAGAATTCCTGAGGCATCCATGCTGAGGGGAAAGGGAGAGGTTTCCAAGCTGAGCCAGGCTGGCTCAGGAATTCTGGGAGTTGAAGTCCACGAGTCATGAAGGGGCCATACTTCCCCCATGCTGGCTGAGGAATTCTGGGAGTTGAAGTCCACAAGTCATAAAAGAGCCAAGGTTGCCTACCCCTGAGTTACTAGGAAGATGAGGGGACTTCAACTCCCAGAATTCCTCTTCTAGCATGGCACCCTATACCAGGAATAGGCAACCTTGGCTCTTTTATGACTCGTGGACTTCAATCCCAGAATTCCTCAGCCAGCCATGCTGAGGGGAAAGGGAGAGGTTTCCAAGCTGAGCCAGGCTGGCTCAGGAATTCTGGGAGTTGAAGTCCACGAGTCATGAAGGGGGCCATAGTTTCCCCATGCTGGCTCAGGAATTCTGGGAGTTGAAGTCCGCGAGTCATAAAAGAGCCAAGGTTGCCTACCCCTGGTTTGGGGGAATTAATAAAGTGACACCAACTTATCATGGCTGACATTCTGCTTGCTTCACTTCCCAGCCTGCCCACCTGACATGTGCAATGGGGTAGAGAGGAAGATGTAGAATGTGGGAGGATGTAAGTGGTGTGTGTGTGTGTGTGTGTGTGTGTGTGTGTGTGTGTGTGTGTGTCTGGGATCCACAGTGTGCTGGACAAGGAAGGAAGCAAGTCACTTCAGCTCAAGACCACCAAAAGAATGCAGAGGTGGGAGAAAGCATGCAGAAGCTCCATTCCCCAAACCATCATGGGACGGTGACCGATTGCAAGGGTGTGTGTGTGTGTGTGTGTGTGTGTGTGTGTGGCCAGGGGAAAAAGAACAGTTAAGTGTAAAATTTTTGCGCCAATTCGCCAGATTCTCACTTCCTTTTTCTCTGTAACCATGCTAAAACATGCTCTTGGTGAACTCTCGGACAGGAGACTTCATTTTTGCAGCTGACTAAGTGAGATGGATGACATTCGGCTTTTCAAAGCAGCCATGTCCTTAGAAAACACCCACTCCAAGCCAAGGTATATAGCCTTTTCCCACCGGATGCAACAGGAGTCCATTTTAGGAGCCATCCACCCAGTTTGGCTAAAACAACAACAAAAAAAGTCTCTAAAGATGTTAGTTAAACCTTTGAGGGTGTCCTCCTCTAGGCCAGGAATAGCAGATAATAAAATAAACCATGCAGCATCAGGAAAGGGAGGTGTGACTTAAGGGAGAGAGAGAGAGTCATCCCAAATATTCTGTCAACTGTAAAACAAGCTTGTAGCGGCTATTTCTTGCACAATCTGCTGCCCGAGCTCCATTTTTCAAGGAAAGCTGTCGTTTGAGTCCAAATGGAACTGCCTGGCAAACCAAACAAGTGATTTGGGCAGAGGTCAGGGCCTCAGAGACTCCAGGCATTCGTAATCCAGCAAGAGTGGGAGAATCAAGAGGGCCAAGATTTTATTTTGATGGGAGGAAACACCCTTTCCCCCCACGGATTCTCACCTAGAGCTCCGTTAAGATTTTGGAAGATCCGGCACCTATGATCCAAAGTGATATTGATGGTCCTCTGCAGAGGGAGAAGGAAAAAACAACAAGGGCAAACATGATAAGAGCTGGAAGAGGTCAATGTAAGATGGCCGAAACTGGAAAGCACCTTTTCTGACTAACATCTTTCACGAAAAGGCAGAATCTCTGGGACCTGCTCTGGGGAGACCCTCCTGATTAAGGATGGACAGAAAAGTGTTCAAAAGGAGAAAGAGAGGATTGATCAACATTAGGGGACTGGAGGCTAAAACATATAAGGAACGATTGCAGGAATTGGGTCTGTCTAGTTTAACGAAGAGAAGGACAAGGGGGGGGGGACATGATAGCAGTCTTCCAGTATCTCAGGGGCTGCCCCAAAGAAGAGGGAGTCAAGCTATTCTCCAAAGCACCTGAAGGCAGGACAAGAAGCAACGGATGGAAACTCATCCAGGAGAGAAGCAACCTGGAACTAAGGAAAAACTTCCTGACAGTGAGAACAATTAACCAGTGGAACCACCTGCCTCCAGAAGCGGTGAATGTTCCAACACTGGAAGTTTTTAAGAAGAGACTGGACAGCCATTTGTCCGAAATGGTGTAGGGTTTCCTGCCTGAGCAGGGGGTTGGACTAGATGACCTCCAAGGTCCCTTCCAACTTTATCATTATTATAACATTATAATAATTCCTAGCACCTGCTAAGAGTTCAGACACACAGAATCATCAAGCTGGAAAGGATCTCTCCTCTCTGCCTGAATATTTTTACTGCCAGAGAGCAGAAAAGTGTTCGGAGAAAATGGTTCCAGTGCTGAACCCCTCCTGTCAAGAAGAAAACGGCTGCAACTGTCAACCGCTTTAACAGAATAACACAGCTGGAAGGGACCTTGGAGGTCTTCTAGTCCAGCCCCCTGCTCAAGGAAGGGACCCAATACCATTCCAGACAAGTGACTGTCCAGTCTCTTCTTAAAAACCTCCAGTGTTGGAGCGCCCACCGCCTCTGGAGGCAAGCCTTCCACTGATCGTTTACATGCACAGAGATCTGCCATGTCCTCCTTGGTTCAATTTATTAGGGGGAAACCACGCAAGGCCACGCAAGGTGCTTTTTCCAAGAGGCAACTGGACTTTTCTTGTTTTTCTTTGAAGACGTTTCGCTTCTCATCCCAGAAGCTTCTTCAGCTCTGACTGGATGGTGGGGGAACGGAAGGATTGATACTCCTTGCAGACAGCTGGTCATTTGCATCCTTTTAGAGCAGTGGCTCTCAACCTGTGGGTCAGGACCCCATTTGGGGTCGAACGACCATTTCACGGGGGTCGCCAAACAACGCAGTCCGCCATTTTTTCCCCCTTTTCCTTAGCTGTGCTACTCCCTTTTATTCTATTGGCTTTTGAAAGCCAATAGAATAGACTCTCTTGAATAGAGTTTAATTCTATTGGCTTTCAAAAGCCAGTAGGAATTGTCCAGGCTGTCTCTGCCCTGCTGAGCCTGCCAAAAGTCCCAGTCTGCAAACAGTGCTGCAAGTTGTCTGCAGCGAAGGCGAGCTGTCTGGAAGTTTCCACCCCTCCCTGCTGAGCAACTACTAAAAATGTAAGTAAAAGAGGGCCAGGGTGGGAGGTGGGAGGCCGGCGGGCGCAGGGAGGGTTGCTGGCGCGCGTGGGGCCCGGCGGGTGCCTTACCTCCCTTGGGCTGGGTCAGCTGGTAGCCCAGCCGGTGGTCGCCCTGCGCCGTCTCTGCCCCTTGCCAGCTACGCCTCGGCCGGCGCAGGGGGTGGCACCACGCATGCGCGGCACTCCTGGGCAGGGAAAGTCCTCAACTTACGACCAGTTGGGTAGTCCTCGACTTATGACCAGTTGGGTAGTCCTCGACTTACGACCGGTTGGGGGGGTCGCGGCATTAAAAAAGTTGAGAACCACTGTTTTAGAGAGTCCTTGAGGCCACCTGGAGGTTTACCTGAGTAATGCAAAGGAGTGTGGAGCCTTCTTGGCTGCAGGACGCTTTCTGCCCTGTTCCTGTTGTCTGCCATGTTTTTTGGAAATCTGTTCACTCTCCCACACCCTTTGAAGGGCGTTCATCCCAAAGTGCATGGCTCAATGTCTATGGAGATTCTCCATCATCCAGGATCTTGGTTGTCCCAAAGATCCTTTTTTTTTCAGGAGGCAACTGAACTTCCCTATTTTTTTTCTTTGTCTCCTGAAAAAGCACCTTTGGGACAGCCATGGCCCTGGATGACGGAGAATCCCCAGAGACACGCAAGGCCAAAGTCGTGTCCCCGTCTGATTTATACCCTCTGGGCCTGCCAGACTCTGCAGATGTGCTGCATTTCCTGGTCAGCCCCCAATATTCTCCCCCGTAGAGCACGTGGGGCCTATGCAGTCGGGGCTCACCCGCTTTTCAGGGTCCAGGAACATGTTGGTATAAAACAGCTGGTCGCTCTCACTGTCACGGCCTTGCCAGTCGGCCACAAGCCGGCTGAGGTAGGGAGCATAACCCATGAATCCTGCAGGAAGAGAGAACACCGTCTTCAAGTTACGACCACATTTCCACGGCTCTGTGAGGCAGTTGTTAAGTGAATTTTGGACCCATTTCTTGCCAATGTTGTTAAATGAACCCCTGCGGTTGTTAAGTTAGGAAGACGGCTTGTTAAGTGAATCCGGCTCCCCCCACCCCTCATTGACTTTGCTGGTCAGAAGGTCGCAAAAGGAGATCACGTGACCCCGGGACACTGCGACCGTCATATGTACAAGTCCATTTCCAAGTATCACGAGACTATGGGGATGCTGCAACGGTCCTGAGCGTGAAAAACAGTCCTCAGTGACTTTTTTCAATCCTGTTGTAATTTCAAAAGGTCACTAAATGAACAGTCATTAAGTCGAGGACTGCCTTTAAAGGTTCCCGTCTCTTTCTTTGGCTCAAACGGGCAGCCCAGCCCACTGATGGGTGCCGACACCAAAGAAAAAAATATTTATATGTTACTTATATGTAAGGGTGTAGGTCTATGCATATGTTGTATATGGTATGTTTTAAATGTGTTATGTAGGTGTACACTTTGAGAGGAAGCAACTAAATTTCATTTTTAATGTGTGCCATTGTGCTCACAGGAAAAAAAATGACAATAAAGGTTATCTATCTATCTATCTGTCTATCTATCTCATCATATCTATCTATATCTATCTATATCTATCTATCTATCTATCTATCTATCTATCTATCTATCTATCTATCTCATCATTTCTATCATTTCTTATGTATTTATCCTATCTGTCTGTCTGTTTATCATTTATTATATATTTATCCTTTCTTTCTTTTTCTTTCTTTCTTTCTTTCTTTCTTTCTTTCTTTCTTTCTTTCTTTCTTTTTCTTTCTCTTTCTTTCTTTCTTTCTTTCTTTCTTTATCTATCAATCTATATCTTATCTATTTGTCTGTGTCTGTCTGTCTATCTATCTACCAATCATTTATTATGTATTTATCTTTTCTTTCTTTTTATTTTTATATCTATCTATCATCTCTATCATCTATTATGTATTTATCCTGTCTGTCTGTCTGTCTGTCTGTCTGTCTGTCTGTCTGTCTGTCTGTCTATCTATCTATCTATCTATCTATCTATCTATCTCTATTATGTATTTATCCTTTCTTTCTTTCTTTCTTTCTTTCTTTCTTTCTTTCTTTCTTTCTTTCTTTCTTTCTCTTTCTTTTTCTATCTATCTCAATCTATATCCTATCTATCTATCTATCTGTCTGTCTGTCTGTCTGTCTGTCTCTGTCTATCAGTCATTTATTATGTATTTATCCTTCCTTCCTTCCTTCCTTCCTTCCTCTTTCTTTTCTTTCTTTCTTTCTTTCTTTCTTTCTTTCTTTCTTTCTTTCTTTCTTTCTTTCTTTCTTTCTTTCTTTCTTTCTTTCTCTGTCTGTCTTTCTGTCTGTCTATTTTGAAGGTAAAATTTCCTTCCAGCTCCGCTTCCCTTCACACTCACTCCCAAGTCCCCCCGACAGCTTCTGTCTTTTCCCCTTTCCCTACCTCCGGATCCCAGGAACCTGTTCCCTTCTTGGACCGGGGGATACTTGGCCTCCAGCCTCCGGTCCGGATAGATGAGAGTCTCCGAGGAGAAGAGGACTTTTGACTTGGCCTGCTTGAATTTCTTCAGGGCTTCTGCAGGGCCTGAAGCAAAGAGGACGTCGTAGCTGCGAGAGGGGAAAGGAGACGTTGAAAGGACAGTTTACCTCGCGAAGAAAGAGACAGTGAGGCATCTTGCCTGCTCAGAGCAAACGAACCTCCCAATCTTAAGATCTTTATTCTTTTGCATTCCAAGGGTTGTTTTTTTCCCCTCCTGGATGGAGATGCTACTGTTGAGCCGCCCTACCATCATTTAAATCAGGGGTCCCCAAACTTTGGGCGTGGCCCACTACCGGTCTGTGGCCTACTTGCAACTGGGCCATGTGAGTGGCTGGCTGGTATGTGCATCTCGGGTGCTTGCGGCCCCACGTGTGAGCGTCACGGGCACTGACGGCCCCACTTGCACGAGCGCTCAGGGCCTCACTCGTGCGAGTGCTTGGGGCTTCACTGGTGTGAGCACTTGGGGCCTCTGTTGTGCGAGTGTCATGGGTGCTCTCAACCTCAATTGAACGAGCACTCGGGGCCTCACTCGCACGAGCGTCACAGCTGCTCTCGGCCTCAACGGGTGCTCGTGCACGCACCCACGCCTGCCTCTCCCACAAACCATCTCCTCTTCCCCCCTTCAGGGCTGCCAATCTGGGGAACTCTTTTAAATGAACATCATCATTCTAATCGTCCACAGTTTGCAGCGCAGTTAACACAACAAATAATAGTTAGGCACAAACCAAGATACAGGTAGCCCTGCATTTACAGCCATTTGTTTAGACACCTTTACAACAGCACTGGAAAAAAGTGACTTAGGACCCTTTTTCACCCTTACGACCTCTGTAGCGTCCCCAGGGTCACATGATCAAAATTCAGCTGCTTGGCAACTGGGTCATACTTATGACCGTCGCAGCGTCCCGGGGGGGGTCACGTGATCCCCTTTTGTGACCTTACAAGCCAAGTCGATGGAGGAGCGAGATTCACTTAACAACCAGGTTACTCACTTATCAACTGCAGCGATTCATTTAGCAACTGTGGCAAAAAAGGTCGTAAAATGGGGCAAAATTCACTTAACCAATGTTTTGCTTAACCACAGATATATTGGGCTCCTCCGCTGTGGTCGTAAGTAGAGGACTATCTGTGTTCAGCTCCTCCTGGCCATCGCAGGCATGAAGGAAGGCATCTCCCAGCTCGTGTTTGCATCTAGCAATTCTGCACAGCCATGCATGAATTACCTGTCGGTGAAAAGGATCACCAGGTCTTCCTTATCTGCAAAGGCTTCCAAAGCCGACTTCAAAAGGCGGATCTTCTGTCCACCTGTTGCCGCTCTCTGGTCCTCTCGATCCGGCCATTCTTCGCCTAATCCCAGGACCTGGACGGATCAAAGCCAATTCTGTGACCGGTTTCAAACCACTTTGTTCGTGCTTGTTCCCTCTACACTGAACTGAAGGAAACAGCTTACATCTGGTTTAGTGAATGGCTTTCACTGTGCTCGGAGTTTTTGTTTTTTACAGTATGAACTATAACAAGACTCCCAAGGCTTATCGTGTTATAGTAGCCACTTAATAAGTTTGTGCTTTGGGGTACCCTAAAGAAAGAAAAACAATTCGCGACTAACAGTTGTAGAAACAACTAACCTTATTGCAAACTCATGAACTGAAGTTAAGAAATTGTGAATAGAATAGAATAGAATAGAATAGAATAGAATAGAATATGGAAAGGAATAGAATATGGAAAGGAATAGAATAGAATGGAATGGAATGGAATAAGAAAAGGAATAAATAATGGAACAGAATAGTAACAGAAATAATGAATAGAATAGAGTAGAGTAGAGTAGAGTAGAGTAGAGTAGAGTAGAGTAGAATAGAATAGGAAAGGAATAAATAATGGAACAGAATAGTAATAGAAATAATGAATAGAATAGAATAGAGTAAGGAGAACAGAACAGAACAGAACAAAACAAAACAATTATTGTCACTTTAAATATACACTAATCAGCGTACATTAAAATGAAATTTTGTTGCATACAGCTCTCAAAGGGGCATCACCTCCAATATATGCTACATAAACATGACAAAAATAAATATAGAATTATGCATATACCCACAGACCCACATATATTCTATGACACAGAGAAACAACACAGTCTAGTTCAGATGTATACATGTACATGGCGACATAAACGCAACTTGCGAGTTTACCAGACGGACGGCGCAATAGGGAACAAAGCAGTTACCGAATCTGGTGGTCCTGCTATAAATACTCGGAAACCTCCTCCCGGAGGGGAGCGACAGGAACAGGCCGTGAAGTGGGGGTGTGGGTCTCTAACTATGCTCGGAGCTCTAAGCACACAGGAGCGCTTGTAAGCAGCGTCCTGAATAACGGAAGCAAGCTTCCTATCATTTTTTCGGCTGTCCTCACCACTCTCTGTGTGGACCGTCTGTCTGAGGCTGTGCTATGTGCCGTATATGCCGCCTGCCTTTGCCTCACACTTTTCCAAGGGTGGATTTTAAAATTTGAGGAAATGCAAGTTTTGAATTAGGAATTGGATTTTGTCTTTCTATAACCTGGGATCTCTATTCAGATTAAATATTTGCACTACCTTGAGGTTATAGTTAAAAACCTGGGCTGAAGTTCTGAAACGCTTGAAGCCTTCCGTCTCCTTGGTAGCCACAGTGAGGACCAACAAATTATCTGGATGGATTGTAAAAAAAAAAAAAAAAAGCAAAGAATTAGACACATATCTCCCAAATTATCGTCCATTGCTACATCTTCCTGCATTCCTCAATCACGGCAACCTTTTTTTAAAAACAAACAAACAAACAAAAAATGCATTCTTAAGAGACACGGTGCAGTTATAAAACTCAGGCTGTGAATGGAAACATTTCCAGATTTATTTCGTAGACTTTCCCCATTTCTTGGAAAAAAAAAAATCTGCTATTTGTGAACTGGGAAAGAGACAGTCTGAAAAAAAATCTCACCTCTCTTTTTAATGAACAAATAGCCCAGCCTTCAAACAATATTTTTTTCCCCTCTCCCTAAATACTGACATTTTTCCAAGAGGTACGTGTGGGACGTGAGCTTAACTTAGTCAGAAATGGGTGCCTGGTGCTTTGCCTGAATCCTTCCTCCAGCATGTTCACATGTCACAAAATCTGCCTGGAGTTGTCCAGCCAGAATAAGCAAAGCAGCTGAAATGAAATCTATAATTACATTTCTTGCCTTTCTGCAAGAGTTTATAGCACAGCAGGGAAAATGCCATGCCAAAAACTTTTTGGAAATATAGAAGGCAGCCTTCACTCATGAGAGCTAGCTCAGATGCCCTCAGGCTTGTGTGGAACATCGCTGGGGAAACCTCCTGCAAACTCCACATCAAAAGCATGGCAGAAAGGCAATTTCTAGCCCTGTTTGAGAAGGGAAAGTCTGTTGTTGTTGTTAATTGCGGAAGTCGTGTCCGACCCATCACGACCCCATGGACAACGTTCCTCCAGGTCTTCCTGTCCTCTACCATCTTCTGGAGTCCTGATCCCCACATGAACGATTAAGGATCAAGGCTATTTTATTTGCCCTCCACTGCAACTGAGCAACACGGATTTGAGGCCAAACACCAGAGACATAATCTGGACCTCACAAAAAGTGACGGATTTTGAATAAAGCGCTGAAAAGACGCTCCCCTCCTGATTTCTTGCTACCACGGACTTAAGAAGTCTGTCAAAGTGAGCAAGAAGGCACAAGTTGGGATAGTTAAAAAAAAAACACCAAAAACTTATTTTTCTTTTGCAAAGAAAGAGAAGCAGAAAGGGAGATTAAAAAAAAATACACGACGGTGTTGTGGCCAGCGAGCAAATAAAATATTTATGACAATCACAGACCAGCATAAGTAAAATTGCACAAGTGAGGCACAGTGTCTCTCATCCTCTTCCCCCTTCCCACGGAAAAGCCAGTTTTCCAAGCCAGGTTTTTTTTACCTAAACTTTTCAAACCCCCCCCCCCAATGATGGGAATGGCTGCCTAGAGCGCACTGCAAGAGATGTGCGCACACACACACACAAGCTTGCATTCCTAAGCTTACCGTCTTCTGCTGCGTGGCTTCCACCCTCCAGGGGGGTTAGGAAAAACAAAAGGAGCAGCAGAGATGGTGGGGACATTGTGGGGAGACTTCAGGGAGAGGAACCCGCTTTGTGAAGCCAGCTGTTGGGGGGGAAGGCTGCAGATTTAGCTTGGGAAGCTAGCCCCTCCTTGCCAGCCGGGGGGGGGGGCTGATGTGCCACGCAATGAACACGCCCCCCCTCCAATGTGAGGAGGAAGGGAGGGACAGAAGCCTCCTCCTCCTCCTCCCTCTGCTCCTCTCTTCAGTCCCACGGTCCTGGGTCCCCCCTCCCCACATCCTCCTTCTCTCTTGGGTCAAGATCCGGAGCCTGGCGTCCAGCCCTGCAGAAAGGAAGGCAGAAAAAGAGGGTTGCACAAAATCAGCAGAGGTTGCCACAGCTGCAGCCGGGACCCCCTCCGCCCCGAGGACCCCCACTTTATTCTCAGTCTCACAGGCCCCAAAGGCCAAACCCACCACCAACTTCCTGCACTTTTTTCCCTAGAGGTTTGGAGCCTAATTCCCAGGCTGGGGCCGATGGAAACTGGAGTCCCAAAGAGAGTGTGGGTAAGCAGGGAAGTTGAGAGATGGCAGGGCAGAGCTGCAATCAGGAAGGGTTTGCTCCCCCGCCTTTTGAAAAGGGTGCTTTGAGAGGCTCAGAGATGTCCTGCTGCTGATAAACAGCCCTCTGCATCAGCTCAGAGACCCTGTGCCTTCAAGGAAAGCCTCGGGAGAAGAGGAACGCTCTGCAGAGGCTTAGAGATCTCCTGTTCTGATAAACAGCCCTCTGCATTAGCTCAGAGACCCTGTGCCTTCAAGGAAAGCCCTGGGAACAGAGGGGTGCCCTGCCTGCAGATGCTCTGAGATCTCCTGATGCCAATAAAAAGCACTTTGTAGAGCCTCAGAGACCCTGTGCCTAGACGAAGCCCTTAAGAGAAGCAGTTTGCACGGGCTCAGAGATCTTTTGTTGCCAACACAGAGCCCTCTGCAGAGGCTCAGAGACCCTCTGCCTTCAAGCAAAGGAGAAGCACTCTGCACATGCTCAGAGATCTCCTGCTGCCAACACAGAGCCCTCCGCAGAGGCCCAGAGACCTGGGAGAAGAGACCCGTTCTGCCTAGGCCAGGGGTAGGCAACCTGGGCTCTTTTATGATTGGTAGACTTCAACTCCCAGAATTCCTGAGCCAGCCATGCTGAGGGGAAAGAGAGGTTTCCAAGCTGAGCCAGGCTGGCTCAGGAATTCTGGGAGTTGAAGTCCACGAGTCATAAAAGAGCCGAGGTTGCCCACCCCTGGCCTAGACCCAGAGGCGCTCCCCACGCCTCTTATTCCCTCCCTACCCCGGCGGGGGGCGCTCTGTGGATGCTCAGAGGCCGCCTCTCCGCCGCCAGAGGAGCCCTTCGGCCTCGGGACGTTCCGAGCCCAGCGGAGGCGCAGGCGGAGGAGGAGGAGCCGCCAACGCCCCGCCCGGGCCCGCCACAGACGGGGGAGAAGCAGCGGCGGCGGAAGCAGCGGCCGAGCGACTAGGCCGCGCCGACGCCGGGGACTCGCGTAACCGCCGCGGCCGCCATGAGCTAGCTGCGCCTGCGCCGCCCCGATGTGGCTGCAGCAGCGGCTGAAGGGGCTGCCGGGGCTGCTGTCCAGCAGCTGGGCGCGGCGCCTGCTGGCCCTGCTGGCCTTCCTGCTGGCCGCCTCCTGGTACCTGGGCAGCGGCGGCGCCTGGCCGCGCCTGCTGCTCCGCCTGCGGGCCGGGGGCGGCGCGGGGGCGGCGGCGGGGCCCTGCCTGCAGGCCGAGAGCCGCGCCTGGCGGAGGGCCGGCGCCCGGCTGCTGGGCGGCGGGGACTCGGGCGGGCCGCCCCCGGCGCTGGTGGGCAACGGGCACCTGCTGCTGGACGCCCAGGCCAACCGCCTCTGGGTGGTCCCCCCGGGGGGGGCGGCGGCGGCGGCCCCCGGCCCGGCCTGGCCCACCGACTACGGGCCGCTGGCCCAGCTGCGGGGCCCGGCCGGGGCTGAGAGCGAGGCGGGGGGCTCGGCCCTGCTGCCCAAGGAGGGCGCCCTGCGGAGGGTCCGCTGCGTCCAGCCCGGGGGTCCCGGCGGGGGCTGCCTGACCGTCCGGGAGGAGCTGCTGGCCCACCGGGGCCGCCCCCACCTCTACCTGCAGCGCCTGGCGGTGGACAACCCCACCGACCGGCTGGTGGCCCTGGAGCTGGCCGGCCCGGGCTCCTCGTCGTCGTCCTCCTCCTCCTCCTCCTCCTCCGGCCACTCCTTCGCCACCAGCCTGGAGAAGGTGGGCGACCGGCAGTTCTTCCTCTCCTCCGGCCGGGCGCTGCAACCGGCGGGTGAGAAGCTGGTGCTGGTGGTGGTGGCGGCCAAGAAGCTGGTCAACCGGGTGCAGGTGGCGCCCCGCTCGCGCTTCGAGGAGACGCTGCTGGCGGTGGTGCTGTGCTCGGAGCCCATCGAGGCCGCCCAGCTTGACGAGACCTTCGGGCGGCTGCGGGAGGCGGCCAAGAGGGAGATGATGGAGGTGCTGCCCTTGCGGGCCGAGGAGCTGGTGCAGGAACACCGCCGGGCGTGGGACGAGCTCTTTATCTCAGGTGCGGGGCTGCCACCCGGCTGGGAGCCGCTGACCGCTGGGCAGGGCGGCCTCGGTGCTGGGCGCTGCCGGCTTCGGAGTTGGGCGCTGCGGTTGAGAGGCGTCCCCAGGGAGGTGCCTTTTGGGGGTTGGTGCCAACCAGGGGCCACAAAGATGGGAGTCCCTCCCTCCTTCCTTCCTTCCTTCCTTCCTTCCTTCCTTCCTTCCTTCCTTCCTTCCTTCCTTCCTTCCTTCCTTCTTTTCCTTCCATACATACATACATACATACATCTAGTTTCCTTTCTTCCTTTCTATCCATCCACCTACCTACCTATCCATCCATCTATTATCTATCTATATCTATCTGTCTATCTATCTATCTATCTATCTATCTATCTATCTATCTATCTATCTATCTATCTTCATTCTTTTCTATCTACTTTCCTTCTTTTCTCCATCCATCTATCCATTTTCTTTCCTTTTTTTACCTTCCTTCCCTCCCTTTCATCCATCTATTTTCCTTCTTGTCTGTCTCTGTCTGTCTGTCTTTTTTCCATCTATCTATCTATCTATCTACCTACCTACCTTCCTTCCTTCCTTCCTTCCTTCCTTCCTTCCTTCCTTCCTTCCTTTCTTCTTCCTTTTCTCCATCCATCTCTATCTACCTTCCTTCCTTTCTTCCTTTTCTATCTACCTTCCTTCCTCCCTCCCTCCCAATAACTCAAGGCTCTGAACACGTCCAACACATCTTCCTCCTGCTCCTATTTTCTCCACAAACAACGAACTGTGAGGTCATTCCGCTGAGATCCTGGCCCAAGGTCACCCAGCTGGCTTCCATGGCTAAGGCGGAAAATGAACTTGCGGTCTCTTGCTTTCTAGGCTGCTGCTTTAAGCACAGGGCTCTCCAAACTTGGGAACTTTAAAGACTTGTGGACTTCAACTCCCAGAATTCCTCAGCCAGCTGTGAAGTCTGCAAGTCTTAAAAGTTGCCACGGTTGGAGACCGCTGCTCCAGCGGTCCTTACAAGCCTGCTTGGGGCTGTAGAGGTGCTGAGATGTACCACGAAGCTTGTCATTGACTTGAGAGTTGTGGCTGACACTTCTCCTTTTGAGATGGTTTCTTGGTAGGCAAGATTAGGAAGTCTGCAAAAAAAAAAAAAATCACAAGGTCTGCCTGCCTTAGCAGTAGCTGGAGGTGTGGAGAACAGGTTTTTGTTTCTGAGGATGGAAATCTTGACGTTTTCTCCCCCAAAGTAGTAGTATCTGGGTATCTTCTACTCGTCTTCCTGGGAATGGGCACACAGAGTAGGAATATCCCGTGTTCAGGAAGGTGGGTTCCAACACCTGCCTCTGCAGAGCAAGAATGCAGAAGTCGCCTAGTTGGGACGGAGTATTTTATAGTCGGTATTATTCACGTAAAAATACGACGGTGGTTGCAAAGGCCTGATCAAGCCTTTGGTCAGTACAGGTAGTCCTCGAATTACGGCCACCGTTGAGGTTAAAATTTCTGTTGCTAAGTGAGACATTTGTTAAGTGACTTTTTGCTCCATTTTACGATCTCCCTTGCCACAGTTGTTAAGTGAATCACTGCCCTTGTTAAGTTAGCGACAACGGTCGTTAAGTGACTCTGGCTTTCCCGTTGATGCTGCTTGTCTGAAGGTCGCAAAAGGGGATCAGGTGACCCCGGGACCCTGCGACCGTCATAAATACGAATCAGCTGCCAAGCACCTTAAGTTTGAACACGGGGATGCTGCGATGATCGTAAATGTGGAAAATTGGTCTTAAGTCACTTTTTTTCAGTGCTGTTGCAATTCTGGTCACTGAAAAAAACTGTTGTAAGTCAAGGACTACTACCTGTGTTTCCCAACTGGTACGGGCTGTGTGAAGGTAGGGAGAAAGTAGGGAGAAAGTAGAGAAACTCCTTGCCGTGTAACTATAGGTGAGATTTTAATGGGGGAGATTTCCAGCTTGCCAGGCTGCTACTGCAGAGAAGGGCAGAGCTCTTAAAAAGAGTTCACCGAGCGATCCTTTCTGCTTTTCAGGTGTGGAAATGCGCAAGATCACCGACGCGCACACCCCCTCCAGCGACACCGTCAACATGACGCTCTACTTCGTCCTGTCCACCACCCCGGCTCCCCTCCTGGACCCCCACATTAGCCCCGAGGAGAAGGAGAGAATGGAAGCCACTTTGAAGTATGCGGATCACTGCTTCAGCGGCCACGCCACCATGCACGCCGAGAACCTGTGGCCCGCACAGCTGTCCTCCGTCCTGCAGGTCTTGCAGCTCTCCAACCTGTGGAAGCTGACGCTCCAGAAGCGCGGCTGCAAGGGGCTGGTGGCCGCCGGGGCCCACGGCCTCATGCAGGGGATGGTGCTCAGCTTCGGCGGGCTGCAGTTCACCGAAAACCACCTGCAGTTCCAGTCGGACCCGGAAGTCCTTCAGAACAGCTACGCCTTGCGGGGGATCCATTACAACAAGGACTTGATCAACCTGGCCGTGCTGCTGGACGCCGAGGGGAAGCCCTTCCTGCACGTCTCCGTCAAGTTCCAGGACAAGCCGGTGAAGCTGTATGCCTGCGAGGGCGGCTGTTCCAACGACCCCGTGGAGCTGACCTCGGAAGTGCACGGCCACACTTTCCCCGTCATGGTGACCCAGCCCATCACGCCTCTGCTGTACATCTCCACCGACCTGGTGCACCTGCAGGATCTCCGCCACACGCTCCACCTCAAGGCGATCCTGGCCCACGAGGAGCACATGGCCAAGCGCTACCCGGGCCTCCCCTTCGTCTTCTGGTTCAGCGTGGCCTCCCTCATCACCCTCTTCCACCTGTTCCTCTTCAAGCTCATATACAACGAGTACTGTGGGCCGGGGGCTAAGCCCCTCTTCCGGAGCAAGGTCTAAGCCCCCCCCCCAGCCCGTTTCGGCTTGATGGCTGAAGTGGGCCCCGGCTTCTTCTCTCCCTGACCTCAGCCTGGAAGCAGGGCACCCGCGGGAGTTTGAGCGCATCTTTGGAAGAAGCAGCCTTTGCGTGGTGTGTGCGTGTTTGCCTGTCTGGGAGACGAGCCCTGGGGGGGGGGGAGGCTGAGAAAAGACCACTTAAAAAGAAAGAGTCTTCTCCCCAGCCCCGTCTTCTTGTAGTCATCTCAGTTTTGTTGAGGTGCCGCTCGAAAAAGGCTTGGCAGGCAGTGTGATGGAGGAACCCCGCTTAGGAGTGCCGAGGCTGACACCCCCAAGGGTTAAGCAAGGACCCTCACTGTGCTCCCTCCCTTGTATCCTGAAGGAGCCAGGATGAGGGAGGAGAGGACGCTCCTTGGGGGTCGGAAAGCTTGTCACCCATCAATGCAGTTTATGTGGATTATTAATTAATAATTAAACTTCCTTTCCTTGTGGCTCCCTCCAGTACATCTAGGCCTAGTTATTCAGCTAAAGAGCAGAGATGGGAAACGAGGCAAGGACAGGATTCCACAACAAAATAAAACAGCGTGGGAAGGTTTGTGGGAAAGAGATCCCTCGTATAATATGTGCATAGGATTGGCGTCCGTTTTTTTTCTGAGTCTCTTTGGCTTCCTTCTCAGCTATTCAGCTTCCTTCTCAGCTATTCATTCTCAGCTTATTTCCAATTAAGGATTTAATTGGAAATAAGCACTTCCTCCCCCCCCCCTTTTTTTTTCTTGGTTTGTATTCCAAAACTTTCTGTGGAGCCGTTTGCTTTCATCATTAAAGCAGTTAACAAAAGAGTGCTTGTGGAATGTGTGTGTGTGTGTGTGTGTGTGTGTGTGTGTAGATTGTGTATGTGTGCATTTTTCAAAGACAGCCTAGCACAGGGGTCTTCCAACTTGGCCCTTTTATGACTGGTGGACTTCAACTCCCAGAATTCCTCAGCCTGGCTGAGGATTTCTGGGAATTGAAGTCCACCAGTCATAAAAGGGCCAAGTTGGAAGACCCCTGGCCTAGCGAGGACAACAGGAAGACGGAACGTTCCAGAAAAACACCGGAGGGCTCTGAAGAATTGCTGCTGTTTGAATGACTCAGTTTCAATCTTGGGTCTTCTATCCAAGACAAGACCCTAAAACAGCATCACGTGTGTGTGTGTGTGTGTGTGTGTGTGTGTGTGTGTGTGTGTGTCTTCCTGCAAAGGAAGTGCAAATAGAACACAACCATTTGCGATGGCCCCTGGGTGTCCTAACTCTGTCCCGACATTCCCCCCAGGCCCAAAGACCCCATTGCTTCTTTCTTCTGTTGGCTTTCATTTCCATTTTGTTCTTTGATGAAAAATACTTGAAAAAAAAAATTAAGGATTTTTATGTTGATGGTAAGCGATAGGGAGATGTTTAATCAGCACCTTTGGTTTGATTGTTCTTGCTTCGCTTCAGTTTAAAAGGGGGGGGGGATTTCTCTCCCCTCCCGACCCCTAACCAAGTGTCATTCTCATTTCTTTGTGTGGACTTTAATTTATTGTTTGTGGGTTTTAGGCCTTCGTTTTGCCAACCGTTCCAGACCGAATAACAGCCAGCTAAGAATGTACCTGTACTTAATTTTAACTCATGCTTTAATCTAACACTGATAATAGGAGTTCTCGATCTTCCTCTGAAGAAAGTGTACAAAATACACAACTTTAAGTACTTTTATTAGGCGTGTGGGGGGAGTGGCTGTTGATTTAATCTTTCACCAAGCTTATTGCAGTGTCCTGGAGTGGTTTTTTTTCCTCTCCTTAATTCTAGAGAGATTTAACAGATTTTTCTGATGATTTGAAAACAATTGTGATTATTTTAAGATACCAAAGGTTCTGGGTTTGGGGATTTTGGGGTTGTTTTTTTTTTGGTAAGAAATAAAAATCTTTCAAATCTGTACTTCACGTCTCTACTGGCCTTGTTCTTTTTTTTTTTTAAAGTCCTTGTTTTGCTCAGGAATTGATTTTTCTTGACTGCAAACAAGGGTCTCGAACTGCGTTCAGGGGACAGAGAGCGCCTATTTGAGCTCTCCAATCCCTTCGCCTTTTATCTTGCGCTCGGCCATGCTAACGCTGTCGGCAGAAAAGGATTTGTGGTGCCAAATCTCGTCCACAAAAAAGGGGGAGAGAAATTCAGGCCGCAAAATCTTTACCCGTTAAGAGGGGGACCCTGGGATTAAAAGTGGAGACCTCACCAGTAAATTTTCCTGGAGAAAAGATAAATATTTTGAGAACGAGACCCCCTCCTTGAAAAAAGCGGTCCAGCTGACCTCCCCTCTCATTACCTCCAACAGACCTACGTCCTGGCCCTTCTCAATGGACAGGTGGTCCTCGGACTGCGACCACGATTGAGCGCAAAATTTCTGAGGCCAAGCGAGACGGCTGAGTGAGTTTTGCCCCATTTTACGACCTTCAAATCAAATTGAATCACTTTATTACAGCCATAGGGCCCAAAACAGCAAAATATCCAATTGTAGGCTACTCGCATGCATGCATGCATAAAAATGCTCTGAGCATGATCTAATGGTAGATAAGAACACATACTGTATAACAGGTCCCCAACCTTTGGGCCACGAGCCACTAGTCTAGTGGGCCGTGGCCTACTGGCCACCGGGCCACAGGACAGGCTGGCCAGTGCGTATGCATGTACACCTCACTTGCGCCAGCAGCACAGCCGCAGGGCACAAAAACAGGATGCCGTGCCACATGGTGCAAAAGCGGGACACTGCCTCGCTGCAAGGTGCAAAAACAGACAATGCTGTGCTGCGGGCGTGGAAACGGTCCACCGCCATGCCACGGGGCATAAAAACGCTGCCGCTGCGCTGCAAGGTGCAAAAATGGACACTGCTGCACCGCGGGGTGTGGAAACTGGCCACCACCATGCGACGGGGCACAAAAACGGGCTGCCACCGTGCTGCAAGATGCCAAAACAGACACTGCCACACTGGAGTGTGGAAACAGGCCACTGCTCTGCCACGGGCCACAAAACCAGGCCGTCGCCGTGCTGCAAGGAGCAAAAACGGCTGCCCCTGCACCGTGAGGCACAGAACCAAGGCGCTGTGCCATGCAAGAATGGGGCAGGGCTAGCAAGTATCATGCTGGTACTAGCCCCACCCCGTTTGCAGTACGTGTATGCTCGTGGCCCCGTGCGCACATGTGCGCACGCACATGTGTAAAATGCTTCCCCCTCCTTTTTTCTCCGGTTCCCCAACCGACAAAGGTTGGTGACGTCTGCTGTATAATAAAATTTATTTTAAAATAAAAACTATTAAAAGGATCTAAAAATAATATTTATGTTTCCGACGAATCCCCGGTGCAGCTGCGCAGAAGCGCACCACCTGCGCCCTAAGCACAGCGACAGATAGTCCTTGACTTATGAGAACAACGGAGCCCCAACTTTCCTTTGCTAAGTGAGGCAGCTGCGGGTTTTGCCCATTTTACGACCTTTCTTGCCACCGTTGCTAAGTGAACCCCTTCAGTTATTAGTAAGACAGCCGTGAAGTGCACTCTGGCACCCCCATTGGCTTTGCCTTGTCGGAAGGTGTTCTGTCCCAGCCCCCTTGAGCTCCTTGTTAAGTTCAGAAGGAGAAAAGCACTCTTCAAATCAAGCAGGCAGAAACCGCAGGACAAACCCAAACCCCGTTTATTTCCTCAGGTCTGATGAGGAAAACAAACAGTTCATCGCAACTTGATTCCTAACCCGAACGGCTGCCTTCAGCAACCAGTACCTCCCACACCTTCCCTTTTATTATGCAGCCAAGGTGTGGCTTCCTAATGCTTTCTCCTTTGCCTTTGGAGCCGCCCCATTGCATCCCTCTGTCCTGCTCTCTTTGCTTGCCAGCGTTTACGAGCATCCTGGATGTCACCAGGCTGTGAGTCCTCACTCTCCCCCTCAACCTCCCAGCACAGCTGTGTCTCTTTCTCAGACTGCAAGTCTTGGAGCTCCTTGGAGCCTCCCTCTGATGTCACTCCAGGCCCCTCCTCCTCCTCCTCCTCCTCCTCCTCCTCCTCAGACTCAGCTGCCGGATCCATAGGCTGGCAAGGAATCACAACAGAAGCTCACAAAAGGGGATCACGTGACCTGAGGACGCTGCGGCTGTCATAAATACGAGTCGGTTTGCCAAGCACCTGAATTTTGATGGCAGGGATGCTACAAGTGTGAAAAATGGTCCTAAGCCACCTTTTTCCAGAGCTGTTGTAACTTCGAACGGTCGCTAAATGAACAGATGTAAATCGAGGACTGCCTATTTCTCCTCTCCTCCCCGCTTCAAATCCCCCGAAGTGGGAGAGAGAGTGTCCATGTTCCTTTTCTACGTAGCTCAGAAGAGCTAGAAACGGCGAACAGGCGGGCAGGAAGACTTCGACAGGCGCATCGCTGATCAAAGGGGCTTTTCCCTGGCCAGCCCCATCACCTGGCCCCAAAGTCTGGAGACCCTGGACAATGTCGGGGACCGAAAGCCTCCCTTACCTTACTCCCGCGTCTTCCTGCAGGGCGCAACCGGACCCCAGCAAAGAGGAAGGCAAAAAGGGGAATCTAGAACCGCTTCGCTCCCGGAGGAATTTCTCGTCTTCCAGGTGAGTTGTTTTTTTTTTTAAGATGGCGAAGAAAGCTGCTCTAAAATGTTCAACCAAAGAAAGTGAGTTGGGGAGAAAATGGCTCGTGCAACCCTAAAGGCAATTTTTTTTTTTTTAATAAGCCTCCAGCCGTGGAAGGAATAGAAGTAGCCTCAAACAGGCCATTTTTAATCCTTTCCTTCTTTCTTTCTTTCTTTCTTTCTTTCTTTCTTTCTTTCTTTCTTTCTTTCTTTCTTTCTCTCTCTCTCTCTCTCTCTTTCTCTCTCTCTTTCTCTCTCTCTCTCTCTCTCTCTTTCTTTCTTTCTTTCTTCCTTTCTTTCTTTTTAAATAATGATTTGGGGCTGGTTTGGAACCCCGTTCTAGTTCAGGATCAAGAAAGCATCTTCAGTTTTAAATGGCTTTTATCTCACGGTGCTGCTGTCTGCGCAAAGAGGAGATGGGCTCGCTCTGGATGCGAGGGGCGGGAGTTTAACTGGGACCAAGATTCAAACAAGTCTAATTTAATCATTCATTGGTCCATCCACTAAAAAAAAAAAAAGACAACAAAAATTAACAATGGATTCCGACCAAGCAGATGGACCTTAAGAAGGGAAGCGCATGTATAAACGTATCCCAACTAGCCTTTTTTTAAAATTTGCAATGGGTTTTTTTTTTTTTTGAGCAGTTGGTAAGCGCATTTTGGGTTGGTCTGAAATCCAAACAATGTAAAAAGAACTGTCTACGTTTTTTATTTTGGGGGCTGGGGGTTTTGCAGCCATCAAATTCTCCACCATTCAATGCATTTTTCCTCCCGTAGCTACTCTTCTAGTTGCTCTGATCCATCCGTTTTATTTTTGCAGTCTTTCAGGGAACCAGTCAACTCCCTTCCTTTTGCGCTACCAAATTCAAGCCGTTTGCTAACCTCCATCGTGGGGCAAGTTCCAAATTGAAGTACTGTTAATTCAGAAAATATCTATATACCTATATCTATATCTAATGTCTGTCTGTCTGTCTGTCTGTCTCTCTCTCTCTCTCTCTCTCTCTCTCTATCTATCTATCTATCTATCTAATCTCTCTCTGCCCCCCCTCTCTCCCTATCTCTCTCTGCCTCTCTCTCTCTCTATTTATCTAATCTCTGCCCCCCCCTCTCTCTCCCTATCTATCTAATCTCTCTGCCTCTCTCTCTCTCTCTGTCTCTATCTATCTATCTATCTATCTATCTATCTATCTATCTATCTATCTATCTATCTATCTATCTATCTATCTATCACATGGGGAGGGACATCCACCCTTAATTAAGAAAATACATATACATATATCTATATATATCGGAAACTACTCTAAAAATCTGAGTCACAGGTACATTTATTTGTAAAAAAGACATACTAAAATACTGATTTCCGGGACAAGAGAGTTTTATTATGTACTAAGCTTTCATTAGCCATTGTTAACATTGTCAAAGTGTAAGCTAACATTAGGAAGACTTTGTTTTTATAGTCTTTTAAGTGTCGGTAATTTGACCTATTACGCGCTCGATGGCCAAATATATATATAGAACGTGAAATTGATGATCTTTTATTTTGTAAATTATAGAAAAAAGAACCAGGAAATCGCTACAATATTATATATTATATATATATATATATTATTTCTATAATTTAGAAAATAAAAGAACATCAGTTTTACATGATTCAAAGCTAGCTACAATTCTCTGGAGGAGGGGAAAGTGCCCTCATGAACCATATGCAAATCTCGATGTGTTTATGAGTCTAAGACTTGTAGGAAAAAAAACAGAGAAAAGAACTACGAGAAAAAAATGAGTATGACCCCAGGCGTGTATTTTTCCTCCAAATGCCCACGATTGGAGAATTTTCTGCCCCTGTCTCCTATAGGCATGGTATACGGTATACCGATATGTCACGTTTTACTTGTCTTTGCATGGAATATCAAACATGGCTGAGAAAAACCCCCATTCTGCTGCCCTATCAAAATATTATTAGGAGGGTCCATCTAACCGCAGGAGGAAGAACGTGGGAAGCTCACTTACTTAGCTGGTTTCCTTCGCCTTCCTTCCAGGTGTTCTTCCCCGCCGTCGGACTGCCACACCAGCAAGACGGTGAGACGGATCTTGGCTCTCTGCTTAATCTCTTTGTTTACCTTGCTGGGAAACGCCGCTCTGGATCTAAGCCAAATTCTGGAGTCCTGGAGGCATGCTGAGAAGGCCGCCAGCAACTTCTCTTCGTGCCGGAGTTTCCTGGCATTCTCCGTGTTCCACCTCCTTGTCCGAGAAGCAAATTGTCAAGGAGGAGAAGGAGGAGGAGATGGAGGAGATGGAGGAGGAGGAGATGGAGGAGATGGAGGAGGAGAAAGAGGAGAAAGAGGAGGAGGAGGAAAGATGGCGGTGGAGAACCTCTCTTGGCCAGAAGACCTGCTGAAGAGCTTGGTTGCTCTCTGCAGCCAATATGGAGAAGGAGACCCAGGCACAATTTCCTGGTGCAAGGACAACGATAATTTCAGCTGTCCAACTTACATCCCCTTGGTCAGGGAGAGGGTGAATGGCACCGAAGGAGCTGGGGTGGCTTTTCTGCAGCTCAAAATGATTTCAAGAATCTTGGAGATACTTCTGAAGCCTGAGGAGGGAGATCACCGAAAGGTGAGGTCAAATCCAGACTGGTTAGAGGTGGTCTTCCTGAGACTTCTCCTAAGAATCAAAGGTGCTGTGTTACGAGCTCAAGAAATGTCTGTCTACCCTGAGGAGGTCCAAGCTTTGTGGCATCAGCTGTCTGCTCTTCTCACTTCCTCTGTTTTTATCTCGGAAAGCGCCCAAGACTGTTGGGCTGAGCATCCCAACGTCTCCATCCTGGCCACCTATCCTGAAGGACTCCACATGGTTGCGCCTTCTTTGGGCTTTCGGTCACTCTCCCGTCCTTTCATGGATGAACTTGATGTCCTCCAGAGATGTTTGCTTCAGAAAAGCCAGGAGAAGCTTCAGAAAAAGTCCAAGGACATCATCTCCCTGATTAGCCTCAAAATCATCCTCTTGCTGATCACTAGTCTGATCTACCCGGCTGTGCTTTTCTCCTTCAAAGAGATGACCGAGTGGATCCAGAATTACGCCAGGATCCTCAAGGAACGAACGGAGGATTTGAAACAGGAAAGGCACGTAGTGGAAGACCTTCTTCATCAGATGTTGCCCAAATCCGTGGCCAAACAGCTACGGAAACACAAGCACGTAGAGGCAGAAAATTATGACCAGGTAAGACACCAGATCATATCTGAAGGGATCAGACAACTTTAAGGTTCCTGATTGATCGTCCCAAAGGTGCTTTTTACAGGAGGCAACTGGACTTCCTTTTTTCTCTTTGAAGACGTTTCGCTTCTCATCCAAGAACCTTCTTCAGCTCTGACTGGATGGTGGGGAGTGGAAGGAGTTATATTCCTTGCAGACAGCTGGTCATTTGCGTCCTTTTAGAGAGTCGTTTAGGCCACCTGGAGGCTTATCTGTGTCTCCAGGGTCACCTGAGTGATGCAAATGGGTGGGGAGCCTTCTTGGAACTGCTGAAAGGACTGTTGTAGACTGGAGATAGATGATGCCACATCCCTCCCCCTCTGTTGAGAGAGGGCTGTTCAGTTTTGACCCAGATGGCTTCTTTGACCCCTCTTTCAAACCAGCAGTCCTCTCTGTCCAAAATGTGGACTCTGCTGTCTTCAAAACGGTGGTTTTGGTCCTTTAAATGCAGATGGACTGCTGACTCTTGTCCTGATGGGTTTGTTCTCCTATGTTGTGCCATGCGTTTATGAAGCCTCCAAATGGCATCAACCGCTCGCTAAAAGGATGCAAAGGACCAGCTGTCTGCAAGGAATATAACTCCTTCCACTCCCCACCATCCAGTCACAGCTGAAGAAGCTTCTTGGATGAGAAGTGAAACCTCTTCAAAGAAAAATAAAGTCCAGTTGCCTCGTGAAAAAAGGACCTTTGGGACAAGCAGGACCGGGATAAAGGAGATTCTCCATAAACTTCCTGACTGACTATTGCACAATTCCGTTCTATAAAAAGCAGAATCAATAAGAGAGAGGTGAGACCCAAAGGAAAATCACAACCCCTTGATGTGGGTCTGGGGGTTATATTAATAGCTTCAAGCCTCCTTGTCCCTTCCATCCACAATTCTGCCTAGGAAATAATGACTCTCTTTATATCTGATTGGCCCATAATCAAAGAACTTTCAAATTGTCACATAATTATTAACTCTTTGTTTTTCACTTTTTTGGGGGGAGGGCATCTCGGTTCTCAGCTGTTCCCCTCTCCCATGGGGAGGGATACCCCCCCTTAATTAATTCCCCCTGTCCAATTAGTCTGCATTTCCTTGAGTGCTGCCATCATTATCCTAATTGGTCAATTACAGTATAGGTACAGCCAGAGGAGGTATATGGTATCAGAAACCATCTGGAAATAATGGGGAAATTAAAAACAGGACATCAAGCGATGGATAAAATCTGGCTAGGATAGCAGAAGTTGGAGCAGGAGAGGACAAATAAGGTTTCTCTCTCCAACAGATAACCATAAAAGCAAAAGACATAATTTTACAAAGCTGGTGAGGTTGTTTATTGCATGTTGTGCTGCTCATTTCCAATTTGGGTGCCATCTTGGGGAACTATGCAGAGTCCCAAGAACGATGTAGTAGGGCAGTGTTTCCCAAACTTGACAATTTTAAGGCATGTGGACTTCAACTCCCAGAATTCCACAGCCAGCAATGCTGGCTGTGGAATTCTGGGAGTTGAAGTCCACATGCCTTAAAATTGTCAAGTTTGGGAAACACTGTAGTAGGGTGCCAAAATCACCCTGTCACAGATGTCCTCTCCAGCTCTCACCCCATCTGATTTTCCCACAATGCTTCTGAGCTGCTGCCACTTCAAAGCATTGTGGGAAGACGGAACGGCTGGCAAACCTCCATGGAACGGTTGCTGGAACTGGGTATGTCTAGTCTAATGAAGAGAAGGACGAGGGGTGACAGGATAGCAGTCTTCTAATATCTCAGGGGCTGCCCCAAAGAAGAGGGAGTCAAGCTATTCTCCGAAGCACCCGAAGGCAGGACAAGAAGCAACGGGTGGAAACTAATCAAGGAGAGAAGCAACCTAGAACTAAGGAGAAACTTCCTGACAGTGAGAACAATTAACCAGTGGAACAACCAGCTCCAGAATCGGTGAATGCTCCAACACTGGAAGTTTTTAAGAAAAGACTGGACAGCCATTTGTCTGAAATGGTGTAGGGTTTCCTGCCTGAGCAGGGGGTTGGACTAGATGACCTCCAAGGTCCCTTCCAACTCTATTTCTGTTATTGTTATCATTAAAGAGAGATCCAGCCTAGAATTAAGGAGAAATTTCCTGACAGTGAAAACCATCAGGAGAACGGAAGTGGCCTTCAGAGATTGTGGGGGCTCCATCATGGGAGGCTTTTAAGAAAAGACTGGACAGCCACTTATCTGAAATAGTCTCTAGAGCAATGCTGGCTGTGGAATTCTGGGAGTTGAAGTCCACATGCCTTAAAATTGTCAAGGTTGAGAAACACTGCTCTAGAGTCTCCAGCTCAAGCGGGGATTGGACTAGATGACCTCCAAAGTCCCTTTCAACTCTATTATTCTGTTAAAGAGTCACTCCTGTTTGGAAGGGCTAAAAATCCCCCCTTCTGCCTCCTGGAATTAAGAAGAAATTTCCTGAGAGTGAGGATAGTTAACCAGTGGAACAGAAGTTCTGGCTATTCTATTCAGGTCTATCCTGATTGATTAATCCAAGAGAGAAGCAACCTGGAATTAAGGAGAAACTTCCTAACAGGGAGGACAATCAACCAGTGGAACAGCTTGCCACCAGAAGTCATGGGTGCTTCATCACTGGAGGTTTTTAAGAAGAGACTGGACAGTCACTTGTCTGAGATGGTCTAGGTGAGTCTCCTGCTTGAGCAGGGGGCTGGACTAGAAGACCTCCAAGTTCCCTTCTAACTCTGTTATGCTGTTAAACAATCACTCCTGTTTGGAGGGGCTAAAAATCACCCCTTCTGCCTCCTCCTCCTCCTCCTAGGTGACCATCTTCTTTTCGGACATTGTGGGGTTTACCACCATCGCCGCTTCGTGCACCCCGCTGCAGGTGGTGGAAATGCTCAACAACCTTTACATCTGCTTTGACACCAGGATCGACTCCTACGACGTCTACAAGGTCAGCCCCCACCTTCTTCTGCGGGGGGGGGGGGGAAGCGAGAAAGCAGGGGCAGGTTTTGCTCCCGGTTGGTCCCTGTAAAACAAAAAACAAACAAACCCCCAAACAAAGATAGTCCTCGGCTTACAACCCAGCTGGGCCCAAAATGTCCATTGTTAAATGAGACACGTTAAGTGAGTTTTGCCCCATTTTAAGACCGTTCTTGTCACGGTTGTTAAGTGAATTGTAGCGAGCCAGCCAGTGCAGGTCACTGATTTTCCCTGGGGCCAACAAGGTGGAAACCATCGGAGATGCCTACATGGTGGTGAGTGGTCTGCCCGAGAGGAACGGCACTCGGCACGCCCACGAGATCGCCAAGATGGCCCTGGACCTGGTAGCTGCGGTCCGGCAGGTTGCGATTCCCCACCTGCCGACTAGCAAGCTGGAGTTACGGGCCGGGATTCACACAGGTGAGCCAACCGTTGCTTCACACCTGGGGTGGCGGGTGGGGTCCATCGGCCACGCGTGTGTCTCAACCTCTCTCTTTCCCACCGATCTGGCAGGAGCCTGCGTGGCTGGCATTGTTGGGCACAAAATGCCCCGATATTGCCTCTTTGGAGATACGGTGAACACAGCCTCCCGTATGGAGTCAACCAGCCTACGTGAGTAGATATACCTTGAGGGTGGTATGGAGTGGAATGGAATGGAATGGAATGGCATAGAATAGAATAGAATAGAATAGAATAGAATAGAATAGAATAGAATAGAATAGAATAGAATATGGAATGCAGAATAGAATAGAATAGAATATGGAATGGCATAGAATAGAATAGAATAGAATAGAATAGAATAGAATAGAATAGAATAGAATATGGAATGCAGAACAGAATAGAATAGAATAGAATATGGAATAGAATAGAATAGAATAGAATAGAATAGAAATAGAAAATATGGAATGGAATGGAATAGAATAGAATAGAATAGAATAGAATAGAATAGAATAGAATAGAATAGACAAATTGTAGAATATAACAACAACAACAACAACAACAATAATAACAATAGTAATAAAGTTGGAAGGTACCTTGGAGGTCATCTAGTCCAACCCCCTGCTCAGGCAGGAAACCCTATATCATTTCTGACAAATGGCTATCCAGTCTCTTCTTAAAAACTTCCAGTGTTGGAGCATTCACTGCTTCTGGAGGCAGGTTGTTCCACTGGTTAATTGTTCTAACTGTCAGGAAGTTTCTCCTTAGTTCTAAGTTGCTTCTCTCCTTGATCAGTTTCCAACCATTGCTTCTTGTCCTGCCTTCAGGCGCTTTGGAAAATAGCTTGACTCCCTCTTCTTTGGGGCAGCCCCTGAGATATTGTAACACTGCTATCATGTCACCCCTCGTCCTTCTTTAAACTAGACATACCCAATTCCAGCAACCGTAGTTTCAGTCAAATGTATAAATCCATTTTATTTAATGTAAATAGAGCTAGGTTAGCTGGGTCCAAGGATCAGCAGCTGCCTAGATTCCTCTTTACAGTCCTCGACTTACAACAGTTCATTTAGTGACTGTTCAAAGTTAAACAGTACTGAAAAAACTGACTTATGACTGTTTTTCACACTTACGACCATTGTAGCATCCTCACGATCATGTGATCAAAATTCAGGCGCTTGGCAACTGACTCATACTTATGACGGTTGCAGTGTCCCCTGGGGGTCACGTGATCTCCTTTTGTGACTTTCTGACAAGCAAAGTCAATGGGGGAAGCCAGATTCATTTAACAACGTAGCGACTGCAGTGATCCCTTTAACAACTGGGTTGAGAACGGTTGTAAAATGAGGCAAACCTCACTTCACAACTGTCTCGCTTAGCAACCGAAATTTTGGGCTCAATTGTGGTCATCAGCTGAGGGCTGCCAGTATTCAGAATCGTGAGGACTAGACGCTTAGCTTACTTTTGAGGAAGTTAAACGACGACTTGTGGATAAAGTTCCTGTTTTTTTTGTTTTTTTTAATGCAAGCCTCAGGCTTGGCGTCTAAATTTATTGTGGATGAAGGGCAATTGCTTGCACTGTTCTCCGTTGACTGGGAGCGCAAAGGCAGCTCTTTAAAAGAGCATTTTTTGATGATTCCCCCCCCAGCCCAGAAAATACACATCAGCTCAGCCACCTACCAGGCTCTGCTTGAGGACGACACCTACGACATTCAGCCCAGGGGAGAAATTGAGGTGAAGGTTTGTGTTTTGCTTATTATTATCATCAATCAATTAGAACAGAGCTGAAAGGGACCCTGGAGGTCTTCTAGTCCAACCCCCTGCTCAAACAGGAGACCCTATGCCAGGGGTAGGCAACCTTGGCTCTTTTATGACTCGTGGACTTCAACTCCCAGAATTCCTCAGCCAGCATGGCTTAGCTTGGAAACCTCTCCCTTTCCCCTCAGCATGGCTGGCTGAGGAATTCTGGGAGTTGAAGTCCATGAGTCATAAAAGAGCCAAGGTTGCCTATTTCTGGCCTAGGCCTAGGCCACTTTATGACTCATGGACTTCAACTCCCAGAATTCCTCAGCCAGCCTGGCTCAGCTTGGAAACCTCTCCCTTTCCCCTCAGCGTGGCTGGCTCAGGAATTCTGGGAGCTGAAGTCCACGAGTCATAAAAGAGCTAAGGTTACCTACCTCTGGCCTAGGCCGCTTTATGACTCAATTGACTTCAACTCCCAGAATTCCTGAGCCAGCATGGCTCAGCTTGGAAATCTCTCTCTTCCCCTCAGCATGGCTGGCTCAGGAATTCTGGGAGTTGAAGTCCACGAGTCACGAGGGGCCATAGTTCCCCCATGCTGGCTCAGGAATTCTGGGAGTTGAAGTCCACGAGTCATAAAAAAGCTAAGGTTACCTACCTCTGGCCTAGGCCGCTTTATGACTGGTGGACTTCAACTCCCAGAATTCCTGAGCCAGAATGGCTCAGCTTGGAAACCTCTCCCTTTCCCCTCAGCGTGGCTGGCTCAGGAATTCTGGGAGTTGAAGTCCACAAGTCATAAAAGGGCCAAGGTTGCCTACCCCTGGCCTATACCCATTTCAGACAACAATTTCGTCCCTGGAAATCTCCTAATCTGCTGCTTTCCCACTTTACATTTTTAAAAGCTTTGTCCCAGGTTTTTTTCTTCTTCTCAAAGCTAAACCCAGGGATTCCTCCTTTGTGTGTAATTGGCTGATTACCCCTCTCTCTGTCTCTCTCGGAGGGCAAGGGGAAAATGAAGACTTACTGGTTACTGGGAAATAAGAACTACAGTGTCCAAAACGACAGCCTGGTTTGCCACTGGAACCCGGGAATGTCTCAGAGAAAGAAGGCAGGGCAGAGCGCGGCTTCTGGGCAGGAGGTACGCCGCTGAAAAGTCGCAAAGGAGAGGGATGGGACCCTCGAGGTCATCCAGACTGACCCCCGGCCAAGCCAGGGCTCTTCTAACCCCACCGTCCCAAATTTCAGTCCGGTTTACCTGCAGGGCAAGAAGGGTGGAAATATTTTGAAACTGTTAGACGTGGACATTTTTTTTTTCCCTCTTGAAACCCAACAGCTCAGCACCGGTACCGAGAGGAGTCTGGACAACGAGCAACTCACCATCGCTTCTCAAACGCTGCGCCATCCTGCCGTCCGCGCTGGGGTGCAGCCGGGCTCACCCGCTGGACGTGAGCGAGACTTCCCGGGCCCCCTAGAGAGTCTCAAGACCCTCCCGCTTCACCCAGCCAACCCCTCGCAATTCCATCCAGGTTGTGAGAAGCCTTCGCTGCCGGGGCAGGTGAAGGAAGCTGAACTGGGGTCAGCCAGGCGATTTTCCAAGGACATCCAAGATTTTAAGGCTCTCTGAAACTCAGAAGCGCAGCAGCCTGCGCTTAGAGGGAGCGACCACCAGGGGTCAGCCAAGGCCCAGCTGTGGTGCCGTGTGTTATTTTTAAATCTGCATTTGATTTGGTTTTAGGCAGTTGGGAAATATCTGAGCTGGGCAGGGGAGCATTTGCAAGCAAAACGTTTTTGGGTGGGGAGTGCTTTGAGATTTCGGGGTGACGTGCACCACGGTTTGTTGCATCTGAACGGCTGCAGGTTTGGGGTGAGCTGTGAGGATTGCAAGCCAAAGCTTTTTGTGCTGCAAGGTTTTTGCTTTTCCAAATGGCATCTAAAATTTTCCCTGGTTTCTCCTGCCTTGTCCAGGGGGCTGGACTAGAAGACCTCCAGGGTCTCCTTCAGTCCTACTTCTATTCTATTCATTCTAGTTTCTTCTACTCATTGTGTTTTATCCTATTCTAATTCTGCTCTAATTCTATACTTACTCTATTCTATTCTTTTCTGTTTGTCTAATCTGGTCGCGTCTAGTCTAGTCTATTTTTAATTCTATTCTGTTCTGTTCTATTCATTGTGTTCTATCCTATTTTAATTCTGCTCTAATTCTATACATACTCTATTCTGTTAGTCTAATAGCTTGCTTTCAGAAATCGTGGGCACTCAATCACTGGAGCTTTTTAAGAAGAGACTAGACAGTCACTTGTCTGAAATGGAATAGATTCTCCTGCTCGAGCAGGGGGCTGGACTAGAAGACCTTCAAGGTCCCTTCCAGCTCTTTTATTCTGTTCTGTTCTGTTCTGTCCTGTCCTGTCCTGTTCTATTCTATTCAGTTCTGATCTATTCTATTCTATTCTGATCTATTTTAATTCTATTCTCTTCTATTCTATTCATTGTATTCTATTGTATTTAATTCTCTAATTCTATACTTCTTCTATTCTGTTCTGTTCATCTAATCTAGTTAAGTCTTTTTAATACTATTCTATTGTATTCTGTTCTATTCTATTCATTGTGTTCTATCCTATTCTGAGTCTATCCTATCCTATTCTGATTCTATTCTATTCTATTCTATTCCATTCCATTCCATTCCATTCTATATTCTATTCTATTCTATTCTATTCTATTCTATTCTATTCTATTCTATTCTATTCTATTCTATTCTATTCTATTCTATTCTATTCTATTCTATTCCATTCCATTCCATTCCATATTCTGTTCTATTCTATTCCATTCCATTCCATTCCATTCCATTCTATATTCTATTCTATTCTATTCTATTCTATTCTATTCTATTCTATTCTATTCTATTCTATTCTATTCTATTCTATTCTATTCTATTCTATTCCATTCCATTCCATTCCATATTCTGTTCTATTCTATTCCATTCCATTCCATTCTATATTCTATTCTATTCTATTCTATTCTATTCTATTCTATTCTATTCTATTCTATTCTATTCTATTCTATTCTATTCTATTCTATTCTATTCTAACTCCATTCCATTCCTACTTATACTTCTGTTTCTAAAGCAACTCCACACTCCCTGCTCCCTTCTTTTTCTTTCTTTACAGTTTCTAACTTCTTCTTCATGCTGGCTGGAGGATTCTAGGAGTCGCAGTCCACCCATCTGAAAAGTCAACATAGTTAAGAAACACTCATGTAGACAGTGGCCCGCTCAGCCTGCTTGCAAAGGCTCTGTGCTGGAGGCAGTGGTGGGATTCAGCCGGTTTGCACCACTTCGGCAGAGCTGGTCGCTAATTTTTTGTTGCCCGGGCCCAGAATGGACTTCCGGAAGCGGCATCCACCCAGAGAACCGGTTGTTCCCCTATCTGAATCCCATGATTGCATCCGAAGCCTTAGGTCAGCCAGACCCATCAATCTGCAGAAGCCTCCAAGCCCTAAGTGGGCCAAGAATGGGGTGGGCAGAAATGTCTCACCCCGTTTTCGTGTCAGGTGATGCCAGGGACAGGTCCCGTGGTGGGGCTTCTGCGGGGAGGCCGGGCTGAGGAGTCTAGTCTTCGTTGTGAGCCCCGGCACGTCCGCTTGAACCTGGGCCAGGCACAGCGGTCAGGAGACTGCAAAATAAGACGCCCAGCGCTGGAATCTGCCGACCGTGGCTGCTCTCCTAATTTGGAGGTTTGCTACTATCTTTCCCAGGCCGAAGGCCGCAGAGATGGGGAGGTCTACGGCTGGCCTTGAACCGTACCTCAAATTAAACCCGGCTTTAAAAGGAGATCCGACAACTGATCAAGGAGAGGAAGAAGTGGGTCAAACTCGGAAAGCTAATGAAATCTCCCACCTCTGCTCGCTGTCCTATGGTTGAATTTTCTGCCTCATCAGATAATAATAATAATAATAATTATTATTATTATTTTGGTTCTTTAACCCTGTATTCAGCTCTGGGAAGGAGGGGGGAGGGTAATGGAGGGGTGGGAGGGGGGGAGTATTTTATTGTAAAACTTTAAAAATTTTCAATAAATAATAATAACAATAAAGTTGGAAGGGACCTTGGAGGTCATCTAGTCCAACCCCCTGCTCAGGCAGGAAACCCTACACCATTTCGGACAAATGGTTGTCCAGTCTCTTCTTAAAAACTTCCAGGGTTGGAGCATTCACAGCTTCTGGAGGCAGGTTGTTCCACTGGTTAATTGTTCTAACAGTCAGGAAGTTTCTCCTTAGTTCTAGGTTGCTTCTCTCCTGGATGAGTTTCCATCCGTTGCTTCTTGTCCTGCCTTCAGGGGCTTTGGAGAATAGCTTGACTCCCTCTTCTTTGGGGCAGCCCCTGAGATACTGGAAGACTGCTATCATGTCCCCCCTCGTCCTTCTTTTCGTTAAACTAGACATGCCCAATTCCAGCAACCGTTCCTTGTATGTTTTATCCTCCTGTCCCCTGATCATCTTGGTTGCTCTTCTCGGAAGTTTTTCCAAAGATCTCAACATCTTTTTTTGTAATGCGGTGACCACCACTGGATGCAGGTATTCCAGGTGTGGCCTTACTAAGGATTTATAAAGCGGTATTTATACTTCCCCTGATTTGGATTCTGTGCCTCTGTTTATCCAACAAAGGATTGTATTGGCTTTTTTTTTGGCTGCTGCTGCACACTTCTGTGGCAGCCTGCTTTCTTGTTACCGCTGACTCTTCCAAACACAATTTCTTCCTCCAGTGAATTCCCCCACATGACACGGCCACAAATAAATGAGAGGTGTTATGCTCACAATACATGCTTGTGGGTCACTTTTGCTGTCCAAGGAATACACAGGCGCCTTCTCCAGCACCAGAAGCAAAAACAAGTCCCGTCTTTTCTTCGCATCCAGGAAATTACCAGTTTTCAACCTATCTGGATCTTTAGAGATTTCCTCGGCCCAAAGTCACAATCGGACCAATAGGAATCCTAATCACTGGGATTTCCCAAATCCTGAAATCAGAGCTTGCTTAATTACAGGTGCCGGGAAAGAGCGATGGGTGGTTAGTTTAGAGACACCAGGAGCTGCTTCACAAAAAGTTTTTTTTTTTTTAGCTTCATTGAATAATCTGGCTAACACATCCTTTTCAGAACCAGCTAACTACCACAAAGCTGGTTTTATATATATATGTAGGTCTTTGGTTGTTTGGGTTTTCTCCCGCGTAAAATTGGAAGTGTCTTGGCGACGTTTCGACGAAGTCCCATTCGTCATCTTCAGGCTGGTGTTTTCAGCTTCGTGCTTCCAATTTTACGCGGGAGAAAACCCGAACAACCAAAGACCTACATACAAACACCCGCGAAAACCTCAGAAAACATATATATATAAACCACCTTTGCTGCTCTTGATTTTTTTCCCAGTAAAATGTGGCGATGAAGGAAAGGCACGCTTTTGACTGGAAGAATTTTATTTCCAGGGATATTTTAAAGCTGCCCCTCCAAACACATAAATTTAGCACTCTGTATCAGAGATCAATAGAAAAGCAGAAATAAGACAATTGATCAATGTTATTCCGTTGGCAATACATTTATCTTGCCCTTCATCCCGGTTTTATGGGCGAGGCTTCCTCTTCTAAAGCAAATGACTCCAAATTAAAAAGTTAAAATAAAAGTTCAAAGCCTGGTTGTTGATTTTACAGTCTCAAAAACAAATCTATTCATTATAGGGTGAGCTGACAAAGTTGTACCCTTTTCTCCCCAAAAAGCTTTTTTAAAAAGTGTCTTTAGCCCCCCCCCCATCATCTGTGTCAAGAGTTGTATTTTATGCTGCCTGGATCTGAAAATTTTCATTTTCCCACAAGCTTGGATCAATCAATCAATCAATCAATCAATCAATCAGAATAGAACTGGAAGGGACCTTGCAGGTCATCTAATCCAACCTCCTGCTCAAGCAGGAGACCCTATACCATTTCAGACAAGTTTTTAAATATATATTAATCTATTAAAATATGTCAATATATATAGACACAGAATACCAAAGTTGGAAGGGACCTTGGAGGTCATGTAGTCCAACCCCCTGCTCAGGCAGGAAACCCTACACCATTTCAGACAAAGGGCTGTCCAGTCTCTTCTTAAAGACTTCCAGTGTTGGAGCATTCGCCGCTTCTGGAGGCAGATTGTTCCACTGGTTAATTGTTTTGACTGTTAGGAAATTCCTCCTTAGTTCTACGTTGCTTCTCTCCCTGATTAGTTTCCATCCATTGCTTCTTGTCCTGCCTTCAGGCGCCTTGGAGAAGAGATTATTTTATATACAACATATTTGGAAAATATGCATGTATGTATTGCTTTTTTTCATATTCTGGATTGGGGACTTAACTTCATATTATACGTTGGAATGGAGGGAATCCATTAAGTGTTTGACATTTTTCTTGGACTTTGGCTCAGTTTTGCTTTGCTTTTGATTTTAATTTTTCTGGGGCAATTTAGTCTCCACAGACAGAGATGGAAAAGCAAAAAGAGGGAGGAAGGTTCCTGGCCCCTATTTACTGGAGAGAAATAGGCATATCAGGACCAATTCTATTCTAAGAAGGTGTCGGCTTGTTTCTGCAGAGAGGTGGCTAAATTTAGAGGGCCCTCCCCACCCTGGGTGATTTTAAAGACACCCTGGAGAGACACCCCCCACCCCAAAACAGTTGTGGAAAGGGAGCCTCACCAGTCAGGAATGTGGCCCAGGAAATGCTTATATGGGCCCTGACCGAATTCTTGCTGGCCAATAGGGAGAGCTACAAAGAAAAAAAAGAAAAAGAAATAGAAGAATGTTGGGCAAAATAGGGCAGAAAGCTGGAATGTAGTCAAACTACTGTGTATCGGCAGGCGGCACAGCGTCGCCTCAGTTGTGAGGTTGGCATGTCGACATAGGACAAGCTCTTAGTTCAGCCAGATAGGAGAAGCCGGGGAAAGCTGGCTGGCGGGTGAGCAGGAACGCCACCCTGAGTGCGAAACACACCGTTCCAGCATTATTTAGCCCGGGAAGGAAGGAAAAAACAGTGAGGAACTGGATGGATTATGGAGATGTACAGAAAAGTGACTGGCCTGAATGGGGAGGCACCCTCTAGGCCAGGGCTCCCCAACCTATGGGCCATGGCTTACTGGCCACCAGGCCGTGGGACAGGCTGGCCAGTGCGTGCATTCACCCCCACTCGCACTAGCGCACACATGCAAGCGGGGCTAGCGCCTGTGCAAATGGGGCCACTAGCGCCTTGTGGGTTACGTGGCCTGTTTGTGCATGCGTGTGGAGGGTAGCAGCAGTGGCTAGCACCTGCACGCCTACGCAAACGGGGCTGCTAGTGCCATGTGGATGCCTGTGGCCACATTTCTGTGCGCGCACACACACACACGGGTGCACAAATTTCCCAGCTGCTCCCTTTCCCTCTGGGCTGCCAGCATGAAAAGGTTGGTGACCTCTGCTCTAAGCCACGGATGGGCATTGAAATGCACAAAGCAGAAGGCTGCTGAAGTTGGCATCCCCAGGATGGGCACGATCCAGGCTGCCAGGGTAGAATTCAGCTGGGGCAGGAGGGTTAAAAATCCAAATCAAGATTCTTGCAAAGCTCAGCAAAGAGATGGGTGACAATTCGGGTCTATAGACCAGCTCCAGGATGCAAAACCCATCTTCAAGAGTAGACCAGTGGTTCTCAACCTTTTTAATGCTGCGATCCCCAACCGGTTGTAAGTCGAGGACTACTCTACTGGTCGTAAGTTGAGGACTACTCAACTGGTGCAGCACCGTTTGCAGAATGGGACTTTTGGCGGGCTCGGCAGGGCAGAAACAGCCTGGACAATTCCGATTGGCTTTGGAAAGCCAAGAGAATTAGACTCTATTCAAGAGAGTCTATTGTATTGGCTTTCAAAAGCCAATAGAATAAAAGGGAGTAGCACAGCTAAGGAAAAGGGGGAAAAAATGGCGGACTGCGTTGTTTGGCGACCCCGTGAAATGGTCGTTCGACCCCAAATGGGGTCCCGACCCACAGGTGGAGAACCACTTCTCTAGAGGGCATTTGGGAAAATACCCCTCTGGAAAGAAGGGGCTCTGCTTCTTGTGGGAATAGGAATCTTTCTTTTTCTTTCTTTCTTTCTTTCTTTCTTTCTTTCTTTCTTTCTTTCTTTCTTTCTTTCTTCTTTCTTTCTTTCTTTCTTTCTTTCTTTCTTTCTTTCTTTCTTTCTTTCTTCTTTCTTTTTCTCTCCCTCCCTCCCTTCCTTCCTTTCATCTCTTTCTTTCTAGGCTGGTGCTTTAGCCACAGGGCTCTCCAAACTTGGGCACTTTTAAGACTTGTGGCCGAGGAATTCTGGGATTGAAACAAGTCTTACAAGTTGCCAAGTTTGGAGACCTTTGCATTAGACCAAACTGTTTTGTTTCTTCCTCCCTGAATTTTGGAGACCGTCTTTGTTGAAAGGAAAATCTCCACCAGGGTCCAGTCCAAGCCGGGAATAATCAAAATGGAGACTGCTTTAGAAAGAAGGCCGTAGTTTATTGAAGAGCAGAGCCAGGCAGAAAGATGGCTCTTCAATGCCTTGGTAAGGCCACACTTGGAATACTGCATCCAGTTTTGGTCACCACGATGTAAAAAAGATGTTGAGACTCTAGAAAGAGTGCAGAGAAGAGCAACAAAGATGATCAGAGGACTGGAGGCTAAAACGTATAAGGAACGGTTGCTAGAATTGGGTATGTCTAGTTTAACGAAGAGAAGGACGAGGGGGGACATGATAGCAGGATTCCAGTATCTCAGGGGCTGCCCCAAAGAAGAGGAAATCAAGCTATTTTCCAAGGCGCCTGAAGGCAGGACAAGAAGCAACGGATGGAAACTAATCAAGGAGAGAAGCAACCTAGAACTAAGGAGAAACTTCCTGACAGTGAAACAATTAACCAGTGGAACAACCTGCCTCCAGAAGCGGTGAATGCTCCAACACTGGAGGTTTTTAAGAAGAGACTGGACAGCCA